TACTATTGGCACCGATCACTTTGCAAATTTATACTGCACATATCTGTCCTATCAGTCTATATGATGACATTAAAATACAACAACATATAATATTGCCGAAACAGCCATGTGTTTGTCCACAAACGTCTAGTTTTTTGGTTTGATTTGTATGAACAATCTCTGTTTGGTTACCAGATGTTCGGACAAGAATCACTTTCCTTGACTTAACAAACAAACTAACTGCGGAAAAATATTCTGTTAAATAGTCGGTTAGCACCATTCTGAAAATGTTGATTTCATTGCTGGACCCCCCCCCCCCTTCTCCCTAATTCCCCCTTGATGTCACTGCTCTGCATCGTTTTCTTGCAAACCCTACATGGTGTCTTGTGCACATTTTGAACCAATGATAAATGCTCTCAATTCGGGCGATTCACAATGCAGTGTGCCACCAAGAGTTTGCCACAGAGATTCCATTTTTCAAGTTTACGGTCAACAAAACATGGCCCATTTGAACAAGTGTCAGTTGACAACTTGAGCTAGTTTGTAATAGATTGGGGCATAATGTTCTGCCGCCTTACAAAAACACCATATTGATAAAAAAATCATACTTAAATCATACGCTTACGAAACTGCTGACCGGAAAAACGGACAATTTCAAATGTCCCGCGGTGTGAATTTGTCGACTATCTCCCACAATGCACTTGGAAAAATGAACTCTCAGTGGCTAACTCTTGGTGACGCACTGCATTGTGAAACGCCCGAATTGCTTTCAGTTCTTTAATAAGCCATTTGCGAGTTAAATTTGAATACAATCTGGAACGCTGACTTAATCCAATGCTTTGCACGTGTTTACTTTGCATTCTCCCGACCAAAGAGACTGTTACTATATCACGTGATTCGGGGCAAGCCTTATGCTAGCAACCCCCAGCTCCGGCATGGTCTGGTTTCTTTGTGCCATTCTCACCCATTGTGAACAATGTATTGGTACTGAGCGTCTCTTACGTAACTATGCAAGAGCTTGCCCCGAATCAGGTGATTAGCAACAGTGTCTTTAGTCTGGAGAATTCACAGTTACAATGTGCCAAGCATCCTGAGCAAGTCAGTGTACCAGACGTTTTTCAAAGTTTTATCCTAAAGGGTATAGGTCACTCGCAAATGGCTTATTAACTAAACCAATCAAACCAAAACACAGTGGATCTTATGCCAGAATGTTTCAATCTTCCTTTGTAATTGGGGGGGGGGGGGGGGCTCGCCATTGGAATACAACTCTGTGCAAGCTTGTTTATTTTTGATAACGTCTGTGATTGCCTGTCGACTGGCCTTTGTAATTGCCAAGAGCTGCTTGGTGCTCCCTTGCATTCTGATTGATGTGGAATATTGTCAGCTTGAGTGGCAGCATTTAATTATATAATATTGGAAGGCTTCCAAGCCGTCCAATATTGTTATTATTATTATTTATATCAGGCTGACTTGATTCTCAAGAAATACAATTCAAGGCACCGTCCTCATCTCTCCTACAATTTTTGTATTTCGTCAAACTGTTTGAAGCTGCCATTGTGATTAGTGGCATCAGTTAAAGTTATACGTGGCCTGCTGCGCGCTGCGTGCGCATCCATGTTTGATGGTACCACGTGCTACGCTCTGATGAGTGGTTGACAACGCGTGGTTGCATTCAAATTCAGACAAAAATGTATGACCGCTTTTCAGAAGTGAATGAACATTCCAGGAAATTGGCCAGGAAAACCTATAGGCCTAAGTGCCAGTTTAATCAGTTTTTAATAAGCGTTGTTAAAACAACAAGCCAATTTGTCCTCACTTGTTGCTAATGCCCACCTTAAATAGCTTACCTCATGTCAATAAGTTGATGACTTCATTGTCAGATAAGCAGCAGCATTATTGCTTGTTTAAAATTGGAGACTCCTGACTGGGAAACATCAAGCTCAAAGTCTACCAGGTAGTTCGTATTTATTTATTTGCCGAAACAGCCTTTGTTTTTGTCAAAGTTTGTTTTTCTTTGTTTTCCTTCTTCTTTTTTTGGCTTCGAACGTGCTTGACTCGCTTTGCCAAAAAAATTATACAGTGCAGGAGTGCAGGTAAGGCGCCTCGACCATTCAGACCTGGTACAAAAAGCCCTCCCCCCCCCCCTAGACAGGCTCTAGACAGGGTGAGGTATTAAACAGGGGGGCCTTTTCAAACCAGGTCTATATGGTCACCACCCCTAACAAGAGTAAACTGGAGGTTAGAAAATAGCATTCCTCAATGCCAATTTGAATGCATCGAGGGAGGGTAAGCTGGCTTGGTCCATCATCAAGGAGTTCCAGTCTCTGCAGGTTTGGGAAGATGATGAGGACTAGACCTGCGTCCTGCAGTGGGGCATGGGAAACCCCAAGCAGCGACCTGTAGTGCCTCTCTGATTCTGTGAGTGCAAGTTGTCCTTTCAGTCAAAATCAGTCTAGTGACTGTGATCAGGTGCAAGTACTGTACCTTTAATCCTATTACAGTCGACTCTCCTTTTAATACAAACACTGTTAATACAAATTCTGGTTACAACAAACACAAAGCCTTGGTCCCGACTGAATTAATGTGCACAATGAATGCGACCATCGGTCCTCTTAATACAAAATTCTGATATAACAAACATTTTTGCTAGGTCCAGCTGAGTTTGTATGAACGGAAGTGGACTGTAGTAGCAGGTCATCAGTACTGGGCAAGACTCTGGCTGATGGGGTCCCCACTTTGATCTGTTGTGTTCATGATGAATGATAGTGAGTCCCAAATTTGGGACCAAACAATGAGGTGGTGAACAAAGTGCCAATAAACATTTTAGCTGGGATCTTGCCTCTCTTTTTTTTTAGCTTGGAGTTAATATTGTTAATGCTGACTGTAACATTTGTCTGTGTCTAATTTCATTCAGTAATACCTGTCAGTTTTCAAGTACTGTACAAAGCTCGTAGGCATGGCCTTATTCATTAAGAAAATGGCTGGGAAAAAGGACCAGCTGATATTCTCAAATACTATTGATTATTTTGGGCATATTTGAAATGTTTAGACCACAAATTTGTATCTGAATGGGCGGGAAATATTCCAGATTGAAAGGGATAGACTACGTGTAGAACTAAATGACAGGAATTCTATTTTTTCCCTTCGAAAATTGCTACGTGACAAGCTGATCTCTCATCAATTTCATTACCACAATCAATTTTTTTATGGGCTGGCTGAAAGTTGAAGCATGTTCATGTTTATTTTTGATCAGTTGCAGTTTTGAATTGCTTGTACATGTTGTAAACTGTATTCAAAGGGCAATGAAATATAATAGCGGGGCATCTCCGAGCCTAACCAAGTCTGTTGGGTAAAGTTTGACACCTACAGTAGGGTGGAGACAATCTTCTCAAACCAAGTTTCTTCCCTAGATGAGAGACCTCTCAGAGCAACTTCAAGGCTAAGGGTGCAGGTCTATTTTTGATAAAATATACCACCGATTGTGACTGATTATCAACTCCCTGCTAATTACATATTAAACCTGCAACAAAGACAACTTTACACAGAAGCGTCGGCGCAAGCAACATAATTTATTCAGTAATAATCAATAAATGTACAGCAATTGGAATTGAATTTGAGAGGCTGTGTTATTATCTGGGTTCTTTCTTACACGGTATACAACCCTAACCTAGTGCTCGTAGCAGCAATGCGCAACTTCATGCATCAGCAGTACACCACCAAAAATCAATGCGCAAGAGCATTACGAATGCACAACAACATCAGAAATGTACAACAGTATCAGCAATATACAACAACATCAGCAATGAACAACAATATTATGAATGCACAACATCATCAGCAATGAACAACAGCATCAGCAATGAGCAACAGCATTATCAATATGCAACAGCATCAGCAATGTACAAAAGCATCTGGAATATACAGAGGTGCCACTTTTCCGGGTTTTTTTGGCCAGGATGCCGGTTTTTCAAAATTCTCATAAAATTCCGGTTTTTCCAGCCATCAAAGAAAAACTAGAAACAGAGAACGAACCGACAGCTTAAAGGCCATAGAAGCAAAAATACAAAATAAATGGAAATGGGCTTGGCTACAGGAGAAAGATGACAATGGGGACTTTGTGTTCGGAGTAGCTTTTTAACAAAAATCAGTGCTAAAAAAAACAAAGTTCCCTTTGTTTAAGCAGACCCTGTGGCATCTCTGAATGTACAGCAGCATCAGAAATGTACAAAATCGTATCAGCAATGTACAACAGCATAAGGATTGCACAACAACATCAGCAATGTACAACAGCATCAGCAATGTACAACAGCATCAGCAAACTACAACAGCATCAGCAAACTACAACATCATCAGCATCAGTAATGTATGTGCATCAGCAATGTACAGCATCAGTATACAACAAGCCTGTGCACACACTTAGGCTTCACATGGGTTGACATTGTGATGACATGACTCAGTAACGACCGGAACATACCGGTATCAGTTGTGGATGTTTTGGCGAACTTCGTGTAACTGCGATGATATTCATACAATAAGCATCAATCAGTGCTCAAAAATTGACAGTCACAAGAGTAGCAAAATTGTGACTTCTGCACCACGATGGAACGTGTGTGAAGTTACAACATGGTCTAATTAACAGACGTGGACATGGACAATTGTTTGAGTAATCCTACATTACAGTCATGAAGTTAAAAAAGTATACTTTTTACAAGCAATTGTGTACAATTGTGACAGAGTTGTTCACATGAAGGTCGTTTTTGTACAAGTAATGCTTAAACATTCTCTTCAAATTATTAATTTTCTTTTAGATTTGTTCTTTTCTAAATAACATATCCATATTTTAAAAAAATTGTACCATTCCATGAATACAAGTTCTACTGAACTGCTTCTTGATAAAGTATTCATGATAAAATTTCACTCATTATTAATCCACTGTAGCAGATATGTTTTTTGGGTTTTTTTTGGTTTTAAACCGAAAGATGTTACAGAAACTGTCAATAGTGATTGGAACGCCCCTCAGTTCAGTTTGCAACCAATGGCAGGCAGCGTTTACAGGATCGATAGTTCGATATCAGAAGATCATGGGTCACTCGACGGCAGTCTTGGTTTCTGAGATAATAGATGAGCACGTTAAGCCAACTGTTTGTCAGGACAGGCAGCACATAGGTGAACAGGAGTACTATTGGGTGTTGGTATTGTAAGAATAGTACCGCACAGAGTGGCAAGAGGTTGGCAACAGATGCAGTCAAAACTATAATGAGGACTGTTTTCAGGGCCTTGTTGTCGGGCCTTGCGGCAGGGTTTCCCGGTTGAGCGATTTGGTTTTCGACTTGGATGGCTCTCGCTTGGTGTCGTGATATCATGAACAGTCGTGCATATGCTATGATAGTAACCAACAGAGTGCTGACTATTATGGGTAAATAGACTATTGCCACAATTATCATGGAGAATTCTGACTGAAATAAACACATTTGGATGGGTTTGATGTAAATGGTTTTCCAATGTGATGCTAATCCCAGTACAGTCGTCATCAATGCAAGGGTTCCCCACATACAACAGACAGATATTCGGGCCCGCTTCACAGTTACAAGAGATGGGTAGCGCAACGCGTACACCACCGAAATGTAGCGGTCCACAGTCAGCAGCAGGAGTGACGTTTGGGAACTGTAGATTAGTATGCCGTCAGTAAATGACAGCACTTTGCAAAATGCCTTGCCCAAAATAAGCTCAGTCTCGGAAATTGCAAGTACAGTCATCGGTAGAGCTCGGAAGAGTCCCACCCCGAGATCGGCAATCGTCATGGATCTGAGGAATATCTTGGTTGTTTCCTGGATGCTACGGACGTGCCTCAGGACCACAAGACACAGAGGGTTGAGGGTCAGAAGTAGGATGGTCGTTATGACGAGCAGGATGCATCGGATGAAGTTGTACTCAATTCTGTCCTGATTTGTTGGGGTCGTGGATGCATTGAATGAAGACAGGTCTTCACTACTTCCTGTTGAATTCATGTGGATGTTCATCTTGCTTGGTCAGGTTCAATCCGTTAGTAGGAATTTTTATTTAACTCCAGGGTATGAATTACACAGACAGCAGAAGAGGTCTTTGGCAAAAAACTTTCAGTCGTGCATTGAACAGTTTCAACGGAATAAGAATAAATGTAGTCAGAAAAACGTCACATATTGTATAAGGGTGGTAAACTGCAACCAGAGATTTGTGTACGGTAGGCTTTATCTCTTGAAAAGAGTTAAATGGGTGTGGCTTGTCCTGATCATGCACATGATGAGGACGTGTGTAAATAACCATAGGTCAGTGTTGATTGGCCAGTCTCTGTTTGGCTCCTTGATATTCTGTATATTTTGATTGATAATATAATGAGAGGCATGTTCATATTACTTATAAATGGACGCATTTGGCGCTGCAGTTAATTTCCTGCAAAATGCCATTACCGGTACCTGACAATTTCCATTTACAATGCATTGAAATTAGTAGTTGCCAGTTTAATATGTTTTGAGGTGGATTCAAGAATACATGTATATTGCACTCGCTATGACAACATTGCACGAGTCAAAGACGAGCGCAATATTGTCATAGCGAATGCAATATATTCTTGGATCCCCAGAAAAAAGCCGCCCAATATTGTTATTATTATTTACATCAGGCTGACTTGATTCGCAAGAAATACAATTCAATGCACTGTCTTCATTTCTCCTATTTCTCCTCAATTCTGTCCTGAGTTGTTGGGGTCGTGGATGCATTGAATGTAGACAGGTCTTCACTACTTCCTGTTGAATTCATGTGGATGTTCGTGTTGGTCGGGTTCAATCCGTACAATTTTTGATATAACTCCAGGGTATGAATTACACAGACAGCAGAACTGATATTTGACAAAAATCTCTCATTAATGCATAGAGCAGTTCAAACGTAATAAGAATACCGGTAATTGTAGTCAGAAAAACGTCACACATTGTAAGTGAGTGGTAAACTGCATCCAGAGATGCATCCAGTACGTATGCCTTATCTCTTGAAAAGAATTAAATGGGTGTGGCTTGTCCTTATCATGCTTATGATGAGGAAGTGTGTAAATAACCATAGGTCAGCGCTGATTGGCCTGTCTCTGGTTGGTTCCTTGATAATCTTCTTTTTTTTGTGATTGGCATATAATATTGCCATAGTGAGTGGCACGTCGATATTACATTTAAAGCAACCGTGGAACGCATTTTGCGCTACAGTTAATTTCCTGCAAAATGCCATTACCTGCCAATTTCCATTTACAATGCAATGTAATTAACTGTGCCAGTTTAACATGTTTAATCTGTTTTTAGGCCCAAAAAAAAAAATATTCGGTCTCTGGTCAGACCACAGTTCCAGAATCGACGCGGCTTCGCGGCTTTTTTTTTTTTTTTTTTGCTTTTTTTTTTTTTTTTTTCAAGCTTGGATTGTACAGACAAGGTGGGGTACTATTTTGCTTTTTGGTGTCCTCGTGTACATTGGTGTTCTTCATAATTTACCTTGGTGCTCTCGATCATTTGCCGTGGTGCAATTTCCCATTCCTTGGTGCTCTTTGGTAAAAAGAAAATTGAGGAGGTGCGGCAATAGAGGGCGCTGTTGGAGCTACAGCGGAACATTTTTTGGGGAAAAAAGATTGACGTGCATGATTAAAATCAACGCGCGCACTGACCAGAGACCGACTTTTTTTGGCCTTAATAACCCTTTTTAAAACAACAAGCCAACTTGTCCTCAACTGTTGCTTATGCCTACCGGTACCTTAAATAACTGGCCTCATGTCAAGAAGTGGATGACTTGATTGTCAGATAAGCAGCAGCATTATTGCTATTTAAAATTGGAGACTCCTGACTGGGAAGACATCAAGCTCAAAGTCTAGTTTTTATTTATTTATTGGCTGTTTCCCCATAGCATCTGTACATGTTTTCATCGTGGAAGGCACTTTTTTTTGGCATTAAAAACTAACCGATGACTTTAAACTAGAAACACACTTGGACCAGCATCTAAATATATGTGTGCCGAACAATGATGTCATCATGACGTCATCAAGTGATCCATGACGTCACATTTAATGTGCATATTTTGAAGGCCTTTATCTACAGAACTACAAGGCCGATTGAGATGAAAGTTGGTATGTACCGGTACCTAGACCGGGATGTATTATAGATGAAAATTGTAGTGGCATCACGATGGCGTCATCATGAGTCATATGACATCACATTAAATGTGCATATTTTAAAGGCATATCTACATAACTACAGGTCCGATTGGGTTGAAAGTTGGTATGTACCTAGACTGGGATGTGTTATAGATGAAAATTGTAGTGACATCACGATGACGTCATCACGTGACGTGATGTCATATTAAACGTGCATATTTTGAAGGCTTATACTTGTACATGTACATGTATCTACAGGACAACAGGTCTGATTTGGTTGAAGGTTGTTATGTACCTAGGCTGGGATGTGTTATTGATGAAAATTGTAGTGACATCACGATGACGTCGTCACGTGACATGTGACGTCATATTAAACGTGCATTTTTTGAAAGCTTATATCTATAGGACGACAGGTCTGATTGGGTTGAAAGTTGTTATGTACCTAGGCTGGGATGTGTTATAGATGAAAATTGTAGTGACATCACGATGACGTCGTCACGTGACATGTGACGTCATATTAAACGTGCATATTTTTAAGGCTTATATCTATAGGACGACAGGTCTGATTGGGTTGAAAGTTGTTATGTACCTAGGCTGGGATGTGTTATAGATGAAAATTGTAGTGACTTCATAGCTGCTGTACTATTGGCACTGATCACTTTGCAACTTTATACTGCACATATCTGTCCTATCAGTCTATACTATGACATAAAAATACAACAACAAATAATATTGCCGAAACAGCCATGTGTTTGTCCACAAATATCTAGATTTTTTATTTGATTTGTATGAACAATCTCTGTTTGGTTACCGGATGTTCGGACAAGAATCACTTTCCTTGACATAACAAATAGCTTCTGAAACTAACTGCGGAAAAATATTCTGTTAAATAGTCGGTTAGCACCATTCTGAAAATGTTGATTTCATTGCTGGACCCCCCCCCCCCCCTTCTCCCTACTTCCCCCTTGATGTCACTGCTCTGCATCGTTTTCTTGCAAACCCTACATGGTGTCTTGTGCACATTTTGAACCAATGATAAATGCTCTCAATTCGGGCGATTCACAATGCAGTGCGCCACCAAGAGTTTGCCACAGAGATTCCATTTTTCAAGTTTACGGTCAACAAAACATGGCCCATTTGAACAAGTGTCAGTTGACAACTTGAGCTAGTTTGTAATAGATTGGGGCATAATGTTCTGCCGCCTTACAAAAACACCATATTGATAAAAAATCATACTTAAATCATACGCTTACGAAACTGCTGACCGGAAAAACGAACAATTTCAAATGTCCCGCGGTGTGAATTTGTCGACTATCTCCCACAATGCACTTGGAAAAATGAACTCTCAGTGGCTAACTCTTGGTGACGCACTGCATTGTGAAACGCCCGAATTGCTTTCAGTTCTTTAATAAGCCATTTGCGAGTTAAATTTGAATACAATCTGGAACCGCTGACTTAATCCAATGCTTTGCACGTGTTTACTTTGCATTCTCCTGACCAAAGAGACTGTTACTATATCACGTGATTCGGGGCAAGCCTTATGCTAGCAACCCCCAGCTCTGGCATGGTCTGGTTTCTTTGTGCCATTCTCACCCATTGTGAACAATGTATTGGTACTGAGCGTCTCTTACGTAACTATGCAAGAGCTTGCCCCGAATCAGGTGATTAGCAACAGTGTCTTTAGTCTGGAGAATTCACAGTTACAATGTGCCAAGCATCCTGAGCAAGTCAGTGTACCAGACGTTTTTCAAAGTTTTATCCTAAAGGGTATAGGTCACTCGCAAATGGCTTATTAATTAAACCAATCAAACCAAAACACAGTGGATCTTATGCCAGAATGTTTCAATCTTCCTTTGTAATTGGAGGGGGGGGGGCTCGCCATTGGAATACAACTCTGTGCAAGCTTGTTTATTTTTGATAACGTCTGTGATTGCCTGTCGACCGGCCTTTGTAATTGCCAAGAGCTGCTTGGTGCTCCCTTGCATTCTGATTGATGTGAAATATTGTCAGCTTGAGTGGCAGCATTTAATTATATAATATTGGATGGCTTCCAAGCCGTCCAATATTGTTATTATTATTTATATCAGGCTGACTTGATTCACAAGAAATACAATTCAAGGCACCGTCTTCATCTCTCCTACAATTTTTGTATTTCGTCAAACTGTTTGAAGCTGCCATTGTGATTAGGGGCATCAGTTAAAGGTAAACGTGGCCTGCTGCGCGCTGCGTGGGCATCCGTGTTTGATGGTACCACGTGCTACGCTCTGATGAGTGGTTGACAACTATGAGTTTCTACGCTCTTGATCGTGAGGGAACCAGTGAAAATGTCTGGATGAGGGCGCACCGGACAATATCAAAAGTACCATTGTCCGCAATGTGGGTACTAGTTTTACTGACAATATTGCTGTCATCCGGGTACGTTTTGAAAAAGCATTCAATACGCTGATATTTTTTGTTTACCGCTGGAAGCCTGATATAAATAATAATCATGATTAAACCAACTTGCAGGATGCAGGTTGCTCTGTGTCTAATTTTGTTTAGATTTATTTCTTGTTAATTACCAATTATTGTACAAATCTTGAATGCTTGGGAAAAACTGATTGTCTCCTTTTCAGGGTGAGGTATTAAACAGGGGGGCCTTTTCAAACCAGGTCTATATGGTCACCACCCCTAACAAGAGTAAACTGGAGGTTAGAAAGTAGCATTCCTCGATGCCAATTTGAATGCATCGAGGGAGGGTAAGCTGGCTTGGTCCATCATCAAGGAGTTTCAGTCTCTGCAGGTTTGGGAAGATGATGAGGACTAGACCTGCGTCCTGCAGTGGGGCATGGGAAACCGTGAGCAGCGACCTGTAGTGCCTCTCTGATTCTGCGAGTGCAAGTTGTCCTTTCAGTCAAAATCAGTCTAGTGACTGTGATCAGGTGCAAGTACTGTACCTTTCATCCTATTACAGTCGACTCTCGTTTATACAAACACTGTTAATGCAAATTCTGGTTACAACAAACAAAAAGCCTTGGTCCCGACTGAATTAATGTGCACAATGAATGCGACCATCGGTCCTCTTAATACAAATTCTGATATAACAAACATTTTTGCTAGGTCCAGCTGAGTTTGTATGAACGGAAGTGGACTGAAATAGCAGGTCATCAGTACTGGGCGAGACTCTGGCTGATGGGGTCCCCACTTTGACCTGTTGTGTTCATGCTGAGTGATAGTGAGTCCCAAATCTGGGACCAAACAATGAGGTGGAGAACAAAGTGCCAATAAACATTTTAGCTGGGATCTTGCCTCTCTTTTTTTTTAGCTTGGAGTTGATATTGTTAATGCTGACTGTAACATTTGTCTGTGTCTAATTTCGTTCAGTAATACCTGTCAGTTTTCAAGTACTGTACAAAGCTCGTAGGCATGGCCTTATTCATTAAGAAAATGGCTGGGAAAAAGGACCAGCTGATATTCTCAAATATTATTGATTATTTTGGGCATATTTGAAATGTTTAGACAACAAATTTGTATCTGAATGGGCGGGAAATATTCCAGATTGAAAGGGATAGACTACATGTAGAACTAAATGACAGGAATTCTATTTTTTTTCCTTCGAAAATTGCTACGTGACAAGCTTATCTCTCATCAATTTCATTACCACAATCAATTTTTATGCCCCGCGGCGAAGCCGAAGGGGCATACTGTTTCCGCCTTGTCCTTCCGTGGGTGGGAAGGTGGGTGGGTGGGTGGGTGGGTGGGTGGGTGGGTGTGTGGGTGTGTGTGTGGGTGGGTGGGTGAGTTTGTCTTACATACGCAGTGTGGACTTCCGAACAAAAGACGTCCACATAATGTAGGTAGCACCGACGTTGTGTGGACTTGCCCCACGTCCACACAGTGTTTCCCCATTTCTGGAAAACAGGTTTAGAGGCATTTTTGGGTTAGGTTTATCTGTAGCAGAATGAAGAGAAACACTAAAGGGAATCATAGAAAAAAAATTGGGTTGAAAGAGTTTTCACAGTTTGAGAAAAATGAGTTTTTTCACTGGTTTTTCTTAACTACACGAAAGCAATGGAAAGTCCACACTAGTCATGTGAAACAAGTATGGGTGTGTGGGTGTGTGTGTCCGGACAAATCTTGTCAGCGCGATAACTTGAGAAATACTTAACATATTAACTTCAAATTTGGTTTGTGGATTGTTCTTGGTAATCCTAAGAAGCCTTTCGCATTTGGGGCCAAAAGGCCAAAGGTCAAGTTCACAGTGGCTAAAACAATAGAAATCTTGTCAGCGCGATAACTTGAGAAATACTTAACATATGAACTTCAAATTTGGTTTGTGGATTGTTCTTAGTAATCCTAAGAAGCCTTTCGCATTTGGGGCCAAAAGGCCAAAGGTCAAGTTCACAGTGGCTAAAACAATAGAAATCTTGTCAGCGCGATAACTTGAGAAATACTTTACATGTGAACTTCAAATTTGGTTTGTGGATTGTTTTTGGCAATCCTAAGAAGCCTTTCGCATTTTGGGCCAAAAGGCCAAAGGTCAAGTTCACAGTGGCTAAAACAATAGAAATCTTGTCAGCGCGATAACTTGAGAAATACTTTACATGTGAACTTCAAATTTGGTTTGTGGATTGTTTTTGGCAATCCTAAGAAGCCTTTTGCATTTGGGGCCAAAAGGCCAAAGGTCAAGTTCACAGTGGCTAAAACAATAGAAATCTTGTCAGCGCAATAACTTGAGAAATACTTTACATGTGAACTTCAAATTTGGTTTGTGGATTGTTCTTGGCAATCCTAAGAAGCCTATTGCATTTGGGGTCAAAAGGTCAAGTGTCAAGTTCACAGTGGCTAAAACAATAGAAATCTTGTATTTATTCTGAGATTATAGGGATAACAAAGTGAGTGCCCCCAGCTGGTCAGTATCAGGCACCCTCCAGGGCCTCCAACTCCTGCCAATTGGAGCCTTCACTGTTAAGACAAACTACATGTATCTGCCAATAAACTGCAGCTGGAGGGCATTGGCATAACCAACTGACATGCAGTAAACTACCCTCAGAGAGTAAGGGTTAAACCTGCAATGAAGACAACTTTACGCAGAAGCGTCGGCGCAAGCAACATAATTTATTCAGCAATAATCAATAAATGTACAGCAATTGGAATTGAATTTGAGAGGCTGTGTTATTATCTGGGTTCTTTCTTACACGGTATACAACCCTAACCTAGTGCTCGTAGCAGCAATGCGCAACTTCATGCATCAGCAGTACACCACCAAAAATCAATGCGCAACAGCATTACGAATGCACAACAACATCAGAAATGTACAACAGTATCAGCAATATACAACAACATCAGCAATGTACAACAACATTATGAATGCACAACATCATCAGCAATGTACAACATCATCAGCAATGAGCAACAGCATTATCAATGTGCAACTGCATCAGCAATGTACAAAAGCATCAGCAATGTACAGAGATGCCACTTTTCCGGTTTTTGCCGGGATTCCGGTTTTTAAAAATTCTCATAAAATTCCGGGTTTTCTGGCCGTCAAAGAAAAACTAGAAATAGAGAACAAACCAAAAGCTTAAAGGCCATAGAAGCGAAATACAAAATAAATGGAACTAGGCTTTGCTACAGGGGAAAGATGACAATGGGGACTTTGTGTCGGTGTAGCTTTTTCACAAAAAACAAAGATCCGTTTTTTTACCCCTCAGCCGAGAGGCTCGAGGGGTATTGTCATCGCCTACGGCATCCGTCCGTCCGTAAGGCCGTCCGTCGGGACGGGCAGCTTAGTTTCCGGATGATAATTTGAGTTAGAAATGAGATTTTGATTTCTAAATTTGGTAGGGGTTGCCCTTGGGAGTAGGTAAGTTGGGATTGGTTTTGGGGTCAAAAGGTCAAAGGTCAAGGTCACCACAGTGAGTGAAAGTTAAATGGTTTCCGGATGATAACTTAAGTTAGAAATGAGATTTTGGTGTCTAACTTTGGTAGGGGGTTGCCCTTGGGAGTAGGCAAGAAATTTTTGAAATTTGTTCTTTTCTAAATAACAAATCCATATTTAAAAAAAATTATATCATTTCATGAATACAACTTCTACTGAACTGCTTCTTGATAAAGTATTCATGATAAAATTTCACTCATTATTAATCCACTGTAGCAGATTTGTTTTTTTTTTATACCAAAAGATGTTACAGAAACTGTCAATAGTGATTGGAACGCCCCTCAGTTCAGTTTGCAACCAATGGCAGGCAGCGTTTACAGGTACTGAGCGTCTCTTACGTAACTATGCAAGAGCTTGCCCCGAATCAGGTGATTAGCAACAGTGTCTTTAGTCTGGAGAATTCACAGTTACAATGTGCCAAGCATCCTGAGCAAGTCAGTGTACCAGACGTTTTTCAAAGTTTTATCCTAAAGGGTATAGGTCACTCGCAAATGGCTTATTAATTAAACCAATCAAACCAAAACACAGTGGATCTTATGCCAGAATGTTTCAATCTTCCTTTGTAATTGGAGGGGGGGGGGGGCTCGCCATTGGAATACAACTCTGTGCAAGCTTGTTTATTTTTGATAACGTCTGTGATTGCCTGTCGACCGGCCTTTGTAATTGCCAAGAGCTGCTTGGTGCTCCCTTGCATTCTGATTGATGTGAAATATTGTCAGCTTGAGTGGCAGCATTTAATTATATAATATTGGATGGCTTCCAAGCCGTCCAATATTGTTATTATTATTTATATCAGGCTGACTTGATTCACAAGAAATACAATTCAAGGCACCGTCTTCATCTCTCCTACAATTTTTGTATTTCGTCAAACTGTTTGAAGCTGCCATTGTGATTAGGGGCATCAGTTAAAGGTAAACGTGGCCTGCTGCGCGCTGCGTGGGCATCCGTGTTTGATGGTACCACGTGCTACGCTCTGATGAGTGGTTGACAACTATGAGTTTCTACGCTCTTGATCGTGAGGGAACCAGTGAAAATGTCTGGATGAGGGCGCACCGGACAATATCAAAAGTACCATTGTCCGCAATGTGGGTACTAGTTTTACTGACAATATTGCTGTCATCCGGGTACGTTTTGAAAAAGCATTCAATACGCTGATATTTTTTGTTTACCGCTGGAAGCCTGATATAAATAATAATCATGATTAAACCAACTTGCAGGATGCAGGTTGCTCTGTGTCTAATTTTGTTTAGATTTATTTCTTGTTAATTACCAATTATTGTACAAATCTTGAATGCTTGGGAAAAACTGATTGTCTCCTTTTCAGGGTGAGGTATTAAACAGGGGGGCCTTTTCAAACCAGGTCTATATGGTCACCACCCCTAACAAGAGTAAACTGGAGGTTAGAAAGTAGCATTCCTCGATGCCAATTTGAATGCATCGAGGGAGGGTAAGCTGGCTTGGTCCATCATCAAGGAGTTTCAGTCTCTGCAGGTTTGGGAAGATGATGAGGACTAGACCTGCGTCCTGCAGTGGGGCATGGGAAACCGTGAGCAGCGACCTGTAGTGCCTCTCTGATTCTGCGAGTGCAAGTTGTCCTTTCAGTCAAAATCAGTCTAGTGACTGTGATCAGGTGCAAGTACTGTACCTTTCATCCTATTACAGTCGACTCTCGTTTATACAAACACTGTTAATGCAAATTCTGGTTACAACAAACAAAAAGCCTTGGTCCCGACTGAATTAATGTGCACAATGAATGCGACCATCGGTCCTCTTAATACAAATTCTGATATAACAAACATTTTTGCTAGGTCCAGCTGAGTTTGTATGAACGGAAGTGGACTGAAATAGCAGGTCATCAGTACTGGGCGAGACTCTGGCTGATGGGGTCCCCACTTTGACCTGTTGTGTTCATGCTGAGTGATAGTGAGTCCCAAATCTGGGACCAAACAATGAGGTGGAGAACAAAGTGCCAATAAACATTTTAGCTGGGATCTTGCCTCTCTTTTTTTTTAGCTTGGAGTTGATATTGTTAATGCTGACTGTAACATTTGTCTGTGTCTAATTTCGTTCAGTAATACCTGTCAGTTTTCAAGTACTGTACAAAGCTCGTAGGCATGGCCTTATTCATTAAGAAAATGGCTGGGAAAAAGGACCAGCTGATATTCTCAAATATTATTGATTATTTTGGGCATATTTGAAATGTTTAGACAACAAATTTGTATCTGAATGGGCGGGAAATATTCCAGATTGAAAGGGATAGACTACATGTAGAACTAAATGACAGGAATTCTATTTTTTTTCCTTCGAAAATTGCTACGTGACAAGCTTATCTCTCATCAATTTCATTACCACAATCAATTTTTATGCCCCGCGGCGAAGCCGAAGGGGCATACTGTTTCCGCCTTGTCCTTCCGTGGGTGGGAAGGTGGGTGGGTGGGTGGGTGGGTGGGTGGGTGGGTGTGTGGGTGTGTGTGTGGGTGGGTGGGTGAGTTTGTCTTACATACGCAGTGTGGACTTCCGAACAAAAGACGTCCACATAATGTAGGTAGCACCGACGTTGTGTGGACTTGCCCCACGTCCACACAGTGTTTCCCCATTTCTGGAAAACAGGTTTAGAGGCATTTTTGGGTTAGGTTTATCTGTAGCAGAATGAAGAGAAACACTAAAGGGAATCATAGAAAAAAAATTGGGTTGAAAGAGTTTTCACAGTTTGAGAAAAATGAGTTTTTTCACTGGTTTTTCTTAACTACACGAAAGCAATGGAAAGTCCACACTAGTCATGTGAAACAAGTATGGGTGTGTGGGTGTGTGTGTCCGGACAAATCTTGTCAGCGCGATAACTTGAGAAATACTTAACATATTAACTTCAAATTTGGTTTGTGGATTGTTCTTGGTAATCCTAAGAAGCCTTTCGCATTTGGGGCCAAAAGGCCAAAGGTCAAGTTCACAGTGGCTAAAACAATAGAAATCTTGTCAGCGCGATAACTTGAGAAATACTTAACATATGAACTTCAAATTTGGTTTGTGGATTGTTCTTAGTAATCCTAAGAAGCCTTTCGCATTTGGGGCCAAAAGGCCAAAGGTCAAGTTCACAGTGGCTAAAACAATAGAAATCTTGTCAGCGCGATAACTTGAGAAATACTTTACATGTGAACTTCAAATTTGGTTTGTGGATTGTTTTTGGCAATCCTAAGAAGCCTTTCGCATTTTGGGCCAAAAGGCCAAAGGTCAAGTTCACAGTGGCTAAAACAATAGAAATCTTGTCAGCGCGATAACTTGAGAAATACTTTACATGTGAACTTCAAATTTGGTTTGTGGATTGTTTTTGGCAATCCTAAGAAGCCTTTTGCATTTGGGGCCAAAAGGCCAAAGGTCAAGTTCACAGTGGCTAAAACAATAGAAATCTTGTCAGCGCAATAACTTGAGAAATACTTTACATGTGAACTTCAAATTTGGTTTGTGGATTGTTCTTGGCAATCCTAAGAAGCCTATTGCATTTGGGGTCAAAAGGTCAAGTGTCAAGTTCACAGTGGCTAAAACAATAGAAATCTTGTATTTATTCTGAGATTATAGGGATAACAAAGTGAGTGCCCCCAGCTGGTCAGTATCAGGCACCCTCCAGGGCCTCCAACTCCTGCCAATTGGAGCCTTCACTGTTAAGACAAACTACATGTATCTGCCAATAAACTGCAGCTGGAGGGCATTGGCATAACCAACTGACATGCAGTAAACTACCCTCAGAGAGTAAGGGTTAAACCTGCAATGAAGACAACTTTACGCAGAAGCGTCGGCGCAAGCAACATAATTTATTCAGCAATAATCAATAAATGTACAGCAATTGGAATTGAATTTGAGAGGCTGTGTTATTATCTGGGTTCTTTCTTACACGGTATACAACCCTAACCTAGTGCTCGTAGCAGCAATGCGCAACTTCATGCATCAGCAGTACACCACCAAAAATCAATGCGCAACAGCATTACGAATGCACAACAACATCAGAAATGTACAACAGTATCAGCAATATACAACAACATCAGCAATGTACAACAACATTATGAATGCACAACATCATCAGCAATGTACAACATCATCAGCAATGAGCAACAGCATTATCAATGTGCAACTGCATCAGCAATGTACAAAAGCATCAGCAATGTACAGAGATGCCACTTTTCCGGTTTTTGCCGGGATTCCGGTTTTTAAAAATTCTCATAAAATTCCGGGTTTTCTGGCCGTCAAAGAAAAACTAGAAATAGAGAACAAACCAAAAGCTTAAAGGCCATAGAAGCGAAATACAAAATAAATGGAACTAGGCTTTGCTACAGGGGAAAGATGACAATGGGGACTTTGTGTCGGTGTAGCTTTTTCACAAAAAACAAAGATCCGTTTTTTTACCCCTCAGCCGAGAGGCTCGAGGGGTATTGTCATCGCCTACGGCATCCGTCCGTCCGTAAGGCCGTCCGTCGGGACGGGCAGCTTAGTTTCCGGATGATAATTTGAGTTAGAAATGAGATTTTGATTTCTAAATTTGGTAGGGGTTGCCCTTGGGAGTAGGTAAGTTGGGATTGGTTTTGGGGTCAAAAGGTCAAAGGTCAAGGTCACCACAGTGAGTGAAAGTTAAATGGTTTCCGGATGATAACTTAAGTTAGAAATGAGATTTTGGTGTCTAACTTTGGTAGGGGGTTGCCCTTGGGAGTAGGCAAGAAATTTTTGAAATTTGTTCTTTTCTAAATAACAAATCCATATTTAAAAAAAATTATATCATTTCATGAATACAACTTCTACTGAACTGCTTCTTGATAAAGTATTCATGATAAAATTTCACTCATTATTAATCCACTGTAGCAGATTTGTTTTTTTTTTATACCAAAAGATGTTACAGAAACTGTCAATAGTGATTGGAACGCCCCTCAGTTCAGTTTGCAACCAATGGCAGGCAGCGTTTACAGGATCGGTAGTTAGATATCAGAAAATCATGGGTCGCTCGACGGCAATCTTGGTTTCTGAGATAATAGATGAGCACGTTAAGCCAACTGTTTGTCAGGACAGGCAGCACATAGGTGAACAGGAGTACTATTGGGTGTTGGTATTGTAAGAATAGTACCGCACAGAGTGGCAAGAGGTTGGCAACAGATGCAGTCAAAACTATAATAAGGACTGTTTTCAGGGCTTTGTTGTTGGGCCTCACAGCAGGATTTCTTGGTTGAGCGATTTGGTTTTCGACTTGGATGGCTCTCGCTTGGTGTCGTGATATCATGAACAGTCGTGCATATGCTATGATAGTAACCAACAGAGTGCTGACTATTATGGGTAAATAGACTATTACTACAATTATCGAGGAGGATCCTGACTGAAATATACACGTTGGGATAGATTTGATGTAAACAGTTTTCCAACGTGATGTTAATCCGTGTGCAGTTATCATCAATGCAAGGGTTCCCCACATACAACAGACTGAAATTCGAGCCCGCTTCACAGTTACAAGAGATGGGTAGCGCAACGCGTACACCACCGAAATGTAGCGGTCCACAGTCAGCAGCAGGAGTGACATCTGGGGACCGTAGATTAAGATTTCACTGGCAAATGACAGCACTTGGCAAAACACCTCGCCAATATGCTCAGTCTCGGAAATTACAAGTACAGTCATCGGTAGAGCTCGGAAGAGTCCCACCCCGAGATCGGCAATCGTCATGGATCTGAGGAATATCTTAGTTGTTTCCTGGATGCTACGGACATGCCTCAGGACCACAAGACACAGCGGGTTGAGGGTCAGAAGTAGGATGGTCGTTATGACGAGCAGGATGCATCGGATGAAGTTGTACTCAATTCTGTCCTGAGTTGTTGGGGTCGTGGATGCATTGAATGTAGACAGGTCTTCACTACTTCCTGTTGAATTCATGTGGATGTTCATCTTCCTTGGTCAGGTTCAATCCGTTAGTAGGAATTTTTATTGAACTCCAGGGTATGAATTACACAGACAGCAGAACTGATATTTGACAGAAATCTTTCATTAATGCATAGAGCAGTTTGAACGTAATAAGAATAAATGTAGTTGGAAAAACGTCACACATTGTAAGTGAGCGGTAAACTGCATCCAGAGATTTTTGTACGTAGGCTTCATCTCTTGAAAAGAATTAAATGGGTGCGGCTTGTCCTTATCATGCACAGAATGAGGAAGTGTGTAAATAACCATAGGTCAGCGCTGATTGGCCAGTCTCTGGTTGGCTCCTTGATATTCTTTTTTATTTATTGGCATATAATATTGCCATAGTGAGTGGCACGTCGATATTACATTTAAAGCAACCGTGGAACGCATTTTGCGCTACAGTTAATTTCCTGCAAAATGCCATTACCTGCCAGTTTCCATTTACAATGCATTGTAATTAACTTTGCCAGTTTAACATGTTTAATCTGTTTTAATAACCCTTTTTAAAACATCAAGCCAACTTGTCCTCAACTGTTGCTTTTGCCTACCGGTACCTTAAATAACTGGCCTCATGTCAAGAAGTGGGTGACTTGATTCCTGACTGGGAAAACATCAAGATCAAAGTCTAGTTTTTATTTATTTATTGGCTGTTTCCCCATAGCATCTTTACACGTTTTCATCGTGGAAGGCACTTTTTTTTGGCATTAAAAACTAACCGATTGACTTTAAACTAGACGCACACTTGGACCAGCATCTAAATACATGTGTGCCGAACAATGACGTCATTATGACGTCATCAAGTGAGCCATGACGTCACATTTAATGTGCATATTTTGAAGGCCTTTATCTACAGAACTACAAGGGCGATTGAGATTAAAGTTGGTATGTACCGGTACCTAGACCGGGATGTATTATAGATGAAAATTGTAGTGGCATCACGATGGCGTCATCACGAGTCACGTGACGTCACATTAAATGTGCATATTTTAAAGGCATAACTACAGGTCCGATTGGGTTGTAAGTTGGTATGTACCTAGACTGGGATGTGTTATAGGTGAAAATTGTAGTGACATCACGATGACGTCATCACGTGACATGTGACGTCATATTAAACGTGCATATTTTGAAGGCTTATAATTAGGACGATAGGTCTGATTGGGTTGAAAGGTGTTATGTACCTAGGCCGGGATGTGTTATAGATGAAAATTGTAGTAACTTCATAGCTCCTGAACTATTTGCGCTTATCACTATGCAACTTTTTACTGCACATATCTGTCCTATCAGTCTATGCTATGACATAAAAATACAACAACAAATAGTAATGCCGAATCAGTCATGTGTTTGTCCACAAACATCGAGTGTTTTTGTTTGATGTGCAGGAACAATCTCTGTTCGGTTACCGGATGTTCGAACAAGAATCACTTTCCATGAGTTAGCAAATAACGCCTGTAATCTAACTGCGGAAAAATAGTCTGTTAAATAGTCTGTTAGCACCATTCTGAAAATGTCGATTTCATTGCTGGACCCCCCCCCCCTTCCCCCTTGATGTCATTGCTATGCATTGTTTTCTTGCAAACCCTATATGGGTTTTTTTGGTGCATTTTGAACATATGATCAATGCTCTCAATTGCTTTCACCTGGTCACATAGCAATTTTCCAAGGGGAAAAATTGAATTCCTGTCCTTTAGTGGTGGGGCATCTCCGGGCCCAACCTACCGGTAAGTTTGTTGGGATTTATATGTTTGACACCTTCATTAGGGTGGAGACAATCTTCTCAAACCATGTTTCTTAATACCTAGATGAGAAACCTCTCAGAGCAACCTCAAAGCTAAGGGTGCAGGTCCATTTTTGACTGATTGTCAACTCCCTGCTAATAACACATAAAACCTGCAACAAAGACAACTTTACAGCAGAATTGTCGGCGCAAGCAACATAATTTTATTCAGTAATAATCAATAAATGTACAGTAAGTGGACTTGAAGTTGAGTGGCTGTGTTATTATCTGGGTTCTTTCTTACATGGAATACAACAGTATCAGCAATGTACAACAACATCAGGAATGAACAACAATATTATGAATGCACAACATCATCAGCAATGTACAACAGCGTCAGAAATAAGCAACAGCATCATCAATGTGCAACAGCATCAGCAATATACAAAAGCATCAGGAATATCCAGAGATGCCACTTTTCCCGGTTTTTTGGGCCAGGATTCCGTTTTTTAAAAATTCTCATAAAATTCCGTTTTTTTCCGGCCATCAAAGAAACACTAGAAATAGAGAACGAACCGACAGCTTAAAGGCCATAGAAGCACAAATACAAAATAAATGGAAATGGGCTTGGCTACAGGAGAAAGGTGACAATGGGGACTTTGTGTTCGGAGTAGCTTTTTAACAAAAATCAGTGCTCAAAAATCAGTGCTCAAAAAAACGAATTTCCCTTTTTTTAAGCAGACCCTGTGGCATCTCTGAATGTACAGCAGCATCAGAAATGTACAAAATGGTATCAGCAATGTACAACAGCATTAGGATCGCACAACAACATCAGCAATGTACAACAGCATCAGCAATGTACAACAGCATCAGCAAACTACAACATCATCAGCATCAGTAATGTATGTGCATCAGCAATGTACAGCATCAGTATACAACAAGCCTGTGCACACACCTTAGGCTTCACACTGGTTGACATTGTGATGACATGACTCAGTAACGACCGGAACATACCGGTATCAGTTGTGGATGTTTTGGCGAACTTCGTGTAACTGCGATGATATTCATACAATAAGCATCAATCAGTGCTCAAAAATTGACAGTCACAAGAGTAGCAAAATTGTGACTTCTGCATCACGACGGAACGTGTGTGAAGTTACGACAATGTCCAATTTACAGACGTGGACATGGACAGTTGTTTTAGAAATCCTACATTACAGTCATGAAGTTAAAAAAAGTATACTTTTTACAAGCAATTGTGTACAATTGAGACAAAGTTGTTCACATGAAGGTCGTTTTTGTACAAGTAATGCTTAAACATTCTCTTCAAATTAGTAATTTTCTTTTAGATTTGTTCTTTTCTAATAACATATCCATATTTTTAAACAATTGTACCATTCCATGAATACAAGTTCTACTGCATTGCTTCTTGATAAAGTACTCGATAAAATTTCACTCATTATTAATCCACTGTAGCAGATTTGTTTGTTTTTAAACCAAAATATGTTACAGAAACTGTCAATGGTGATTGGAACGCCCCTCATTTCAGTTTGCAACCAATGGCAGGCAGCGTTTACAGGATCGGTAGTTAGATATCAGAAAATCATGGGTCGCTCGACGGCAATCTTGGTTTCTGAGATAATAGATGACTGTGTTAAGCCAACTGTTTGTCAGGACAGGCAGCACATAGGTGAACAGGAATACTATTGGGTGTACATGTAGGTATTGTAAGAGTAGAAACGCACAGAGTGGCAAGAGGTTGGCAACAGATGCAGTCAAAACTATAATAAGGACTGTTTTCAGAGCCTTGTTGTCAGGCCTCGCAGCAGGGTTTCCTGGTTGAGCGATTTGGTTTTCAACCTGGATGGCTCTCGCTTGGTGTCGTGATATCATGAACAGTCGTGCGTATGCTATGATAGTAACAAACAGAGTGCTGACTATTATGGTTGAATAGACTATTGCTACAATTATCATGGAGGATTCTGACCAAAATAAACACATTTGGATGGGTTTGCTGTAAACAGTTTTCCAATGAGATTTTAATCCGTGTATAGTTGGTATCAATACAAGGATTCCCCACATACAACAGACTGAAATTCGAGCCCACTTCACAGTTACAAGAGATGGGTAGCGCAACGCGTACACCACGGAAATGTAGCGGTCCACAGTCAGTAGCAGGAGTGACATCTGGGGACTGTAGATTACGATTTCACCGGCAAATGACAGCACTTGGCAAAACGCCTCGCCAATATGCTCAGTCTCGGAAATTGCAAGTACAGTCATCGGTAGAGCTTGGAAGAGTCCCATGCCGAGATCGGCAATCGTCATGGATCTGAGGAATATCTTAGTTGTTTCCTGGATGCTGCGGACATGCCTCAGGACCACAAGACACAGCGGGTTGAGGGTCAGAAGTAGAGTGGTCGTTATGATGAGCAGGATGCATCGGATGAAGTTGTACTCAATTCTGTCCTGAGTTGTTGGGGTCGTGGATGCATTGAATGTAGACAGGTCTTCACTACTTCCTGTTGAATTCATGTGGATGTTCATGTTGCTTGGTCAGGTTCAATCCGTTAGTAGGAATTTTTATTTAACTCCAGGGTATGAATTACACAGACAGCAGAACTGATATTTGACAAAAATCTTTCATTAATGCATAGAGTAGTTTGAACGTAATAAGAATAAATGTAGTTGGAAAAACATCACAGATTGTAAGTGAGTGAGTGGTAAACTGCATCCAGAGATTTTTGTACGTAGGCTTCATCTCTTGAAAAGAATTAAATGGGTGCGGCTTGTCCTTCTCATGCACAGGATGAGGAAGTGTGTAAATAACCATAGGTCAGCGCTGATTGGCCAGTCTCTGGTTGGCTCCTTGATTATCTTTCTTTCTTTTTTTGATTGGCATATAATATTGCCATAGTGAGTGGCACGTCGATATTACATTTAAAGCAACCGTGAAACGCATTTTGCGCTACAGTTAATTTCCTGCAAAATGCCATTACATGCCAATTTCCATTTACAATGCAATGTAATTAACTTTGCCAGTTTAACATGTTTAATCTGTTTTTAGGCCAAAAAAAAAAATATTCGGTCTCTGGTCAGACCAAAGTTCCAGAATTGACGCGGCGACGCGGCTTTTTTTTTTTTTTTGCTTTTTTTCTTTTTTTCTTCAAGCTTGGATTGTACAGACAAGGTGGGGTACTATTTTGCTTTTTGGTGTCCTCATGTACATTGGTGTCCTTCATAATTTGCCTTGGTGCTCTCGATCATTTGCCGTGGTGCAATTTCCCATTCCTTGGTGCTCTTTGGTAAAAATTATTGAGGAGGTGCGGCAATAGAGGGCGCTGTTGGAGCTACCGGGGAACATTTCGGGGAAAAAAAAGATTGACGCGCATGATTAAAATCGACGCGCGCACTGACCAGAGACCGACTTATTTTTTTTTTTTTGCCTTAATAACCCTTTTTAAAACAACAAGCCAACTTGTCCTCAACTGTTGCTTATGCCTACCGGTACCTTCAATAACTGGCCTCATGTCAAGAAGTGGATGACTTGATTGTCAGATAAGCAGCAGCATTATTGCTATTTAAAATTGGAGACTCCTGACTGGGAAAACATCAAGCTCAAAGTCTAGTTTTTATTTATTTATTGGCTGTTTCCCCATAGCATAAGTACATGTTTTCATCGTGGAAGGCACTTTTTTTTTGGCATTAAAAACTAACCGATGACTTTAAACTAGACACACACTTGGACCAGCATCTAAATATATGTGTGCCGAACAATGATGTCATCATGACGTCATCAAGTGAGCCATGACGTCACATTTAATGTGCATATTTTGAAGGCCTTTATCTACAGAACTACAAGGCCGATTGAGATGAAAGTTGGTATGTACCGGTATCTAGACCGGGATGTATTATAGATGAAAATTGTAGTGGTATCACGATGGCGTCATCATGAGTCACATGACATCACATTAAATGTGCATATTTTAAAGGCATATCTACATAACTACAGGTCCGATTGGGTTGAAAGTTGGTATGTACCTAGACTGGGATGTGTTATAGGCGAAAATTGTAGTGACATCACGATGACGTCATCACGTGACATGTGACGTCATATTAAACGTGCATACATTGTATTTTGAAGGCTTATAATTAGGACGATAGGTCTGATTGGGTTGAAAGTCGTTATGTACCTAGGCCGGGATGTGTTATAGATGAAAATTGTAGTAACTTCATAGCTCCTGAACTATTTGCGCTGATCACTATGCAACTTTTTACTGCACATATCTGTCCTATCAGTCTATGCTATGACATAAAAATACAACAACAAATAATAATGCCGAATCCGTCATGTGTTTGTCCACAAACATCGAGTGTTTTTGTTTGATGTGCAGGAACAATCTCTGTTCGGTTACCGGATGTTCGAACAAGAATCACTTTCCACGAGTTAGCAAATAACGCCTGTAATCTAACTGCGGAAAAATAGTCTGTTAAATAGTCTGTTAGCACCATTCTGAAAATGTTAATTTCATTGCTGGACCCCCCCCCTTCCCCCTTGATGTCATTGCTATGCATTGTTTTCTTGCAAACCCTATATGTTTTTTTGTGTGCATTTTGAACATATGATCAATGCTTTCAATTGCTTTCACCTGGTCACATACCAATTTTCCAAGGGAAAAAAATTGAATTCCTGTCCTTTAGTGGTGGGGCATCTCCGGGCCCAACCTACCGGTAAGTCTGTTGGGATTTATATGTTTGACACCTGCATAACGGTGGAGACAATCTTCTCAAACCATGTTTCTTAATACCTAGATGAGAAACCTCTCAGAGCAACCTCAAAGCTAAGGGTGCAGGTCCACTTTTGACTGATTGTCAACTCCCTGCTAATAACACATAAAACCTGCAACAAAGACAACTTTACAGCAGAATCGTCAGCGCAAGCAACATAATTTATTCAGTAATAATCAATAAATGTACAGTAAGTGGACTTGAAGTTGAGTGGCTGTGTTATTATCTGGGTTCTTTCTTACATGGAATACAACCCTAACCTAGTGCTCGTAGCAGCAATGCGCAACTTCATGCATCAGCAGTACACTACACAAAAATTAATGTGCAACAACATTACGAATGCACAACAACATCAGAAATGTACAACAGTATCAGCAATATACAACAGTATCAGCAATATACAACAACATCAGCAATGAACAACAATATTATGAATGCACAACATCATCAGCAATGTACAACAGCGTCAGCAATAAGCAACAGCATCATCAATGTGCAACAGCATCAGCAATGTACAAAAGCATCAGGAATATACAGAGATGCCACTTTTCCGGGTTTTTTTGGCCAGGATTCCGGTTTTCTAAAATTCTCATAAAATTCCGGTTTTTCCGGCCATCAAAGAAAAACTAGAAATAGAGAACGAACCGACAGCTTAAAGGCCATAGAAGCAAAAATACAAAATAAATGGACATAGGCTTGGCTACAGGAGAAAGATGACAATGGGGACTTTGTGTTCGGAGTAGCTTTTTAACAAAAATCAGTGCTCAAAAATCAGTGCTCAAAAAAAAAAGTTCCCTTTTTTTAAGCAGACCCTGTGGCATCTCTGAATGTACAGCAGCATCAGAAATGTACAAAATGGTATCAGCAATGTACAACAGCATTAGGATTGCACAACAACATCAGCAATGTACAACAGCATCAGCAATGTACAACAGCATCAGCAAACTACAACAGCATCAGCAAACTACAACATCATCAGCATCAGTAATGTATGTGCATCAGCAATGTACAGCATCAGTATACAACAAGCCTGTGCACACACCTTAGGCTTCACACGGGTTGACATTGTGATGACATGACTCAGTAATGACCGGAACATACCGGTATCAGTTGTGGATGTTTTGGCGAACTTCGTGTAACTGCGATGATATTCATACAATAAGCATCAATCAGTGCTCAAAAATTGACAGTCACAAGAGTAGCAAAATTGTGACTTCTGCACCACGACGGAACGTGTGTGATGTTACGACATGGTCCAATTAACAGATGTGGACATGGACAATTGTTTGAAAAATCCTACATTACAGTCATGAAGTTAAAAAAAGTATACTTTTTACAAGCAATTGTGTACAATTGAGACAAAGTTGTTCACATGAAAGTCGTTTTTGTACAAGTAATGCTTAAACATTCTCTTCAAATTATTAATTTTCTTTTAGATTTGTTCTTTTCTAAATAACATATCCATATTTTTAAACAATTGTACCATTCCATGAATACAAGTTCTACTGAACTGCTTCTTGATAAAGTACTCATGATAAAATTTCACTCATTATTAATCCACTGTAGCAGATTTGTTTGTTTTTATACCAAAAGATGTTACAGAAACTGTCAATAGTGATTGGAACGCCCCTCAGTTCAGTTTGCAACCAATGGCAGGCAGCGTTTACAGGATCGATAGTTCGATATCAGAAAATCATGGGTCGCTCGACGGCAATCTTGGTTTCTGAGATAATAGATGACTGTGTTAAGCCAACTGTTTGTCAGGACAGGCAGCACATAGGTGAACAGGAATACTATTGGGTGTACCGATAGGGGTTGTAAGAGTAGAAACGCACAGAGTGGCAAGAGGTTGGCAACAGATGCAGTCAAAACTATAATAAGGACTGTTTTCAGAGCCTTGTTGTCAGGCCTCGCAGCAGGGTTTCCTGGTTGAGCGATTTGGTTTTCAACCTGGATGGCTCTTGCTTGGTGTCGTGATATCATGAACAGTCGTGCATATGCTATGATAGTAACCAACAGAGTGCTGACTATTATGGTTGAATAGACTATTGTTACAATTATCGTGCAGGATTCTGACCGAAATAAACACATGTGGATGGGTTTGCTGTAAATGGTTTTCCAATGTGATGCTAATCCGTATACAGTTATCATCAATGCAAGGGTTCCCCACATACAACAGACTGAAATTCGAGCCCGCTTCACAGTTACAAGAGATGGGTAGCGCAACACGTACACCACCGAAATGTAGCGGTCCACAGTCAGCAGCAGGAGTGACGTCTGGGGACTGTAGATTAATATGCTGTCGGTAAATGACAGCACTTTGCAAAATGCCTCGCCAATATGCTCAGTCTCGGAAATTGCAAGTACAGTCATCGGTAGAGCTCGGAAGAGTCCCACCCCGAGATCGGCAATCGTCATGGATCTGAGGAATATCTTGGTTGTTTCCTGGATGCTACGGACATGCCTCAGGACCACAAGACACAGCGGGTTGAGGGTCAGAAGTAGGATGGTCGTTATGACGAGCAGGATGCATCGGATGAAGTTGTACTCAATTCTGTCCTGAGTTGTTGGGGTCGTGGATGCATTGAATGAAGACAGGTCTTCACTACTTCCTGTTGAATTCATGTGGATGTTCATGTTGTTTGGTCAGGTTCAATCCGTTAGTAGGAATTTTTATTTAACTCCAGGGTATGAATTACACAGACAGCAGAACTGATATTTGACAGAAATCTTTCATTAATGCATAGAGTAGTTTGAACGTAATAAGAATAAATGTAGTGGGAAAAACATCACAGATTGTAAGTGAGTGGTAAACTGCATCCAGAGATTTTTGTACGTAGGCTTCATCTCTTGAAAAGAATTAAATGGGTGCGGCTTGTCCTTCTCATGCACAGGATGAGGAAGTGTGTAAATAACCATAGGTCAGCGCTGATTGGCCAGTCTCTGGTTGGTTCCTTGATTATCTTTCTTTCTTTTTTTGATTGGCATATAATATTGCCATAGTGAGTGGCACGTCGATATTACATTTAAAGCAACCGTGGAACGCATTTTGCGCTACAGTTAATTTCCTGCAAAATGCCATTACCTGCCAATTTCCATTTACAATGCAATGTAATTAACTTTGCCAGTTTAACATGTTTAATCTGTTTTTAGGCCCCCCCAAAAAAATATTCGGTCTCTGGTCAGACCAAAGTTCCAGAATTGACGCGGCGACGCGGCTTTGTTTTTTTTTTTTTTCAAGCTTGGATTGTACAGACAAGGTGGGGTACTATTTTGCTTTTTGATGTCCTCATGTACATGGGTGTCCTTCATAATTTACCTTGATGCTCTCGATTATTTGCCGTGGTGCAATTTCCCATTCCTTGGTGCTCTTTGGTAAAAAAAACTTGAGGAGGTGCGGCAATAGAGGGCGCTGTTGGAGCTACCGGGGAACATTTTGGGGAAAAAAAAGATTGACGCGCATGATTAAAATCGACGCGCGCACTGACCAGAGACCGACTTATTTTTTTTTTGGCCTTAATAACCCTTTTTAAAACAACAAGCCAACTTGTCCTCAACTGTTGCTTATGCCTACCGGTACCTTAAATAACTGGCCTCATGTCAAGAAGTGGATGACTTGATTGTCAGATAAGCAGCAGCGTTATTGCTATTTAAAATTGGAGACTCCTGACTGGGAAAACATCAAGCTCAAAGTCTAGTTTTTATTTATTTATTGGCTGTTTCCCCATAGCATCTGTACATGTTTTCATCGTGGAAGGCACTATTTTTTTGGCATTAAAACTAACCGATGACTTTAAACTAGACACACACTTGGACCAGCATCTAAATATATGTGTGCCGAACAATGATGTCATCATGACGTCATCAATTGAGCCATGACGTCACATTTAATGTGCATATTTTGAAGGCCTTTATCTACAGAACTACAAGGCCGATTGAGATGAAAGTTGGTATGTACCGGTACCTAGACCGGGATGTATTATAGATGAAAATTGTAGTGGCATCACGATGGCGTCATCATGAGTCACATGACATCACATTAAATGTGCATATTTTAAAGGCATATCTACATAACTACAGGTCCGATTGGGTTGAAAGTTGGTATGTACCTAGACTGGGATGTGGTATAGGTGAAAATTGTAGTGACATCACGATGACGTCATCACGTGACATGTGACGTCATATTAAACGTGCATATTTTGAAGGCTTATAATTAGGATGATAGGTCTGATTGGGCTGAAAGGTGTTATGTACCTAGGCCAGGATGTGTTATAGATGAAAATTGTAGTAACTTCATATCTCCTGAACTATTTGCGCTGATCACTATGCAACTTTTTACTGCACATATCTGTCCTATCAGTCTATGCTATGACTTAAAAATACAACAACAAATAATAATGCCGAATCAGTCATGTGTTTGTCCACAAACATCGAGTGTTTTTGTTTGATGTGCAGGAACAATCTCTGTTCGGTTACCGGATGTTCGAACAAGAATCACATTCCATTAGTTAGCAAATAACGCCTGTAATCTAACTGCGGAAAAATAGTCTGTTAAATAGTCTGTTAGCACCATTCTGAAAATGTTGATTTCATTGCTGGACCCCTTCCCTTTGATGTCATTGCTATGCATTGTTTTTTTGCAAACCCTATATGGTTTTCTTTTGTGCATTTTGAACATATGATCAATGCTCTCAATTGCTTTCACCTGGTCACATAGCAATTTTCCAAGGGGAAAAAATTGAATTCCTGTCCTTTAGTGGTGGGGCATCTCCGGGCCCAACCTACTGGTAAGTCTGTTTGGATTTATATGTTTGACACCTTCATTAGGGTGGAGACAATCTTCTCAAACCATGTTTCTTAATACCTACATGTAGATGAGAAACCTCTCAGAGCAACGTCAAAGCTAAGGGTGCAGGTCCATTTTTGACTGATTGTCAACTCCCTGCTAATAACACATAAAACCTGCAACAAAGACAACTTTACAGCAGAATCGTCAGCGCAAGCAACATAATTTATTCAGTAATAATCAATAAATGTTCAGTAAGTGGACTTGAAGTTGAGTGGCTGTGTTATTATCTGGGTCCTTTCTTACATGGAATACAACCCTAACCTAGTGCTCGTAGCAGCAATGCGCAACTTCATGCATCAGCAGTACACCACACAAAAATAAATGTGCAACAACATTACGAATACACAACAACATCAGAAATGTACAACAGTATCAGCAATATACAACAGTATCAGCAATATACAGTGTAACTGCGATGATATTCATACAATAAGCATCAATCAGTGCTCAAAAATTGACAGTCACAAGAGTAGCAAAATTGTGACTTCTGCACCACGACGGAACGTGTGTGAAGTTACGACAATGTCCAATTTACAGACGTGGACATGGACAGTTGTTTTAGAAATCCTACATTACAGTCATGAAGTTAAAAAAAGTATACTTTTTACAAGCAATTGTGTACAATTGAGACAAAGTTGTTCACATGAAGGTCGTTTTTGTACAAGTAATGCTTAAACATTCTCTTCAAATTAGTAATTTTCTTTTAGATTTGTTCTTTTCTAAATAACATATCCATATTTTTAAACAATTGTACCATTCCATGAATACAAGTTCTACTGAACTGCTTCTTGATAAAGTACTCATGATAAAATTTCACTCATTATTAATCCACTGTAGCAGATTTGTTTGTTTTTATACCAAAAGATGTTACAGAAACTGTCAATAGTGATTGGAACGCCCCTCAGTTCAGTTTGCAACCAATGGCAGGCAGCGTTTACAGGATCGATAGTTCGATATCAGAAAATCATGGGTCGCTCGACGGCAATCTTGGTTTCTGAGATAATAGATGACTGTGTTAAGCCAACTGTTTGTCAGGACAGGCAGCACATAGGTGAACAGGAATACTATTGGGTGTTCCGATAGGTGTTGTAAGAGTAGAAACGCACAGAGTGGCAAGAGGTTGGCAACAGATGCAGTCAAAACTATAATAAGGACTGTTTTCAGAGCCTTGTTGTCAGGCCTCGCAGCAGGGTTTCCTGGTTGAGCGATTTGGTTTTCAACCTGGATGGCTCTTGCTTGGTGTCGTGATATCATGAACAGTCGTGCATATGCTATGATAGTAACCAACAGAGTGCTGACTATTATGGTTGAATAGACTATTGCTACAATTATCATGGAGGATTCTGACCAAAATAAACACATTTGGATGGGTTTGCTGTAAATGGTTTTCCAATGTGATTTTAATCCGTGTACAGTTGGTATCAATACAAGGATTCCCCACATACAACAGACTGAAATTCGAGCCCGCTTCACAGTTACAAGAGATGGGTAGCGCAACGCGTACACCACCGAAATGTAGCGGTCCACAGTCAGCAGCAGGAGTGACATCTGGGGACTGTAGAGTACGATTTCACCGGCAAATGACAGCACTTGGCAAAACACCTCGCCAATATGCTCAGTCTCGGAAATTGCAAGTACAGTCATCGGTAGAGCTTGGAAGAGTCCCATGCTGAGATCGGCAATCGTCATGGATCTGAGGAATATCTTAGTTGTTTCCTGGATGCTACGGACATGCCTCAGGACCACAAGACACAGCGGGTTGAGGGTCAGAAGTAGGATGGTCGTTATGACGAGCAGGATGCATCGGATGAAGTTGTATTGAATTCTGTCTTCAGTTGTTGGGGTCGTGGATGCATTGAATGAGGACAGGTCTTCATTACTTTCTGTCGAATTCATGTTGATGTTCATCTTGCGTGTCGGGTTCAGTTTGTAACTGCAGGATATGACTTACACAGCCAGCAGAACTAATCCTTGACAAAAATGTTACAGTGATGCATTGAGCTGTTCGAATTTAATAAGTAGAAATGCAGTGGTAAACTGCATCCAGAGATTTTTGTGCGTAGGCTTTATCTCTTGAAAAGAATTAAATGGGTGTGGCTTGTCCTTATCATGCCCATGACGAGGAAGTGTGTAAATAACAATAGGTCATCGCTGATTGGCCAGTCTCTGGTTGGCTCTTTGATATTCTGTATATTTTGATTGACATATTATATTGTCATCTTGAGCGACACGTTCATATTACTTTGAAACCAATTGCAGGATGCATTTTGCGACGCAATTTAATTTCTGCAAAATGCCATTACCTGTCAATTTCCATTTACAATGCATTCATATCAGTTGCCAGTATAATGCGTTTTTAATAACCCTTGTAAAAACAACATGCCAACTTTCCTAAGCTTTTGTAAATAAGTTGCCTTCCTCTTGTCAAGAAGTTGATGACTTCAGTGTCAGTTTTAGCAGTGGCATTATTGCTTGTTTAAATTGGGCAGTAGAGTCCAAGCATCTATCTTTTTGACATAAACAAATAGTGCCTGTAAACTAGCAGCTGTAATAGTCTGTTACCAGCCACCATTCTGAAACTTGGTGGGGTTTTTTTATTGCTGTTTCCTCCTTCCCCCAATCCCCCTAGATGTCACCGCCATGTATTGTTTTCTTGCAAACCCTACATGGTATCTTGTGTGCATTTTGAACTAATGATCAACGCTCAGTTCTGTAAAACAATCAAACCAAAAACAGTTAAGATGTTTTTATCCCAGCACTGGTTGTGTAAAGACATGATCTGGCTTGCTCTGCTTTTTTACACCATAGACATTAATCTGCTTAGAATTCTAGAGCTCTGAGCCCCACACAAAGCATGATTGACTGTCTGTGACTGTTTGTGTATCTTGATTGAGCTAAGCTTTGATTGAATGTGATGGATAAGCCGGCTGTGCCTACCATGTGCCTGCTTTTGTTGGTTGACTGAATTTGACTAGTCACAGTGCTTGCTTGAAATATGATATGAATGTTGGTGACTAGCCTGTGTGAAGGGGATTGATTTTTCGACTGTCTGTGACTGTTCAAACAGCAAGAGGGTTAAGTTATTCATTTGAATGTCTTTGAAGTGCCTGCGAGATAGTGGAGCAAGATGTAGCGGGTAAGAAGGGCTATAACACTGGCCCAAAATCATACCAGGCGTAAAGCGGGCTGGCTGGTAAAATTTTCAGTCGGTAATGGATGGTTGGCCAGACGGTTTGTGGAATTGTTCCATTGAAAACGGGGCGGATGGAAAGATGATGTTTAGTTTTTTTATAATTTTCATTTATCAATTTGCAGGGTACAGTGGAACACCATAGGAGATCCCTTAGGAGGACGTACCTACATTTACAAAAAATGAACGTTCTTCAGGTGATCCATCACTCCGACAAGTGTAGCAACGGGGTCAGTGAAAAGAGTTTTGTGCTTTAAAACCCTAACCCTCCTCATTCCTCCAGAATCCTCCTGGTGGTTTGGGAGGATTTTGGAGGATTGAGGATGAATGCAATCTACAATTTTGGAGGATTGAAGTTGAATGGTGTTGAAGCACAGGAGGATTTTGGAGGATTGAGGCTGAATGGTGTTTGAAGAACAGGATGATTTTGCAGCCATTTTTGAGGTGGCATCACGTCCACGCGCCTGCCGCACGCATTCTTAAAGACAGGGTGCATGTGCATTTTGGTATTAAACCCTATTGGTCGAAGGAGCCCGGAATGCGTGCGTACAAGCCGAGCGTGACTTGCATGAGCCTTGTGCCACTTCAGAAAAAATGGCTGTCACAGGATTAGTCTATAGGCTTTCCCTTCTGGGACCAGCAGAATCTTGAAAGTGCACAAATGTCTAAGTTTCATTTTTTGGGATCCTCTATCAAATACGAAAAAAAGTGCAGTTTAAAAAAAATCACTTGAAGTTAAAGATGAAGAAAGGACAATTGCAACCTAACCCTCCTTAAAACTGGAGACTTTAAGCAGCTTAGTCCGTACTCGAGACTTTGAACAGAGCGACTTGAGTCTTGCTGCGGAGGATACCAGGAACGGCTCTGAGGAAAGTACATATCAAGACTATACTGGAGACTTGATTTTGGAAACGCATGATTTGCTCTTTAAAGATTTTGAGCCTTCATCAGGATACACTGAGAACTCTTTCAACACATCCTGTTTAATTTGTCGTGTTTCTCCATGTAGATTGAATCCTTGAAGCTCCTTAAGAAACTGAGTGATGACAAAGAGGAGGCTGCGGAGGAGGATTCAAGCAACAACTGTGAGCATTGTGATATATTCATCAATACCTAAGACAATACGCATTCTTATTAGTCGAGAGCCTGTCATGTGGGTGGTTTTAAAAGGCTGATAAAACACTGACTGGTTTAAACACTTTGTTTCCGGCACCGCTGCATTCTGCCCCACATCGCGGGATATGCGCCACCTGCATGCCAACATCCACACAAGGAGAAAATCTGTGGAATGAAATTGTTGAAAATTTATAATTTTTGACTTGTTTTGACTTTGAGACCGACGGGTATTTATGAATGAGAATAAACATGTGCTTGACTGGTATTAAACAAGTGCTTTTAGAACCGGCTAGGAACCTGGATGTGAATAATGACCCTCTCTATTATCCACGTCCAGACTCCAGACTTGTTTAAAACCGGTCAAACACATATTGATTCCCTTTAGCAAAAGAGAAAATACAAAGGGAGGGGGAAATGAGGCTTACCTATGAAAACTGGGCTCCAAGGTCTCGGTTTAGAATGATATGAATACTCAGTCGGTCAGTTGGTCAGTCTGTCAGTGTGTCAGTTAGTGGACAGTAGGCTGGCTCTTCAGTTCCCGCAAAAACGGCAGTCCATGCAAGGAATTGACAGGCAAGGCAACGTTATAATCAAGCCAGCACAAGTCATTGTGGTCGGGCTCCAGTCTAGGACCCGGACTCCAGTCTAGGACCCGGACTCCAGTCTAGGACCCGGACTCCAGTCTAGGACCCGGACTCCAGTCTAGGACCCAGACTCCAGTCTAGGACCCGGACTCAAGTCTGTCTTGAGTTGCAAGTTTGGTGATTTGGACTCGAATCGAGTCACATCAGCAAAAGACTCAGACTGAGATTTGGACTCAACCTTCGTGGCTTGGACTTGACACTCATGACTCCATGCGAGCAACCTTAGCAGTTCTGCAAACCTTTTCGCAGCGTTTAAAGATGTGAAAATGGTTTTTGTTTGTTTTGGAAAGCAGATGATCCATCGACTTCTCAGATGGTGGCTGAGCTACCTATCCTGACCCAAGCCTACAATTTGATTGACAGAATGCAGCACACACGGCAAGGAATAACTTACAGTGTAAGTTAACTCGCCGCATTGATACGCTTCCTTCTATAAATTTACGGTCCAAAGTTTGGCATTTTTCCTGTTGCTGTTAAAAAAAATTGTCTTTTACCTGTGTTTAATTTGTTTTTAAAAGTTTAAATTTGTTTTTGCGTTGCCACATGATTCTAAAAGAAAGTCGATGGTTGGAGGAGGTGATTCAACAATAGTTTTATGACTAAATTATACACAAATAGCCATTGGAAATGATGTTATTATCCCCTTCCAAGATGTTTAAATCATTTAAAATTGCAAATTTCATGAAATTGATAAGTTTATTGGGCTACGGCAACAAATTGTTGCTTAAATCGAACGTGTGATACAAGGTATGCACCGTGTCATGAAATCGGTTACAGGAAAATACCATCCTATCGCATCGGGACAAACATAGATTGTTTCATTTTGGTTTGGGACATTCAAGATTTCTAGATAACTCTGAAACCTCAGAAGAAGCTGATTCTTGAACTGAATCCAAGATCTTGATTTGAAAATCCCCACGGATTGATTCTGTGGACCCATTAATCTTGAGGCGCAAGAAGTTATCTGAGGCTTCCGTCCCCTCTTGCACCCTGGACCAATGTGACAGGGAACCTGGTGCTCGTGTCCTTGGGCAAGACACTTAACTACAATTGCCTCTCTCCACCCTGGAGTATAGATTGGTACCTGTGAGGGTTAAGACCAGATTGCGCTGAAATCACACGTATGTTTATAGTGTGTAGGCACTTAATTCACTTACGGGCTACACTTGCTGCACATGCGCAGTGTGAGACATCCGCTAGTCTTTGCATGTTGGCGACATTTTACAAACAAATTCTGGCGCTACGGTGGCATAAAATGTCCAAAACTTTCTATTATATGAGTTTTCCCAAAGTTATCCCCCGCAAAAAATATACTCAAACTAAGTTGCCAATATAACTCACCATATAATCGTCCGAGCTACATTTGTTAAAAAAGATTATACAACACCTGAATAAATCCCTGTCATCTGATTGGTGAATTGTAGATCACGTGACATATTATTATTCAGTATAATGCACGGTGCGACCATGCGTTATACCCATGCGTTATACCGTTTCACTTTGCGCATGCGCAGTAAGGACGAATGCCTTCGACTGGCGGCGCTATACACATAGCTACTTTGCGTAAACAAACAAAATGGCAGGCGATTGTAGTACAGGGTTTATGCTCCTTACCGATGAAGAAATAACAGATCTTGTAACTAACTCAGACGCTCCCAGTACGAAAAGACAGATTCAGTATGCTGTCCGACGATTGGAAGACTTTGCACAACTCGTAGGAGGAACGTCCATTGAAGCACTCAGTGATGCAGAACTGGACAACTTTTTGTCACGATTTTATGCCAATCAAATGACGAGAATTTATTCAGGTGTTGTATAAAACAAATAACGAATGTTTTACGTTCGTGCGATGGAAAGAATAATTTCATTCGGTGACAGATTGAATGTTCTATTCCACTCGGCATAGAACATTCAATCTGTCACCTCATGAAATTATTCTTACCATCGCACTCACAAACATTCATTATTTGTATAATATTCATTGCCTTTCTTTTGCCATGAAAAATTGACCATGAACCAATTTGCATAAGGAGCATAACTCACATTTTTAAGGGAAAAAATGAATATTGTAATCAACGAAGATTACTGTTTGCGAAAAGACTACAACGTCATTTCAATACTGAGCATCAAAACACCTATTAAAACAAAAAATAGAGTAAGAAAAGACTGAATCTGTCATGCCACATTTAAGCCTTATTAAGGAACAAAGGCTGATGGCGTCGAGTGGGATACCTGGGCACAGTAGACAAAATAAGTGGCAGGCACAAACATACGCTGCAGGAGAGTGGTTTCTTGGCCTGTTGTTGTTGTTGTCGTGTCGCTACACTTTTCCTAGCCACTGCATGACACAGGTTCTGGCACACAGGTGGAAGTCCTTAAGATCTTCTGGCTTGCAGGGCTGTGGTAGGAGGGGGCAGGTTAGGAGGTGCTCCATAGTTTGGGGTGCCTCCCCGCAGTCACAATTGGTGGATCCATCATGGTTGTACCCCCACTTCTGCATGAGGGCTTTACACCATCCAACCCCTGTTGTGAGGCGCTTGAGGCAGAGCCAAACTGGCCATGTCTCTTGGCCTGTTCTCTGGCCATGGCTCTGGCCATGTCTCTTGGCCTGCTGATCAAGGGTTATCATTGTCAAGCACTTTTTGAGAGCTGCATTTGTTGGAACGTGCTACAAGCACCACACACTATCATTTTTGTTTTATATTTCTAGGACTTTGACCGCCTCCTTCAGAAGGATGGCCGCTTCATGAGACGCTTGATAGACAGAAACCTCTTGAAGCATAACTTGATTAAGTTCACCATGTCCGATAAGGGACGACAGCGAATTCGAAGGTGGGTCAAACTGGTGGCAGAGGTGGGATCGCAGGAGCCCGTTCTCATAGAGATTAGCGAGACAGAGGATACCATTAGTCTCATTTAAATGTTACCTGTCATCACATAAAATAAGCATAAAGTTGTCTTTTCAAGAACTGAGATATTTATGTCATTGAATTCTGCAGATAAAGATCTGTCCAATTGTATATGTAACATGTGGGGTAACTGAACTTACAATGTAGAAAGTTGTAAACCTACTATCTACTATCCGAAGAGCACTGTTTTACTTTAACTATTAATGCTTTACATGCTCTACAGTGCTACGCAGCATCCCCACATTTGTTCTAAGTTATAAACCTTATATTGTATGTTAACATAACGATTTAATATTTCTAGTGACATAACAACTTTGAAATAAATGTTCAGCAATCAATCAATCAATCAATATTTTAGTTGCTGCATTAACAGTGAATGATAAGTCATGAAAAGCTTGAGTTTGTCAAGCAGGCAATTTTGTTTTTAGTGCTTAGTTACTTTGTGTGCTTAGCAGTTCTGAGCAAAAAGATTGTCATGACTTTTGTAAATTTTGAAAGATGCTGCAGCACTGTTTACAAACATTCTATGGGTATATTAATGAAAGATCCATATGGTACATGACTCAATAAGTTTCTCTTTTTTGTGGGAGGGAGGGAGTTTACCTACTTGGAGCAGACTTTCCATAACGTGCTTATTGTGCATGAGATTCATATCTGTTTTTTGTTTTGTTTGTATTTTTTCTAGATTTCAAACCGTTGACAAGGTAACGAAATCAACTCCAAAGAAAGATGCTAATAGTGAAACTCAAGCCACGGCATCAACTTCAGAGACGAAAGGTATACAAACTAACCTGAAATTATCTTATAAGAACTATGCATTCCGTTGTTAAAGTTACAAATGTCGAACTATTTAAGCCATGGGAAAAATACTGGAAAATCCTTTAAATTAGTAGTAATCTGATATGTATACATAAAACGTTTGTAAAACTGACTGCATCCTTAAATGTAATATACAACATTTCCTTTTATAAATGGATGGATTTAGGGGTTAATATTTTATGGCAAATATTGCTAAAAGTTTTGTGTTCATAGATATTGGAGGGAAAACATGCTGTTGTTGTAGGTTCCCAGACCCTACTTCAGATGAAACGGGGCAATATATAGATGTTGGGGAATTGTCATGTCAGGGAACCAGACCAGCTGGCTTGGATCCGTTCACAGATGTGCAACCGATCGCAAACAAAATTTGGACTAACTAAATTTGGGAAATTGGGGGCAGTAGTTGCAAAAAGTTTCGTTTTTTTTCCCAGCGATGGTCGGAAATCGATACAAAACTTCCACTTTCTTTGAAAATGACAGCACCCCAGGTGCCGTGATTTCACAAGATGTTTGAGACTATCATTCACTTACGGTCAAATAAGGTATTTCATAGTAATTTGGTAGTTTTGTTTGTTGATGTTTGCAAATGTTGTATATTACCTTTTAGTACAGTAGCCAGCTGATGCAGTGATTTAAGGCTAACTATGGGCAAGTTCAAGCAAGGACCAGTGGTTAAATAGTGTTGGTTTGTGACGTAATAAACGCATGCACACTGAGGTTGAAGTGCGAACAACTGTAGTCCAACTATTGTCATGTCAACGGCCGTCACAAAATGGTGGTCGCACAATTATTGAACACTTGTTGTTTCTCTTTATCTACAGAAATAATAGTGATTGTGTATAATTTAGGACATTTTACGTAATCGCCAATATCATTGTACAATGGTGGCATAAAGTGACATAATCGTATTAACTAACATGGAAAAACTGTGCAATGAAAATTAAATTTAGCGCTCACAGTTTCGTTTTCCGCCATTTTTGTTGATGGTTGGTCCCTCTGCACTATGCTATGGAAATTGTTATTGATAACCAGCTATAAATCGTTGCGCAACCAGCTGCGGTAGGCTGGTTCCAAGTAATCGACTAGCGTAGTCAAAAATCGTCGACTAGACAGAGTTCAGGCTAACTTTAGTCAAACTATGGTTAACCAATGGTCAACAATAGTTCTTGCGCGAACTTGCCCTATCATGCTGAGGACTCTGCACAAGTACCCCCCTCAACAGTTGCAAAGGGAGAGTTAGGGAACAGTTCGTGCATGTGGTCCATGATGGATAAAATGATGCGTCGCAGTAGTAAGCAGTAACATTGGTTTGATATGGAGCGAACTTTGTAATACATTTATTGTCTGTTTTATTTCCCCCCAGTGCCACCACACAATACTACTGAGAGGTACAGGAAACGAAGGCAGAGAGTCCTGGAGTTGATTCAGAAAAACAGGGTACAAGAGGGCTGCTTTAACATGATTAAGGTAAGTGCAGGGGTGTAGTAAGGTACCTCAAGGGGTGCCACCAGGTACCACAGGGGTGCAACCAGGTACCCATATGGATGCAACCAGGTGCCACGTCACATAAAAAAAACAAAAAATTTGTTTCGTTTTTTTTTGGGGGGGGGGGGGGGCCACAGCCCTTTTGCCCCCCCCCCCCCCCCCCCCCCCCCCCCCGGATCTGCTCTTGGGTGCAACCAGGTACCTCAAGGGGTGTAGCTAAATTCCGCAATGGGTACAACAAGGTACCTCAAAGGGGTGAAACCAGGTATGGATGTAACAAGGTACCTCAAGGGTTGAAAGGTACTCAAAGGGGTACCCCAAATGTGTAATCGGGTACCCCAGTGGTCGCGCCTGTGCACCGCAAGGGATGCAAAATTGAAGTTTGTTGCAGCCTTTGCAGCTTAGCTTGCATTCAACACTGAGAATACATTAATTTTGCCACCATTTACGTTTACTTTCATGCTGGGGTTCAACTGGCAGTGGTGTGGAGGCAAGATTATTTTTTTAAATTTTGTTAACCTTGTAGTTAAAATTGATTCTTTCAGGAGATTCGACAAGAGGAGGCACAGGAGGGGCGGACCACAGTGTGCGACCGGAAATCCATCTTCAGGTATGTCTAAGGCTACTGTAGGGTGGGATGGTTTTGCCTAAGGTGCAAGAGTACATTTGAAACAAATGAAAACAAAAATTCTCCTGATCATTCAGAAAATTTCTGCTCAAAATGTTGAGAGGAAAGTGGCCAGGAATTGCCTCAGATTCCACCACAGAGCATCTAGAATCCAAAATTGTCTGGGGCCCTTAAGGGGTCCCCGGACCCCACGCCGTAAATGATTTCACGCAAACATTTTGAGGTTTTTTTATCACAGTCCAATCACATCCCTGAGTGTCTGGCCTTGGATTGCCCTACATAAACCTCAAATCAGATCATCCGTGTGCTGTGTTGATATTGAAGTACTCTGCAATTTATTTCATCCGTTTTATCTACCGTGTGAATCTACCGAAGTTTGTGTGCTACGTGATGCAAACTCTGAAAAAGCTGCGAGTATCATCCGTGAGCGTGTGCAAGATATGGAAAATTGCTCCCTGAATTCGCCAAAAATCTTACTTGGCAACTTTAATCATTGTGGACTTGAGAATTGTGTGCCACATTTTCATCAGACAGATTCAATTTAATTTGTCCCCTTTTCCAAACGCCTCCTCAATAATCAGCGCATTAGTGCTAACATCTTTAATTTCATCAACAGTTGCTAAGTCAGAATAGTTTTGTTTTGTTTTTTTCACGATTTGTCCTTCTTTTGGATTTTATCCTTGATATGCTGAAATGTAATTGTTATTTTGATCGTATTTCAACTTATCTATTTAATCAAGTTTTAATCAGTGTACCAGTATGTGTTGTATGTAATGAGACAAATTTCCTTGAAAGGACCAATAAATTAGATTAATTGAATTGAAATTGTCTGCAAATTTTATCTCTTGAGCTACCACCTAAATTTGGGAGTACAGAAGTATTCCCAAACCTTGTAGGACAGGTTTTGACATGAAAACATTAAATAAGGCAGTTTTTAGATCTTGGTGTTTTCTTTTTTAATTCCAGGATTTTAGACCAGTTGAATAAGGAAGGACTGTGCCAAACGTTCTCTACAGTCGTCATGTCAGATGATGGAACCGAGTCGAGAACAGTAAGTACCTCATTCTTTTTTTACAAAAATTTAACACAGGAAATCCTTTCCCAAAGTGAAGATAGGATAGTATCAAACACACTGTGAAGTTAGCTCGTAAGAAAGCAATCATTGAACATTATTTAAAGGGAAGATACAACATTTGCAAACATCAAAAAACAAAATGATCAAATTATCACGAAATTCTTTACTGGACTGTAAGGGAATGACACTCTAAAGCATCCCGGTACAATCATGGCACCTGGTGTGCTGACATTTTTAAGTAAAGCGGTATTCGTGTATCTATTTTCAATGCTGGTTGGCTGACCAGCGTTGGAGAAAACTTCTTTTTTTTCAAAAACTGCTGCTAAATTTTCATATTTAGTTATTCCACATTTTCCTTGCAATTGATTACACACCTGTGAAGGGGTACAAGCCAGCTAGACCGTTCTCTGACCTAAAAATCCCCCAACATCTATAAATTGCTCCGTTTCATCTTAAGTGGGGTCAGGGAACCAGACTTCAAGAACATGCATGGTTTTCTTGGTCTTTCCAGCATCTATGAACCCGAAACGTGAAACAAGGCAGTGTAACAATATTTGCTATAACATACTATTCCTCCAAATCCATTTATTTCTGAAAGTTACAGCAAAAGCAAATGTTGTACATTCCCTTTTATGAAGTGTGGCAAATGGCACAGTTGTTGATGTGCGTTAGCAACAGAATTTAGTTACGAGACCCCAAACATTGAGCGTACATTTTCTCCGTTTTCTAAAAATTTATATTGTCCACCGAGCTGAAACTTCAAGCAGTTCGTCGTCATGCACCTTTGTTAAAGAGGTTGTGGAATGCTCGAAGACATTTCCGTCATTTTTCGGGTATATGTAGCCTAAGGTGTGATGAAATAAAAACGACTATTGTGTCTGTCATGAAATGAGTACAAAAGGTACTTTTTGAGAGCTGTTTTTCAGGTCCTGTTTCAACCCGAACGTGCAATTTGTGTAAAAGTCATCGTTGGGGGCAGCAAACAAAACATAGTAAATCGTGACGTAATAAACAGGACTCGTAAAAGTCGTCGTTCGGGGCAGCAAACAAAACGTAGTAAATCCTGACGTAATAAACAGGACTCGTATATACTACGCTGCATCGGGAGTCCTGTTTATTACGTCACGATTTACTATGTTTTTTTTGCTGCCCCCAACGACAACTTTTACACAAATTGCACATTCGGGTCGAAACAGGACCTGAAAAACAGCTCTCAAAAGTACCTTTTGTACTCATTTCATGACAGACACAATAGTTGTTTTTATTTCATCACACCTTAGGCTACATATACCCGAAAAATGACGGAAATGTCTTTGAGCATTCCACAACCTTTTTAAGAATAGGGCTGTACTTTGGGCTGTGGTGTCAGGAACCGGTTCCAGATTATGGAATCAGGTACCCGTAACCAACTTCACAAATTACTTTGTAACTACTCTGACAACAAAAAAAGAAAGGTGCTGAAAGTCATTTGTGGGAATTTTCAAAATGAAACCCCAGGCTTCAAGGAAAAAACAAAACATATTTCACACTTATGACGATTGCAAAATTTGCTATGTTTTGTACACACTTGTATCTTTAGACGCACCGATTTGGAAGTATTATCGTGAAGATAATGAACAATCTCAACAATCTTTATGAGCAATCTCAACAGCAACTTCCAAGATTTGAATTTTGTAATTGGTTTCTTTAACGGGTACCAGGGTACCCGCATTTTTTTTTCAATTGGATACCCGGTTCCTGTACTACCCATAAATGCACACCCCTAGTTAAGATTTTGAGCAAGTTTGTTGCTTCAAACGAAAACAAAATGCACCATAAGCAAATGATTTTTATATATCTTTAAATATCAAACCAACTTCACGTTAATGAAAAAATCGATGAAATTGTGGAGTCCTTGTCACCCCCTCCCCTTCTAGTGTAAAATCATCCTGGATGTTGGTGTGGAGCGGAACGACCCAAGGGTCCTTCACATCATCCAGCAGGTTAAGTTACGTATGATCAGTTACAAGCTGCACCATCCGCCGCCCAATCACACCAAGGGAAAGAAGAATAAAATGGTGAGTACTACCTAGGATAATGGAAGAAAGAACAAGTTTGGGAGGCTGATCATCCTTACTCACAGCCGAGAAGCTGAAATGCGAAGGACACGGCTACAACGTGGTCGAGCAGCCGGCATGTAAAGGCGCCTTTGGCAGCCAGCCACATCGACCCATGACCACGGAGCACAGCCTGAGATTGAAAGTGTTTGATTTTTTCTGGAGGGAGGAAAACCGGAGGGCCCGGAGTAAAACCTCGTGGCACAGGAGAGAACCAAAGCTCATCACTACTCATGTATGGCATGTATAGTCCGTGGCCGGGATTCGAACCAGGGCCACAGTGGTAAGAGGCGATTGCTTTACGCACAAGCCACCCATGCAGTATTAGCTTTTTACGGACATTACATTTTTACATTTACATTACATTTGTACGGACTGGACAAGGGCCATTCTAGACCAATGAAATTACAGCGTCCAAACATGCAATATAACAATGGATGTTATGATACAACAATTTGATGTGATTTTTTCTGTTCTTCTGGGCATTAACGTGAAATTGAGATGTGACCAAAAAAGTGTGTTTGTGAATTTTTTTTATTTTCAGTTTATTGCAAGTTTGCCATTTAAATGCCATGTTATGGTATGTGCCTCTCGCAAGTAGTCGTAAAAATCTCCTTATATGGAGATTGGCTGGTGCATACTGAGCAATGTGGTTCAGAACCTGGGGTTGCCGGTGTAGTGTGAATTTAGCACTCTCAAAATACGTACTCATTGGTAGCATTGGTAGTATTGCACATGCCTAAATGAAGATTGTGAAGTTCAACCAATAAAAACGTTAACGGGAACAGATTTCAAAGGAGTCAAAATTTCATGTGACACCGGAAGAGGTGTTTAAAACCAGACAGTCAGTGTTTTATCAGCCGTTAAAAGCCACCCACATGACGGGCTCTTGGCCAATAGGAATGGGCAAACTGTCTTAGGTATTTGTGAATACAACTTTAAAAATATCAATAATCAATGTTATCTCAGCTGTGTTTTGTTTTGGGGTTTTTTTTCTTCAGAAAATTGCGAGGCCAGTCAAGGGAAGAAAGAGTCGGTCCAAGGGGGCTGACCCACTCCTGAGGAAGCGGATCACCCAGTACGCGACCCTGGCGCAGCCAGAGGGGTCGGAGACCAAAACGAGACCGGCGGGCTCGCGTATCGCCACCCACGAGGCGCTGCTCGGGAAAACGGGAAACAGTGACGGTGATGAAGACGTCAAGAAAAGTGAAAGTGAAGACATGTTGCCTGTAGAGGTATGTGGAGTATAGGGGGTGCTGTTACTCAGAACTACGAGTCATGTTGGCACGGTGGCACTTTCCAGGCCTTCATTATCTGTGAATCGGGTTCAATTCCCACCCGGGTGGACCTGGGGGCTGTGCTATCAGATTGATGTTATTACAAAGATACTGCCAGGTTGTTTTTTTGACTGGATTACAGATTATTTTGGTTCTCTCGACGACGAGCGGAAAAACAAATTATTAAAAATCCAAACATGTTGGGCGCCCTTTCGGAAATGGTATTCGGACACGAAAGTGCTCAAATGAAATGTCGTCATTCGTTTTTACTGCCGAAGCTTATCAAATTTTGACAAGGTTCTGTTTTATGCGCAGCAACAATGCATCGTCTGTGCAGGTGCCCTGCGCTCAAAGCATGCACGCACAATTCATCACTGCGCAAATAATTTAGAGGATTATTTACCATTCATAAATACCTCAGACAGTTTAGCCATTCCTATTGGTCGAGAGCCCGTCACGTGGCCGGTATTAAACGGATGATAAAGACATGGCTAGCTGGTCTTAAACACTTTTCCAGTGTCACAATAAAATGTGGACTCCTAAAAATCCAGTGCCTCTTATCGTTTCATTGGTTGAACGTTCACAATCCTCACGTAGGCATGCGCAACACTACCAGGGAGTTAGAATTTTATAGTTCTAAATTCAAAACGCAACGCGCCAGGTGCGTTCTGCGCGACATCGCGCAGAACATGATACGCGCGCGTCAATCTCCATAAAAGGGTTGTTTTCATCCTACTCGCCAGCTGAACACTCCATTATTTTGCAGGAGGGATGTTTCCAAAAGCATAAAGTGAATTTTTTGAACAAAATCGGGATGTTTTGAACGAATTATATGATTTTTTTTTACCGAAAAGGTATTTATGAATGGGAATAAATATGTACTCCGTCGGTATTTATCACTCTGTTTAAGACCACTTAGAGTCTGGGTGCTGATAATTACCCTCGCCTCCGGCTCGGGTAATTATCAGCACCCAGACTCTAAGTGGTATTAAACAGAGTGATAAAAACCTCCGGAGCACACATTTATTCCCTTATTAATCTACCGGGTATTAGCAGTTAAGTAATAATCAATGAGCAATAAAGGCTGTGTAATTTTACAACACTGTGTACCATTCATTAATATTGATATTTTCGCTTACAGAGACAGTACGTCCCGAAGAGGAATGTCTATGGCTTGTTGCCAAAAATGGGGAAGACAATGGTGCTGCATAGGTTCGTGTGGTATCTCCTGTATGGGATGCCAAGGCAAAAGTCACCCAAGGCCCCTCAGTCAGGTAAAAAAAAAGAACACTGATCTACCTTCAATGATTGTCTCAAATGTGGAATGTTTATTTTGAAAGATTCTAAGTGCAGTGTCATCTTTTCAAATCAAGAACTTCTCCAACTGCCTATGTGCTAGTCTTGGTCCCAGACTTGATTTTGATTCCCCTTATACAGCCGGTCCCAGACAAGTGAGGGCGCTATCAACAAGATGAATCAAATCCAGTCTTGGGAATATTGGCAACGCTACCCAGGAAATTCCGAGCATACCTCACGCGCGCTGTATTCGAGCTAAGGCATGCACGTAAGGCTTGTTCCGAATTTCCTGGCTGGGTAGCGCTGCCAAAATTGCTAAGACTGGATTTGATTCATCTTGTTGATAAAAACCACCACCGCTTAAACTGCAATTGACACGGGGATGGCTGCAAAATAGGGGAATAAACATCCAGTCTTGAACCAAGACTACATTGTACCCATGTGCCTGAATAGGGAACACTGGTATGTGTGCATCAGTGTTTATAATCGAGTCATCACAGGTCTGTTCACAAGTAGATCACAAGTCCGTCACAAGTAAATCACAAGTAAATCACAAGTAAATCACAAGGCCAGTCACAAGTAAATCACAAGGCCAGTCACAAGTCAATCACAAGGCCAGTCACAAGTAAATCACAAGGCCAGTCTAGAGTCTGGTCACAAGTAAATCACAAGTAAATCACAAGGCCAGTAACAAGTAAATCACAAGGCCAGTCACAAGTAAATCACAAGGCCAGTAACAAGTAAATCACAAGGCCAGTCACAAGTAAATCACCTGGCCAGTCACAAGTAAATCACAAGGCCAGTCACAAGTAAATCACCTGGCCAGTCACAAGTAAATCACCAGGCCAGTCACAAGTAAATCACAAGGCCAGTCACAAGTAAATCACAAGGCCCGTCCCAAGTAGATCACAAGTCCAGTCACAAGTAAATCACAAGTCCAGTCACAAGTGAATCACAAGGCCAGTAACAAGTAAATCACATGGCCAGTCACAAGTAAATCACCTGGCCAGTCACAAGTAAATCACAAGTCTGATCACAAGTAAATCACAAGTCCAGTCACAAGTAAATCACAAGTCCAGTCTCGAGTCTAGTCACAAGTAAATCACAAGTTATTCACAAGTAAATCACAAGGCCAGTCACAAGTAAATCATAAGGCCAGTTACAAGTATATCATGAGGAAAGTAACAAGTACATTTCAAGTCTGGTCACAAGTAAATCACAAAATCACAATGCTAGTTAAAGTAACAGGGGATTAACAATAACAAAGGTATGTCTATGACTCAGTTTATAGGAATGGTTGTGACGTGTCATTGGAAGAGATGCCTTTGTTTGTGTTCATTTGAGTAACTTTTAGCTTGACTTTGGACTGGATGACCAGTGATTTTACTTGTTAGGAGTTTTGTTTTTGTGCTGCTCCTGAGCATTGTCTTTTCTTTGCCTTTTCCTAGCTGATAACATTCCAGGTAGTTCGGGAAACGAAACCATGATTATCAAACAAGAGGTTGATGAAAGTCAGCAAAGTCAAGTCTCGGGGGAACTTGAGCCTTTGCAGGCAACATTTACTACTGGCCAGCTTCAGGATTCAAACAATTTGATTGGCCAATCCACCAACCAATCAGAGTTGACTTTCTCATCTGCTGGCCAATCAGAAAATCTGTCTGAGGTTGATAACAGTATGCAGTGTCAGACTCATGCTCAGAGGGAGACTCCGATAGGTGGACAAGAACAGACTGCGATGTCAGTCTGCCAAGTGGAAAGCGCCATGCATCTTGCTGACCAATCAGAAGAACTGTCTGACGCAAACAGTGGAAACCAAAATCAATCAGAGTCTGCGATTGGTGGACTGAAGAGAACCGCAGAGGGAGCCAATGGGCAAACGACCAGTGAAAATGGACTGAAAGTTTCAACCTCTGAAGGAAGCAGCACCCAATCAGAACTAGCCTCAGCAGGTGATCTTCTGGCAATTATCGAGTCTGGTTATTTGCCCGAGAAGCTGACCACGTCCTTGCCAACAGATCCAGTGTCCAGCTTGGAATTTACAGCACCCAACATGGAATCTGGAATGCCCAACTTTGAATCTACAAACCCCGACTTAGAATCTGCCATGCCCAACTTGGCATCTACTGTGGCCAACTTGGAACGTAGTGTACCCAATTTGGAATCTGCCTCGCCCAACTTGGAATTTGGAGCAAGCATCAGCAATGTGAATCCTGCAAGCACATTCCCAGTTAGGCAGGACGCTCGGAACTTATTACTCTCAAGGGTGAAGGTTTATCTGGATGTGATGGACTGGCGGCGTTTTGTCAAACCACTACCCGAGTACAAGGACCTTCCTCATGGATGGTGCCTTCTTGGGGACCTTTTCCTGTCTATGCCCCTCGTCACATTCTGTGAAATAATTTCTCTCCGGTATATGGTAAGTTAGTTCTTCCCTTTCTGAGAAAAGGCTTGAGGGAAAGCAAGGCATGGTGGCTTCAGCCAGATATCATGAAACTGATGAGCAGAATCGTTGCTTAGTTGTGTTTAATGAAAATCTGTTGAGAGCCAGTTACAAGACTTTTTGATTACACAAATTGCTGCCTAGTTTTATTTCATTGTACAGCAAACATTTATCACAAGGTAAAACCACATACTGGAGATTTGATGTATTTGTTATATTTGTGATATCATTCCTCAATATATCGAAAATTCAATATTTCGATATGATTAAAACGTTGCTGTCGGCAGTATCGATATCAAAATAATATATCACGTAATATCGATATATTACTAGTGCTTACAGGGGGCAGACACACTGTGGGCCAGTACTTGTTCATTCGCGTATGGCACACAAAATGGTCTTCCTGCGAGCATCAGCCTTATGGCTACCAAGTGTTGAAGAGGTCTACTATTTTACTACCCTTTGTAACAATTGGAAAGCCAAAAGATGTAAGGTTTGCAGTTCTTAATAACCAACATTATTTGAACCCCGCTCAAAACTTGAAAAAAAAAACAGTACCAAAACTTATTCAATCTTTTCTCTGCCTGATTCATTGGCACAGATTGAGGGTCTGGAAGACTACTTGAAGGACCCGTTACTGAAGCTGCTACTTATCAAGGATCTACCGGACAGGCTACGGAATAGCCTCCTGGAGGAAAGACGCTACATCTACAATATGGATAGCAACGTCGATCTGTTGTGCACCCTGGGGCTAGGGGTCTACACCCCACACTTAAATGAGAACAAAGATGTGGTGAGTTGGCAAAGGGGGCGGAGGTTGGGGGAGGGGTATTAGTTTGGGGGCAGTTTAATTAAAATTTAAAAATCCATTGCATACCATACTAAAGTCTATGACAAGTCAATCACAATCCAAACACATGTCCACTACAAGTAGGTCAAAATCCATCACAGTTTAATTACATGTTCATCACAAGTCCATCACATGTCCATCACAAGTCAATCACAAGTCCATCTTAAGTCCATCACAAATCCATCACAATTCAGTCACAAGTCCATCACAAGTCAGTCACAAGTCCAGTCACAAGTCAATCACAAGTCCCTCAATCCGTCACAAGTCCACCACAAGTCAATCACAAGTCCATCACAGGTCCGTCAAAAGTCCATCACAGGTTCGTCACAAGTCAATCACAAGTACATCGCAATTCAATCAAGTCCATCACAAGTCCCTCACAATCCATCACAAGTTCATCACAAGTCCAGTCACAAGTCACACACAAGTTTGTCACAAGTCCATCACGAGTCAATCACAAGTACATCACAAGTCCATTACAAGACCACACAAGTTCTACACAAGTCCATCACAAGTCAACCACTGGTCCGGTCACAAGTAACTAAATGATCAAGGAACAAGGAATGCCTTTGCCACAGCTGACATGACCAAAACTTTGGATCGCAAGTATCATAACCACCTTCCTACTCTCTCCCTGTCTCTCCTTCTCAAGTTGAGCATGTACATCTGTCGTAATGTGAGAATCGTGGACACCACGTCAAGTCAGCCTGGGTTCTACTACATATCAGACAAGTCCTACCCGATCCTCAAGTACAACCTAAGAACACTGGACGATGTGGAGAAATACTGGTTTGACTTGAAAGTCATATGTCTGGATACTCCTCTTGGTGAGTGTAGACAACGTGTAGGAATAGAAGTCGGCAAAATGGGGCCACAGAAAACTCGTCACGTCAGGGTTCCAAGCCACTGTAGGTATTAGGGGAAAATCTTGAAAGTGAGTTTCAATTTTTCGAGTCAGGGAAAATTCAGGGAATGTTGCCAAAACACACACAAAATCTGGACAAACTTGCGGAATTAGAGGATGAAACGGAGTGGAAGATTTTTTCGCAAATTTCAGTGTGAATCAAATTCAATTGAGAATGTCACAATGTAATTCTAAATTGTTCATGCATGAAATTTGCTTTGCTTTTGCAAACTGGCCTTACAATTTTTTTTTTTTAGTTTGTTCTGAAGAATAGACAAATAGATTGTTTGCCGAGAAGTCCCAGGAAAATTAATGTCACTCAATTAAATTTTAGTTGATTTGTACCTATAACGAAATACATATACATGTATGTGCAATTATTGATATGATTGGTTTTGCAAGTAATCACTCTTAAGTTGGATAAAAATCGGAGAGTACATGTGTGGGTTAGCTCATATGTTCGCCTTCGCCATTGAAAGGAAAGTAGTAGCTTATGGTTTACATGTACATGTATGCTATAACAATTATTTTTACTATCTTATGATTTGTCCACACGCACAGGTTTTGTAAAAAAAAATGTCAAGGGCAAGATAATTAAAACCAAACTGACCGGCTTCGCCCGGAAAGCAGACAGTTACCTAGATCCGGTGATTGAAGATGGAAGAATTCCAGGGGATGGCAAGGGGGCTGGGGGCTTCGACTCGAGTTTATATTGGTAAGTCCTTCATTTAAAAGGTAAAAATACATTATTTACTTTTGCTGTACTTTTCAGAAATGGATGGATTTGGGGTTTAGTATTTGTTGGGAAATATTGTTACACTGACCTCTTTAAAGTTTTGTGCTCATACATGATGGAAAAACCAAGAGCAAACTGCTGTTCCTGTAGTCTCGTTCCCTGACCCTGTTTCAGACGAAACCAAGCAGTTTATAGACATCGGGAAATGTCATGTCAAGGAACCAGACTAGCTGGCTTGCACCTGTTCATGGATGTGTAACCGATTGTAAACAGTATCTAGACTAACTACATTTGGTAAATTGGAGGCAGTATTTGAAGAAAAACATCAGTTTTTTCAAATGATGGTTGTTGGAAATTGATATAAACATTCCACTTTTCTTGAAAATGACAGCACACCAGGTGCCACAATTTCACAGCATGCTTGAGACTATTAGTCACTTGCAGTCAAGTAACGTATTTGATAATAGCTTGGTAGTTTTGTTTTTTGATGTTTGCCAAACGTATGGGATCATTTGCTCTTCATGCATTTTGCACTCGGGCACTTTTTCTCCCCAAATTTTGGGTGCCTGCAACCCTCTGAAAAGGGCCTTAATTTTGCACACTAGTAACTCCTCTCTGCAAGAGCCAAGTAAGTTTTAGACCACAAATCAAATTGTACCCTCTCCTCACATCATATTCCAGTCACCTGAAGAGGAACTGGACAAGTAATGTGCTGGAGGCAGGCTACATGTGCAAGCAGAGGTACCACAACCGATTCTCAAAGGGACAGAGAAACACTTCTGAGAGACTGAGTAATCCACTCAAACCAAGGACGGTCTCGCTGTCCACCAGAAAAGGTAAGTCTCTTTGTTGAACCCCAAACAGCGCCCTGTAGTTCGCCTGGCGTTAAACTTGAGAACAAGGCACTAGACAGTCATGTTTTGTCCGTCGGCACTCCCACATTTACTAGCACTGCGCAGTGTATCATGTTTATTATCTGGCCTTGATGTGTCTAACGACTTGACTAATATGAGTTTGGAAGGATATTCATTTATGCGCCCTAAATGCATGTGCATTATGTTTCCATAGAGAGGGCCAATGATGGCTCACCTGTACTGCATAGGAAGCATCCATTAGTAGAGCGGGGATATCTTTCTTTTGATCGGTGTGCATTTCTCTCTTGTTTTCATAAGATTTTCATTAAGAGTATTAAACCCAGTGGTATAATTATAATAACTTGAAAAATGTAATATGCCAAATTATTGTTTTCCGAATAAAGAAAATAATATGATGGAATATCAAACGGCCAAGGAATTAGCTTTTGACCCCTTGAGGAATGGGATTCGCTCCATCGTTTTTCAACATGTGCACGACTTTGCACAAAACATGCAAGCTGTATGGCGTAACATGAGTATTCATTAGTCTCCTGATCCTTAACCAATCAGACTGCTCTCTCCAAATCTGGTAGCAAGTCCCATACATTGTATAGAAAGCCTAGAACAGATTATTCAAGTCAGTAATTGGTATCGACCTACATGCATATTGGGGCCAAGGATGCACGAAGCCTCCCCGCATGTTAGTGCTATACCACACGCTACATGATCCTGAGACGGTATGCTGGAACTGTCAACGCTGGTAGCTAAGCGGTGAGCGGGCGAACTAAACCTGGCCAATTACCAACTTGATTCAAGTCTAGCCTGTCGCTTGCCGACTGACAAAACATCCATCATGGTATGGTAGAAATAAGTGTGACATGGTCGTTACTCCCTAAATCCTACAGGTGTAAAAGAAAAGGTGGCCGTGGAAACCAAACTGGTGAACGTCGATGAGCACAAGGCTGGGAGAGTCGGTGGCAAAGGCTTGAAGCGCAAGAGGTCCCCGAAACCTAAGAAAGAGTCAGAGGCATCGATTGCCCAAAAGAAACGCAGGGAGGAGAAGAAAAGAGCCAAGGAGGAGAAGAAACAACAGCAGAGGCAGCAACGAGCCGTGGGCATCATTACCAGGAAGGTGTTCTCTTGGACTCCTCAGGAGGACAGTGTGGTGAGCTGGGTTGGGTTGGGTTGGGGTGGGTTTACGTGGACAAGCATTACATTCACTGTGTGGACTTCCGAACAAAAGATGTCCACATAAACCAGGTAGCAGCGACATTGTGTGGACTTGTCCACGTCCACACAAGGTTTTCCCCTCTCTAAAAAACAGGTTTAGAGGCACTTTGGGGTTAGGTTTATATGTGGCAAAATGAGGAGAAGCACTAAAGGGAATCATAGAAAAAAAAATTGGGTTGAAAGAGTTTTCACAGTTTGAGAAAAATGAGTTTTTTCACTGGTTTTTCTTAACTACACGAAAACAAAGGAATGTCCACACTAGGTATGTAAAACAAACAACTGTGGGTTGGGTTGGGTTGGGTTGGGTTGGGTTGAGTTTGTTTCTGCATTCAATGGGGGACGTTGAACAATAGAGGACAATAGGGTCCCCAGTTCCCGAGAGGTCCCCAATTTGGATTCGTGTACAAAACATATGGGAGGTCAAACAAAAGATGGACAATAGGGGTTCCTGATTGCAGGCAAATACACACTTGGGTTGGTTGGGTTGGGTTATCGTTGAATTGGAATTATTATTGTTATTATTTATCATTTCTGGTAATGAAACCAAGGATTCCTCAAAAGCGCCCTAGGCACTGTGGCTCGCAAGCCTGAAGAAACCTGTGGAGAGAAGACAATGAGAAGAAGTTACAGTTTAAGAGGTGGGAGGAAAAGCCCGGAAGAATATTCTGGGGAAAACCCACGGAATCAAGCAGGGACTGAAAACCCAATCCACATATTGGCCCAGGCGGGATTCGAACCCGGGTCACAGCGGTGGAAGGAGAGGAAAGTACTCCTACCCCAGCCTGACTCCCCACGGATGGGTTTGGCTAGGCTTGACTGGATTGGGTTTGGTTGTGTTGGGTTCGTTAAAGTTAGGTTAGGATGGGTTAGGATTAGTTACATTGGATTGGGTTAGGGTGGGTTTGGGTAGTTAGGTTTAGTTGGTTGTGAATGGGTTTGGTTAGGTTTGTTTGGGATACAGTTGAATTGGGATGGATTTGGTTGTATTGGGCTGGGTTGGTTAGGATTTCGTTGGGTACGATTGAGGGGGGTCCGTGTATTTTAAGTTTGGGTTGAGCTTGGGGTGAACTTTTGTTTGGATTGATCTGGATTATGTTTGATTGATTGGAGGTTTGGTCGGGCTGAGCTAGTTTAGAATGGGTAGAGTCTGGTAGAATTGAGTTTTATCCGTTTCAGTTAGGATGGAAGCTTGGCCTGACTTTGTTATTTTTTATCTGGTCCGCTTTGTTAGTTAGTTACACTCCCTTGCTATTGCCTTGGCTCTGACCCTCCCTCTGGCCGGCATACGTGGGTTTTACATTTTGTTGGATTCTTTGCCACAAATCCAAGATGCTCATCTTTCTTCTCCGCCGCCTCATTCCTTCACAGCTGCTGCTCTGCAAAGTGGCCTCTGAAATCCTCAACACGGACCAGTCCTTCAAGAGCTGCATCACATGGGAGACCATCCAGCGGGTCTTTGCCAAGAAAGTCCCCGTGAGTATAAAGGAAATTGGATTCCAGGGTCAGGGGAAGAGAGTCATCGTTAGGTCTGTTGGCTTCATGCTCAAGTATTCCCTCCACACTAAGAAGCGAGAGTTGGGGGCCAATGGGAGAGACATTCTCACACATTCCTGAAAACACTTAACAATGCAAATAAAATAGTTGTATGTGGTTCACGTGATGGGCGCGCAGACCAGTACACACATGCGGTGTTGCCCATCTACTGGGCTCTCAAAAGTGGTAAAAAAACGCCCTGTCGCGTTGGCACACACAGCCCATAGTTAAAGGGAAGATACAACATTTGCAAACATCAAAAAAGAAATGATCAAATTATCATGAAATATCTTACTGGAATGTTGGGGAATGACAGTCCAAAGCATCCTGTAAAATCGTTGCTCCTGGTGTGCTGACATTTGCATGAAAACTTGTATTTTTCCAACGCTGGTCGGCCGACCAGCTTTGGAGACACCTGACTTTTTTCAAAAACTGCTCCTAATTTGTTTTATTTAGTAATTCCGCATTTTCTTTGCAATTGATTACAAACCTGTGAAGGGGTAAAAGCCAGCCAGACTGATTCTCAACCTTAGAATTCCCCAACATCTATAAATCGCTCCGTTTCATACTAAGTGGGGTCAGGGAAACAGACTACAAGAACATGGCTGGTTTTCTTGGGTTTTCCAGCATCTCCGAACCAAAAACGTGAAGCAAGTCAGTTTAACACTATTTGCTACAACATACTAATCCTCCAAATCCATTTGTTTCTGAAAATTGCAGCAAAAGCAAACGTTGTACATTCCCTTTAAGGCTCTGTTTTAATGATAAACTATTGAAATGAACTTTGACAAAGGCATACCTTTGATGTCATCCATCCCGTATAAAAACTTTTTCGACATTGACATGTGATTTGTCTTATGATTTGAGCTTGGATTGGACTTGAGATTGGACTAGATTAAATCTTCTGATTGTATACTCTTTCCAAAACAATTTTGAGAGATTTTTTCATTGACCGAAGCGAGGGCTGAACCTGCAACCTCTGGTTTAGCGTTCCGGTGCTTCACCAACCAAGCTATCCAGTGTTGGCGGTTCCTGCTTCTGACCAACACCCTTGAGCATTGACAAAATAGGGAACCACCAGCGTGGGGCTGGGAAGTTCAGTTGGTAGAGCACTAGGACAGCAACCCGCAGGTTGCTGGTTCACATGCACTCCAGTCAAAATCTTTGTTCAGCTTAAAAAAGTATTGCCAAAGTTTTAATTCTTAGGAAGCCTCTCAGAATGCAGAATGTTCTTGCTCATTTTTGGACACTCTTTGAGGAGGAAGTGTACCACATGTTTCGCCATTTTTTTTTTCATTTTTTTTTTTTATCTTCTTCAATAGGATTCCGTCAATATGGAGGGTAAGGATGCGAAAGTCATCTCTACGCGCTGCTATCGCCACATGAAGAACCCAGACTTCAGGACTAACTTTTCTGTGTGTCTAGGAGAAGTAAAAGAAGACAAGGTGAGGCAAATGTTTAAAAAGGGGAGTGTTTCTCTTCTAAAAAATAACGATAACTTTTCTTTGTCAACCCATTATTAACTTAAAACACACATAAAAAAGAACACACTGTGCATTTAAACTTGTTCCCATGTTTTTGAAAAATGCAGGAGATTTTGGACAGCATCAAACCACTGTCTGACAGAAGTTCCATTGAGGCAGCCTCTGAAGAATTTGAAAAGCTTTTTAATAAGCTAGAAGCCAAGTTCAGGTGAGTGAGATTTTGTCCTGTTTCCAAGATTTTTTACTGTGGAATGTATTATTTGCCACAGTCAGTTTCTTGTATTTAAAGGGAATATACAACATTTGCAAACATCAAAAAACAAAACTAACAAATTATTATGAAATACCTTACTGGACTGTCAGTGAATGACAGTCTAAAGCATCCTGTAGAATCATGGCACCTGATGTGCTGTCATTTTCAAGAAAAGTGGTATTTTGTATCAATTTCCAACGCTGGAAAAGGAAAATTCTGACTATTTTTTTAGGACTGGTTCCCTGACCTTACAATTCCCCGACATCTTTAAATTGCTCTGTTTCATCTTAAGTTAGGTCAGGGAACCAGACTACAGGAACACGATTGTTTTTCTTGGTTTTCCCAGCATCTACGAACACAAAACTTCAAAAAAGTCAGTGAAACAATACTTGCTACAAAATACTAACCTCCCCAAACCATCCATTTCTGAAAATGTTTGTATATTCCCTTTAATTTACCTGTCAAACAATAGTTGTTTGTTTTATTGACTGATGAAGTCTAGAAAATTATCGAAAAAGCATTCAGTGTACCCTGTGATCTATCATGACAGATTTGCCGAAGAATTCAATACCGTCCTGCCCGATGACATCACCAGTCTCCATAGCAACTACAACGTGGTGCCCATTGTTCAAACGGATCCCACCAATGCAACGTTCTTCAAAGATGAGAACGCAACGGACTTGAAACGACTGACGCTGCACACCATTGTACTGGTGAGGACTCGTCATAGTTAGGGCATTATAGAGAATGAAAGTACTTACTTGCCTCCCGGAGCCTCCTGCACTTGACAAAAGAGGAATTTTGCAGGCTTACTATCCTCCCAGCCAGCGAATAAAGGCCATAATCGACTTTAATAATTTGTTGCATGAAATCCTACGAACGGCGTAAGTTGCGCACTGTTGCATAAAAACGTTGCTTTGTGCTTAGGAACAAGTCCATGCAATTTTACTTGCAGTCTCCTTTGACTATTTACAAAGTAGTTACAGTCTTCAAATGCCAGTTTCATATTCCTGCTTGTTTTTTTTTACCCCCAGAGCACGCTGTCATCCCAAAATGCCAGTGACTACGATGCCAGACTCGTCTTTAAGCTGTACGAGCAGTATGACAACAGGTTGCTGCATGACGTTTTCCTCTTCTGTAGGTCCACAGGAATCGTCAACCGCTGTTCGGTGAGTTCATGTTGTCGTGCCTCCGGTCAATATCGTACTTGATAGTTTATCAGAGATGATTGTGTCTTAATTTTCGAGCTAAGTGCTCTTCAGGAATAACACAATGGCGTCACTCTATAAGTTCTGATCGTTTTTCATCAAAGTACCACGTGACCATCCGGTTCCCCCATGATTTGCCATCATTGCAGTAGGCTAGCATTTGGTTAGCAACCATGTCATGCATTGTTAACTAGACAGAGCCTGTTGTCACTTTCATAAATTGCAATAATGGTCACTGACTGTATGATGTTCAGTCGTCATCGTGCCGACCAGCACTGGGTGTTGGCTCCACGTTTTTCTCACGGTTTTTGCCATCCATCACTGCTTTGTAGGCTTGGGTTCTTGGTTTATTCTTCTCCTAAATACTCCACGTTGGAGTTTATACAGGAGACCAGAAACACCGGGGCAAACCCCTTCTCTTAACGATAAGTGTTTACTGGGTTCTTTTACGTGCATTATACAACACACGGGACCTACGGCTTTACGTCCCATCCGAAGGACGAAGCAATAATGGTTAAGTGCCTTGCTTAAGGGCACAAGTGTCCGCCGGTGGACTCAAACCCACGTCACTGTTGCCTCTGAAACACCAGAACATGAGTCCGGTGCTCTTAACCACTAGGCCATGACACTCCATATAGGCTTGCCTGCTACCTACTGCCCGTGGCACTATATGATCTCAACTCAAAAACTACTGAGCCCCTCTTGCTCAAATAACAACTTATCAGTACAGAAATTCCTTAGCAATCCAGCCATACTCTTTATTTGGCCCAAAACAGTGATAATGTGCACGAATTTATGCAATTTATGACAAATGATACCGAAAACAGTTGCACTTTTGTATACGCGCAAGTTGTGGTTCACACTCACCTTGCACATATACAAAAGTGCAATTTTTTTCCCGGTACCTTTTGTCATAAATTGCATAGTTTTGTACACATTATCACTTTTTTGGGGCCAAACAAAGAGTATGGCTGGATTGCTAAGGAATTTCTGCACTGATCAGTCGTAATTTGAGCAAAATGTGCCCAGTAGTTTTTGAGTTAGACAAAAAAGTATTGAGGGTGGACTTTCTTTTTTGTTTGAGTGCACAATGGCGACACTGACTTTCCGGTACCCACATATAGGCCGGGTCACGTGGGCCAGTGAGAGAGCCCTATTACATGTCAACTTCCCTGGTGTCCGATATTTTATATTTGGTTGCAGTGGTACATGGGTACCCATTAGGGCTGAGTCAATTCGAATAATTGAATATTCGAATATTCGACCTTCCAATCGATCGAATATTCGAATATTCGGTTATTTGGCCATTCCAAATTCCCTCAAAAGCAAAAATATGCCATACATGTACATGTATAGTCAACGTACGTGCGCACGTCAGCATGCCATGCATGATTTCTTCACAGGTAAGTCAGGTATTTGACAACAATCAGTTGTTCTTCAGTCGTCAGTAATTTAAAGATTAACAATAACCAGAGAAGCTAGAGTGAAGGATTCCTTGTTTGCATGGGGGACGTATTAAGCCGTGAACCCCAAACACGGCGGGTGGCGTCAGCTATTGTGACTCTCCGACCCTTAACTCGCAAACAGGAACCGAGCATATCTATTACTGGAAGCTTCTTGAAGTCTACAAAACGGTGTACTTCCTAGTCACAGTATTGAGGATAAAAAATCACTTTTATAATAATAACTCGCACTTTTTGTCACCAAGAATTGAGGAAATGATTTTAAATCATTTTAAATAAATTTATTCTCAACAACCAAAAACTCCAAGAAAAAAACCTATGATATTTAATGTCTTTATTCAATGAAATATGGGTCTTTGAATTGTAAATGCATATTTAAGTTTATGCAAATAATGGGCGTGGGCACGGCATACACACGCCCCAGCTTGACACGTGCAAAGCAGTATTTCCTTGTTTGCCCACAGGGGATGTATTATAAGCTGTGTACCCAAAACACGAAGGGTGACATTTCAGCAAAAAAAAAAAAAAAAAATCGCCAGCCGAGCTCCGGCGGGCGCATTGTTGGCGGGCTAATTAGGGCACAGGTGCGCTGACCCGGTTCTTTTGTCTGGCTAAGTGCGTACTCTGGAGATAACTTTCTAACAAATAGGCCACTAAAAGGTTTGGATATTCCAACTTGTAACATTTTGATACATTTTATCTAGCTGTGGTTTTCTATGCTGGGAATCAGGGGTACGGTGCGGTGAGTTGACCGCAAAGTCTGTCTGGCGAAATAAATGAGAGCTCTTTTGAGTTTGAAATCCTCTCTGTTGTCTGCCCTTTTTCTTGCGTTTTGCTCAACTTGGAGGACATAAGCCAGAGGTTCCCGCTATTATTACTGAAAGTATAATTGCTGAACTAGTTTTTGAAGTGTTTATGTATGTTTTATTTGTGCAAATATTGGGTGCAATTAGCAGACTAACCCAGCGAACAAAGCTGACGGACAGCGAACGAAAATGTGTTCGATAAAAGGGTGCTCTGATCAGTTGAGAGAACTAGATTATTTTGTACATGTACATGTATATAATTACGGAGGCATCTAACAGCCATAATAAATTTACCCCTAAAAGTAAACAAGAAATTCTTTTAGAAAAATCCCAGAGTCCGTAACGTAAATGAACCAAGGTTTTCAAAACGTTTTAATGTAATGTTGGGGTTCATGACAAGTTTTCTACAACACCGCCACGTGCTGTGAGCAGCATACTGCATGCAAGGCGATTCCCTATAACCACGTGCATTCGACACGATTGATTCGACACGATTGAACAGGCGATGGAAAACTTTGGGGGGAATTGGCTTCGCTGTATCAGTGTAATGTACCGCTTCTTGTGCGACCCTGTGCGAGCAGTACGTCCTCAAAATAAGTACATGAAAACGGAAAATACAAAGGCCCACACAGAAAAAAGAAATCAAGTTCTTTGCATGAGATTGCAGAGGTCTTCTACATCGATGTTGGCATGCCATTTTCGCGATGTCAATAGCCGATCCAGTAAGCCCCTCCCACTGCGCACGTGGGCAAATTAACACGTGCTCCTCTCCAATGCCACGCTGCATTTTCCTATGCTGCACACATGTACATGTAACACCAACGCGCGGGGAAACTTGCCAGGATCGCATCGGGGAAAAACAGCGGCGGTTTTCTTTTGAAAGTAGGGATTGTAAGTAGGACAACAACAAACAAAAATACGGACAGCGGAAACGTTACTACTCATGCTAGAAGTTTGATATGAAAAGGTGTCAGGAAGTGTTTTGTGAAGACATGAAAGACAAAATGTCTTGTTTATCTTGTCGGAAGAATCAGCGATTGGTGTTGCAGTCCGGCGTTAAAAAAATGGGTTGGCTTTACTGCAAGCACTCCCAAAGCAAAAGTAATATATGTATGGCATTATTGCTTGGCATATATACAAGCTACTTTTATGGGGGTTTTTGGCAGCAACTTGAAACTTAACTTTGAGAATACACTTTTGTTGTAAAAAAAAAGGAGTTTTTTCCACCTTTTTATTTCATTGCATATCACCACCGAATATTCTTATTCGAAAATAAATATTCGAATATTCGTTTATCGATCGAATAACCGAATATCCGAATATTCGGCACAGCCCTAGTACCCATAGGGGAAGGGTTCTAACTCAAGATTGATTTCTCCCTCCACTATATATCATTAATCATAGTTCAAACTTTGGTCACAACTATTTTTAAACCATGAGTTCCATGCACGAATAAAAGACAACTTTTTTTTTACCACTCTCGAGAGCCCAGTGGGAAGGACACACTGTGCGCGCGTACTGGTTTGTGCGTATACTGCTAATAAGTACATACGACTAATTTTATTTTGAAAGTGCACAAAGCCGTAGTGTCAGGTATTGCATTCGAATATCATTTCCAGTGGTCTCCCCCGACTCATCCTTTCTTATGGTTTAGGGGGTACTTGTGCACAGAGCCTACAGTTTAACGATATAGTCCATCATTTGTAATTTGTGCATTTTGTTCGTTTGAAGCAACAAAAGTGTTCAAAATCTAATAAAGGATACTGAACAACTAACCTGATGAAGTTTCAGCTCAGCTTCAGCTGTATATTCCGAGAAAAACAGCATTCTAGGATCTCAATTTCAAATCAAAAGTTGCTGAATCATGTTTTGAATTGTTTTGAATTGCAGCTATACGCGATGTCGCGCACTGATCCGATGAATTATAGCAACTGCGCGCGCCTGTGCGTCGTGCCAATGCTTGCGCGCGCTGCGCCGAATAACAAAACGAATTACAAATTTAAATTTTCCTACGGTGCGTCTTAAGACGCACCGTTGGAAAGGCCTTCTTTCGTTGATTACTTCATAATGATAGCTTGCCAGAAAGATTAATTTCACAGGGAGTTTAGTCCACTTACTATCTTTCAACCAAGTATGTTTTTCAACAATAATACACCAGTTACTTTTTCGGATGACTGCAAATGATGGACTATAGCTTTAACGATAGTCTACCTAGGTGGACCATAGCGTGACTTCACCTCATGTGCAAAGCTGACACGTGCAAGGTCCCACGGTTACCATTGTGAACTTTTTTTCCTCAGAAACCCAAACGAAGGATCATGCCGTGCGTGCCCATGTCGTATCAACTCTCCATGGGTTACATCAGGCATTTCAAGGCAAGGATGCCGCATGAACTTCCAGACGAAGCGGCCAGATGCCAGGAGAAATTACTGGAATCAGGTAAGGAAAAAGTGAAGTTTGTTCTGAGCCAAAATCACTCCATCAGGGCCGGTGTTTATCTCCAGTTTGCGTGGCATGAAATGACTGAGAATATTCCTATTGCCCCTGAATGTGATGTCAATCCTCGCAGGTTTCTCCCCAGCTAATGCTGGTACTCATTTATACTCCTGGGTGGAGAGAGGCAAGTGAGAGTAAAGTGGCTTGCCCAAGGACACAATGCATGCCAAGCAGTAAGATTTGAACCCCTGACCTTCTGATCATGAGTCGCAAACCCTAATAACCACTAGACCACTCTCCCAGGTGAGGTGTATGGCATAATGATTATTTAGTTACTCAATTAATCAATAGCTGTATCGAATATATTTGGTTACAGTTTTTATTCCATATATCGGAACCACTTTATGATAATGAAGGCTTCATTTCAGAAGACGTAAAAATGTGCACCAAAAATGATAGGAGCAAAAAAACAAAAACAAAAAAACCTAGCATTCCATGGGTTACCCTCTTCCTTAACCCGTTCGCGCCAGGATTATTTTGACTTTGACCGGACCCAGGCGTGGGATTTTTTTTTTTCACGAACCTCGAGACAGGAACCTGCGAAATGGTTTCAGGCCGTCATCTAGCCCACCCTGACATTTCTGGCTCGGCTTTGCTGCGAGCGGGTCGCAAACACAAATTTCCAGCCTCGCTCGTTGCGTGTTTATCCATCATCCATTCTGAATACCGCAAAACGTTTGCGTGTATACACGTCACCCGACGTCAACTGCCTAAGAAAGTTGGACTAATACTTAAGATTCACTTGCTAATGTATGCTAATGCCTGGTTCTAAAGTTGTTTTGTTGTATTGTTGTCATTTTCTTAAACGTTTTCGCTCCAGAAGAAGATGTCACCTTTCCCCAAGTCAGCTGTGGTGCGTGCTCGTGTCAGATATTCCTTCTCTCAACAGACCAGGTGAAAAAAGTGATTTTTGTGACATATAAAGGCAATGTTCCTGTCCTTTCTCAAGTCCACAAATAGTCTGAAATAAAAAGTTTAATGGTAAGCACCAAGCCACACAGCTGACACATGCAGTTGTGTTTAACTATACTCTCGAAGACAATGCTTTGTGTTTCCCTTTGTCCCTGTAAATGTAACACTCTCCCATAGACTAAGCACATAACCGTACGATAGAGGACCGTTTTCAACAAAAGACCCGAGGACTGAAAGGATTTGTTAGTCTCTCTTTGTGTGTCGGTCCTCGGGGGTTATGTAGAACACTACAGACATCACAAGTCCTCACAAATCCATCACAAGTCCTCTAGTCTCAAGTCAAATTTCAAGCAGTGAAAATGAACTGTGTCAACAGTAGTCCTATGTATATCTCCTGTTGCTTCTGATCGGGCTTGTGATGGACTTGTGATGGACTTGACTACAAAGCAGAATGCAAGGAATGTACAATTTGTCCAAAAATACATGTACTTTGATTTCTGTCTGAGTTCTCATATAAATACTCAGACACGTTCAGATTACTTTTAAGTACACATTTTCAATTCCCACCCATGATCAAAAGTCCAGCTTCTCCGACCACATTGTCTAGTTTTTCAGACTGAAATCATACCACGGTACAACACCTTATGCTTTAGTATACATGTCAAACTCTGAAAAAAAGACTCAAGTACAACTCAAAATAGACTTGTCCATCTTTTATCTGTTACTCTTATTCGTTTTCCTTTTTATACCTCATTGACAAATTGTGCTGCTTGGAATTACAGTAGAATCAGCCTAAATCACGAAAAACAGGTTTTCTAGTGATCAATTGGGAAGAAATTGCAATCTTCACAGAAACGTTGGTCAGATTTTCATCAAAGTAATATTTTTTCACAGAGGCCGTAATTTTCTTCAGTTGCTGATTATGTGCAGCGTGCTGTGTGTTGACTTGAGGCAAATCATTCAGGACATCCATTTTTTTTATACCAATGCAAATTTGGATATTTCTAAGTTCCAATAAAGTACACTCTTAATATTGATGCAGATTTTAACACTGACACGATTTTTCCACTTTAGTTGAACTGCAAAATCGTCATCCCTAAGAAAGTGATCGTCTTGGATAGTAACCTCATAGACCAGGAGTTCCTGAAGCAGAGTGGACTTCTGAAGAAGAGTGGGGACTTCTCGGACTCGGACAGCGACACCGACGAGGACTCAGAGGAGGATGAAAACGATGAGGAGCAGAGTGATCAAAATGAGGGGAGAGACACCCAGATAGATGGGGTGGGGATGGAGGACAGTGAGACACAGGGGATAGGGGTCATAGACAGGGTGAGGAATGTCACCGGAGTCAGATTTGATGAGGATAATGATGATGAGAAGACAACAGGACAGGCTGAAGCGATGGAAGATCAACAAGCCTTGGACTCTTCGATAAGTGTTGTCGAGGATGATGCAAATGACCGCAGCGTCATGGATCAGCTGAACGAACTGGCCGAGGGTCTTGTGAGCATTGAGTCCCAGTTTTCCGATGCAATAGAATGTCCATCAGTTCAGCAGTCTGTTATAGACATGGACCATAGCTACTTGGCTAGCACGTCAACGGTGGTTGATCACGACCAACCAACTGTGAATGGCTCAGGAGATAGAGGGGAAACTTCACTTCCAAAGTCTGAAGGGACAGTGACTGGTTATGGGGACGGTTCCGGAGACGCCAGCCAAGAAGTGTGGACTGCTGATCCAAGATTTAGTCTAATAGATGAGGTCCTTTATGGGGTCGGCAGCTCTAAGCGGCAGGAGACTGCCAGCCCAAGTCAGGCCCACCTCAAGCCCCAGCCCCGCAACGCCACCATGAAGTGCCTCTCGTACGACCAGGTCTCCTTCACCAAGTGGCTGATCCTCCGGGGCCACTACGCGCCGGGGGTCTGCGGCAAGAAGATCTCAACTCTCCAAGAGAACATCGCCTTTAACGCCTTCATCATCAAGCTCTCACTCAACGAATCTAGTCCCGGGGTCCCTTGCCAATCCCGTCCAGAGTTCCAGCCCTGTGCTAGTCTTCTGGAATACCTCCTCAGGCCTTGCAAGAAATTTGTGTATTTGGAGCCTGTCTGGAAGCCGACGGAACTTGGCCAAGAAGCTTCCTATCTTGAAGAGTTGTGTCAAGGAAAGGTGTTTGAACAGCAAGGAGACAGCACCCAGGAGCTAACACAGAGGTAGTAACCTTGTACACTTTTTCCCCTTGCTTTTTGTTTTATTCGGGTAAAAATAAAACTGATGATTCCTTTAAAAAAATGCACATTGAAAAGCCAGAAGGAAAAGGAAATTCTGAATACGATAAGGACATTTTATGTTTAAAATTTGGCGTGATAACCCTGGATTAAAAATTCCTGGGAAATCTGAGGAATCAAAGAGGGACTGAAAAATCAAATCTACTTATCGGCCTGTCAAACTCATTAATTCCATCCCCTAACAAAGCCTTCGACAACAACTCTTGATATTTGTCAGTCGTTGTGGACAAGTGAGGCCACAGCTGCATAGCATGTTAACCCATTAATACCTGAATCACATTGTATAATTTTAAGCACCTGTTCCTAATTTACTGTAATTATTCCCTGATGGCAGTAGCGTAAACAGGTGCAGAGTGGCAGATTGTAAAGGGATGGAGATTTGAAAAGCAAAATTGGAATGGTAATAGAAGCAAAATCAGGACGGTGAAAATGGACAACAGAACAAAAACTGTACTTTGCTACTAAATACTTTCTATTGATTGCCATTTTTCACGAGTCCCTTTTTTCATGAGGGCCCTTTTCACAAGTGTCTTTGTTTACGTCTTGTAAATGTCATGCTGCCTTGAAGAGCGCCACCTATTGTCCAAAGGTCCGGTTTGATCAGTGCCCCCATCGGAAGAAGGTGTCTAACCCCCCACCCCCCCATCCCCCCCAAAAAACCTGGTTATGTGCTTGCCTGATGGATCCATAAGCCGTGCAGTGCTCGGATGGTTTAGGGTGGTTCAGAGAGTAACAGGCAAGCCAGTTGTTGGCGGTACATGGACGATTGAGTCAACATGTTATCCAGTAGACTAGACATTGTTTAATTATATAATATTGGATGGCTTTGAGATGGATACAAGAATATATTGCACGAGTTATGACAATATTATAGCGAGTGCAATATATTCTTGTATCCACTGAAAAAAGCCATCCAATATTATTATTATTATTTATATCAGGCTGACTTGATCCGCAAGAAATACAATCAAGACACTGTCTTCATTTCATCTTTTTCATCAAACTATTTGAAGCTACTGTAATTGTTGACAACAGTACGCGTATACCTGGCCTTCTTTGCGCTGCATGAGCGCAGCGTGTTCCGTGTTCGACAGTCCGCGTGTGCTACGCTCTGATGAGTGGTTAAAAACTGTGACTTTCTGGACTCTTGATCGTGCGGGAACCAGCGAAAATGCCCGGATGACTGCAATAACAATATTATTGCAGTGAACCAGGTACCGTAATATTGCAGTCATCCAGGTACTTTTTATGAAAGCATGCAACACGCTGATTTACTTTTACCGCTGGAAGCCTGATATAAATAATAATGTGATATGACTTCATAATTATTATTATTCCATTGATATCTTCTTTATTTTTTTTTTTTATTTTTTTGGTACGTGAATCTGTAGGTTCACTGGGATAGGCCTCGATGCTGCTACAACTACTGCACTCATCCAAATCTATGAGAAGATTAAAGAAGCCGGATTTCTTGGCGTGACCGTGCCGGAAGTGAAGAGGATTGTGGGAAGGGTGGAGGCAGCCAGCACTGTCAAGCTTTCTCTGGAGAAATATATCAATCTGTTGCTCGACCAGGAAATGGTATGTTGCAGGCCAAAGAATGGCTGCAAAACGTTTAGCTGGTCAAGCTAAAATGAACATGTTATTGAATAATTAAAGAAATATCACAATTCAGCAAAGACCTCTTGTTTATTTATTCACTTTCCCTCTTTCGCAAGGACAGGTTTTTAGAATAAAACATGTGACTCATTACTAGCAAGAATGTTTATGTTAACTCCTTTCCTGCTTGGTGAGGAAAACTGCTTCATGAAACATACTGTCAGTATTTTGAGCACATGATGCTTCATGAATAATTTACCCTTTGCAAGGAAATCGTGTTAAATGACTCAGAGATGATATGTGATGCGATCAAGCTGTATGAGTCGTTTGTCTGGAACTTTCATTTGGAGATACAGGCCAAAATAGGGCCACTTCATTACATCACTTCATCACAGCTCTTGGTGTTCCGACTTTCATAATTTTTGAACGAAAGATGGTATCAGCATGCGGTTTTCAAAGCAGTAATGCTGAGATTGTTCCTTTGTTTAAGTCTGTAAAAAAAAATTGACCAGGGTCGACAAATGACTCATTTAGCTTGATTGCATTACATATGGTGGTTATTGACTAACACTCTTTTGCGAGTATGACATGCTTAACTCTATTTGGTGAAGGCAACTCAATTTGGTGAAGGCAAAGTACTAAATCAGTGTCATCTGTTTTCAGATAGTGGAAGTGGGTTCCAACGACCTCCGCATTGTCGCTACAAAACACGCCTCACTGTGGATGATCCATTCGCACAGACTAGTAATCCCTGCCAAATCTGCTGATTCAGACCCTCTTGCCAAGAGACCGTGTCTAGACAGGCTGTCAGATACCTGCTTAGATCTACCTTCGAGGAATGAACTAGTGGAGGGAGAGAGTAGCAACACTGAAATTGTTGACCTAACAGGAGAGCCCCTAGTGCCACAACTCCAAAGCGAATATTCAGTTGAGAAGATCTCAATGTCTGAACCAGGACAGAGGCTGAGTCCCCTGCCTGGGTCAGGTCAAGTGCTCGAGGTCACTCCAGAAGATGACCCCCTTGCTGAAGGGTCAGGGGGCAAAGGTCACCAGGAGGTCACTGTCGTAGGTTCCCCTGAAGATGCAGCCGAAGAGGTCTTGGAGATTGGCGAGGCGACGGACACGATGAGAGAATCCAGTGATGGTGGAGAGGCATCCTTGGCCGACAGAAGCTCATCAACTGATTCTGATCACGGTAGAGCAGTCAAGAGGAAGTTTGCCACGGTCATTGATGGGTAAGGAGAAAAACCTAAGTTTTCAAAAGATTTTGAGACTCTGGAGACATGTTTGTGTATGTTGAGTATTAAAAAAAGAAAGCCATGAAGATTGATTAATTTTACTTTTCAATTATACTGAATAGTTATGGTTGAGATAATTGCCCTTAACTGATTCTTACAGGCAATGTTTGCTCAGTTCTGCCCTAGAGCTTGCTAGGAAAAAATCACAGATTGGTTGGTTGAGACACGAACCCGCGACCTGTCTTGCTTACTAGTTCTGACATCTAAACCCCCCAACCACTGTGCTAATGTGCAGTATCCTGCTATATCCGAATGTACATCCTCTACCCTATTTACAATTCAATTTCTCTCCCCTTTCAATGTCAGTGTCTACGAGCCAGTTGATTTTGTCCCGCGTCCCTGGTGCAAGGTGAACGGCAAGGTGAATCGGCCTGAGCTGTGCAAGATGATCAGGGGCATCGCTCTTAAAATCCTAGCCGAGCCGGGCATCAAGGAGTCGCAGATAGTCCATCACCTCCGGATCATCTTCAGGAAGGTTGACTCGCTCAAGCTTCTTCAGGTTGGTCTCTCTCTCTCTCTCTCTCTCTCTGTTTTTACTATTTTGTTGAATGACAAGATTGAAAATTTCATTTTTTTTCTTCTGAATACTTTGGAAAGTTAAGGGCATCATAGGAAGGCTTTAACGTGACCACATAACGTCTAAACCTATTTTGTTCTCTTAGGGCTTAAGTTTGCTGAGACCCAATGCTACTCACTATATCCTGTTTATTTTTTATTATCATAATATGTTTTGGGGATGGGGGTGGGAGGAGGTAGTGGCGTGATTGTGGGGAGGGGGCTCTAGGCCTGTTTGCGCCTTTTTTTGGAATTATGACCAAACCAACTGTGTTGCTCAAGAATATGGGACCCCCAACATGTCCTAATACCAATTCAACCCAAGTTGCTGTACTGGGAGCCAGACCAATAATCCTTGAAAATTTTCGAATTTCCTTTTTCCGGAAATAACAGAATTGCAGTATTGGAAATCTTGGTTAATTGCTTAAGGCCTTTGGTCTGTGTGCTTTGTATCCACGTCTCAACCTTCCCAACCTGCCCCCTTGAAAAAATCTTGAAATTCAAAACCTCAACCCCTCTCTTTGCAAAATCCTAGCTTTGCAACTCATTACCTTTCTAAATGTGAGATTTTTTTATGAATATACATTTCCATTGCAATTTTTTTTCATCTTGTAGATAATGTCAGATCTGGGCCTGATCACCAGGCACTGTGTCACCCTTCCTAAACCAAGCTTGTTTGGCAGGACGAAGTCAAGGTCCCAGCCCACAGTCTACTACTACCATCCCAGCATCAACTGTCTGACAATAATGGGAGCCCTGTTTGATGAACATCAGGACACTCAGGACTGAAAAGAAACTTCAGGAACAATGAAACCGGCCTCAAGATTTATTAATTAACAGAGTTATTTTCTTCAGACTTAAAGGCATATAAGATCATTTGCTTTTCATGCGTTTTGTTCTTTTCAAATAATAACACCACGCAAAATCTGAAGAATGTTCAAAACCTGACCTGTTGAGTTTCAGCTCAGTGAATATTACACTTTTCGAAAGAACAGTTGAAAACCAAGCACGACCTTCTGATCAAATTCTTGATTTCTTTTAAATGACAGCAAGCCAGACGGAATTTCACGGGGTCTTTAATTAGTACCAGTATGATCGTTTGTCCAAGTAAGCTTTGTGATAATTCAGTAGGTTACTTTTTGGATAAATGCAAATGATTCTACGGTGCCTTTAAGTGCTCAACTTTTAAGTATACATTTATGCCCAGGTACACTACACCCTTTTAATTCACTCCAGTATTTGCCCAGAGTGACTTCCCATTTTGGGTACTGCCCTCCAATGGGCTGGGTGCGCCAACAAAAGAGGGCGTGTATTTTACTACTTTTGAGAAACCTGTGGACAGGACACACAGCGTGTGCGTAATGTACTATGCTAGTTTGCGCACAAAGTATGCACAACTTTCTGAATGTGCCAAATCTATAGCCACAGCTTTTTCGCGTGAGCGTCAGGCTTCGGCGCGAGAATACATTCAAATTTAACTTGCGCTGGTCTCCCAGACTAATCCCCCCGCCCCCAATAATTTTGGATCATTCGAAATACACAGTGGATGGACCGGGAACCAGTCTAGGTCTCCCCCAACTCTCCTTTTCTGGCCGTTGAAGGGGTACTTGTGCACAGAGCTCATTCCCTGCTACAATGTCAATTCTTGTGTTCGGAACTCACTGACAATAAACAGACCAACGTAAACAAGTCTGCAGTGAGCTCCCCAAAGCCTCCAAATAAATGCCAGCAGACAGGCACTCTAGTGGCATTTTTATGAACTCGAACCTAACTTGGCTGGTGAGTCAAAGCATTCTCCGAAATAGTTCAGCTGGATGACACCAAGGAGCAAAGATTGAAATTCGGGTATTAAAATGAACTAATGTGTAAGCATTTTCTCAAGTGTTTCACTGCTTTTGGGGACCATGCTGCATTTTTAATTTATTTAAAATTATCATTTCATAATCAACAAAATAAGAGGGCCTAATTACATTTCAGGACCTAGCGGGACATTTCCTTTGCAGGTCTGCAAAGGATAGCCCCTGTCATTTGGTTGATTTAACTATTTCAGGTCAGTCCAGTGCAACAGTTTTATTCATTTTAAATTATCATATTGTTATAATGTTGTGGTTTTCCTTATAGAAACATTGTGTGTTCCATGTTTGAACATGCAGAAACCATTGGAACCTTCCGAGTGTTCCGAGTTTGAAATTGCTTCCCTTTTTGCCTTCTCATTTAGTTGTGATTCAGTTGGTATTTTCTGCCATCAGCAACTCAAGATTTGGGAATTATGAATAATTTTCATATAAACCACAAAGGAGAACTGACTAGGTGCATTATAATAAAAAATTTTTTACAAAGAAATTGACTGAAGCGGGGTTTGAACAGCCTCAGGATTGTCGTTCCGTTGCTCAACCGGAACAGCAGTTCAGAGGTCCCAGGTTCAAACCCTGCTTAAGTCAATTTTTTTTCAGTTTTTAATGAATACTGTTAAAATAAATCAACATAGTTATGCAAAGCATTTTTTTACTGTTAATTTGTGAGGAACAAATTTCTACTTTTTTTTGTTATGGCACAGCTTCTGCAATTGTAGTTTTAACAAGTGTTAGTGTTAAATGTCTTAAAACAACATGATTCTTAAAACTGCAGGAATCTACTAAATGGTCATCACCTTCATTTCTTTTTAAACCAAAAAAAGCATACACTTTTTGAAAGTACAAATGTGAACCAAAACTTTGAAATGTCGTCATATATCTTGATTTTTTTACCCACAAGAAAGAACTGTACGATTTTGTTTGGTGGTCTTTTCTTTTTTATATTTTCGTGTAAAGGGATCTGCAGATCACTTGTGTATTGTAAAGGGAGCTTATCCAATTTTTAATAAAATAGAAACCAAACTATTATCATTTTTTGTCACTGATTTTGATGTGTTGTTGTTTATTTGAAGCGTTTATTCCTCCCCCATTCCTTCCCCTTCACCCCTGCTGGTGCACATAGTGTTTGCAACATGCATATCTCGAAACTGTAAGATCTTGAAAACCTGAACCAAAAACAAGAAGTACATATCAGATGCGGATCCAGGGATTTTTGCTGAAATGTAGAGGTTTTTTTTTACTCCGTATACTTGGCCCCAGTAAAATCTAAAAAAAAAAATGGGGAGTACCATCTTTTAATGGGAGCGCTAGCGCTGTTCAAGTACAACGATCGTGCACAAGTACTCTTGCATAATAGTGCAACTCCTTACCCCCGCAAATACCCCTTACTCCTCTGTGTCCAAGTGTTGCGGACAGGAGGACATACAGGTAATTATTATTACTACAATTGTCTTCTTTTTTTAATTTTGGTGTCCGCAAAAGTTCTGTTTGGACCAACAACAACAACACCCCCCCCCCCCCATCCGTGCCTTATGTGACCTTCTTGTGGACATGTAGAATAAAGGGTCAAATTCGTATATATTGTAAATTGGATTAATTATTATATCATAGGCCTAAAACCATTTTAGAAATATCTACTGGCTGTTTACACCTGAATGGCGTAAATCCCCCCCCCCCCTTCCCCTCCCTAGCTCCCCCTCCCCCACCTTTTGATCATGGAGTGGACATTTTGCACCTCTAAAATGTAAATATGGAGCCACTCATTTATAATAAATTACAGTAAAGTGCAATCTGCAAGGAAATAATGTGAAGTGGGCAAACGTGAATCCTCCCTTCCAAGTTCCAGCGCATCCACAAATTAGTGTGCTCTTTCAGAAAGCACATAGTGACACAGTGGACAAAAGCACAATTTTTTTCACCAAAGCATCTCCATGGTATACCTTTTCGAAAAAAAGACGGACGCAAAAAATTGGATGATGGGAAGGGCATGTATGACGTCATTATGACGTCATCAGCTAATTATTACATGAAAAAAATATATACATGTATTGATAATAATCTTCAGAACTACAAGCATTACAACAACAAATTTGGCTAAAATCATGGATTTGGGGTAGTCACATTGACACTTTGTTTTAACATGCAAACAGTATGTGGTATTGTGAGATGTTGTTTTTAAGTTCGAGAGAAAAGCTCAAATTCTATGCCAAAAGAGTTTTTGTAATTGATTATTAGTATCATAAATATGTTTAAACTTGTTCCAAAGATAAGCGGGAAAGTGAGGCATCTTATAGCGAGCTACATTAGTAACAAAAATGCTAAGGATCGTTACATGGTATTTAAAAGCTCCATTTTTTCACCAAAGCTTTGCCAATGTGTTACGATCAAAAGTAGGGTAGGATGCAAAAAATCGGATGACAGGAAGGGTACTTTATGACGTGATAATGACGTCACAATATACTACCGAGCTCGTACAGTAATTAATTGTAGAAAATAAGGTCGTGAAGCGTTGTGATGAGATTCCAAGTAATTAATTTGACATTTTGAGGGTCAGGGAATTGAAAAGTGATATAATCAGTGACATTTAAGTAACAATAAGCTGATTTGCTGTTGCAGTGACGTCACTATTTTTCAAATTTTCTTGAAAAATCTAAGCATTTTTGATTTTGGAAAAAAGTGCTACAATGACGGAATTTGTCACGCAGAAAACAAATTGTGTGAAATTGTGCGGCTCCTTGAATTTGGTCTTTACCACATCCATTTGTTTTGACCATTTACTATAGCTGGAAGACGTAACATTCTTATATGTGTTGTATATTACGGGTAATGAGGTATGGGTTAGGAGCCAGACAGAAAGGAACGTGGTAACCTGAAATAGATTAACAGAGTGGCCGGAAATGGTGATGGTACGTCCTTTAACAATGTATTACAAACGGGGGCCGCCCGATAGTCCGAAGGTCCAATAGTCCGAAGGTTCTTTAGTCCGAAGGTTCGATAGTTTAAATGCACAAAATGTCCATAAAAGGGGGTTCGTTAGTCCGAAAATGAAATAAGGTTCGTTAATCCGAACATTTGATGCAATAGTCCGAAGGTTCATTAATCCGAAGGTTCATTAGTCTGAAGGTTTATTTATCCGAAGGTTCGATAGTCCGAATTTACTAGGTTAATCAGTCCGAAGGTTCAATAGTCCGAAATGAAAATAACAAGCCCGCGGGAACGGGGGGTGCTGTGGGTGCTGCAGCACCCCAAACTTTTTGGATTGGGGTGCTGAAATATGCTTCAGCACCCCCTACTACCGGGCAAAAATGTGTTCCAGCGAGCAGCGTTCTACGACGTTGAAATTGCGCCGCTACGCTATACATAATGCTTGCTCTACAAATATCTCCTTCGTTTTGTTCGTTTCTAGTTTTGCCGCGGCTAAGCGCGGCGCTTCGAGCGTCTAGCACAAAGTAACACTGTAAAATATCAGGAGGAGGTATTTTCTAAATCTTCAGGCAGTGCAGAATCGATATTTCTCTCAATGTATCTAAAATCATGACATGTCTATGATATTTCCGCCATGATGGAAGCTTTGACCCGAAAAAAATAACCTCGGCCATGACAATGGTGGCAAAGTTGATTATGCTTGCCACATTTTTTTTTCATTCGATCTTTCAATAGGGGCAAAGTTCATACCTTTCCCCTGAAGGTTGTTCTTTTCATTTAAAACTTTCATTGACGTTGCTAGCATTCTGTACTCAACATTAACAAATAGCAAGGTTCACACACATCCCAACCTAATAGGAGTGGGACGGGCTTCCATTGAAACTAGTTCCAGTGTTGTTTCGTTTTAATAAAAAAGCTATTCATGTGTTACCCCCTGCAAGTTTTTTCCTCATAAAAACTCAGTAGACCGATAAATCCTTGCCTAGCCCTAAACTTGCCACCTACCGATCATAAACATAAAGATGCATTTGGTCTGTTAGTCTTTTATATTTGCCATTCCCTGTAACAAACAAATAACACTGCAAATATATCAAGAGCTACATCGTTTAGGCCTATGTGAATATTTTTATGAACAGAAATTCACCCGCTTCCAGTGGAACCATTTTGTTTTAACTTGAACCAAAAAACATCCTTTCGGGTTTTATAAGTTTAAGTATATACTTCAGTTTATTTAATCACAGTGCATCCAGAATCCAACATTTTCAGGGGCCTTAAAGCAGGCCCCTGGCCCTGTGGCCCCACGCCGTAAGGGCTCGGAAAATAAATCAAACATACACGACGGAATTTACTAAATGTAAGAAAGCAGCCTAGCACCAATAATATTTACATGCGATGTCATGCATAATGATACAATTCTTTTTCCAGAATTAAATGGAACAACGAATGGAGATAAAAATACAGGGTTTTCGACTTTTCAGTACAGTAGAAACGTTATAAGAGCAACAGTATATTCTAAACAAAAAAGTGAAATAAATTGTCTTTATAATCTCAAAAAAACGTTTGCTAAAAAAGTCATATGAAAGTGGCCAGGAATCGCCTCATATTGCACCACAGAGCATCCATATTGCAAAAACTCTTTTGGCATAGAATTTGAGCCTTTCTCTGTGACTTAAAAACTTCATCTCACAATACTACATACTGTTTGCGTGTTAAAACAAGGTGTCAAAGTGACTACCCAAAATCCATGATTTTAGCCGGAAAAAAAAACAGGTCTTTTGACCAAAAAGGTTTGTTTGACCCACAAAATCACCCTCAACTATATTCCATCCCAATGACATACCACTCAAATGAAAGATCTTTTTGTCCCCTTTAATTTGATACCAAATTTGTTGTTGAGATGCTTGCAGTTCTGAAGATTATTATTAATTTATATTTTTTCATGTAATAATTAGCTGATGACGTCATAATGACGTCATACATGCCCTTTCCATCATCCAATTTTTTTGCGTCCGTCTTTTTTTTCGAAAAGGTATACCATGGAGATGCTTTGGTGAAAAAATGGTGCTTTTGTCCACTGTGTAACGATCCTTAGCATTTTTGTTAATACTAATGTACCTCACTAACAGCCCTGACGTACGTACGCACCTGCGCCTTGTTCATTAGAGACTCCCTAGCTATATGAAGAAAAGTAACAATTTGTATTCTCTGTAAATATTATTATAATCCGGAGATGCGGAATAGATAAATTACTAGTATTTCCTCAATTGTAACATCAATCAAAGTAGACACAGTATTATTTTGTAATGTTAATAAAACGACTGTGCGTGGAATGAAGTAGTGGCTCATATTCCTACAGCGGACCTAGCCATTCTCAAAATTTCGACTTTGTTTTCAGCTTTGGCTTCACCTCACGCCTTCACAATAACAGAAACATTTACTCTCCAAATACCGTATGGAAATATCCTACTTATATAAACATACATTTTCCTAGGAGGATTGTAAAACTACAATGAGACGAAGTACCAAAGTCTCGGGGACTGAAATCTCTGGAGCCGAATCGGTTACGTGGCCAAGGTTTGAAAACCCTCAGATCGCAGACTGTTCCATGCTATATGGTTAAGGCAATTACTTAAAGGGAGAATTGCAATCACATAAAAAAATAACTTCTAAAGTATGCAAATTCTGCTTAATAGGGTGAATTTATGCAATTGCTGCTGATTTATTGCAACTTCGTCCCCGCTAACAGTTAATAACATTGCTATAAGGGAAAAAACCTCAACACTCGAGGTAGCTCAGCTAGCATCTCGAGATTGTACCTGCATCCAGGCACTAGCTCGTATTTTGGGGGTTCATAAAAACAGACACGACCTAATCTTTTGGTACGCGGTGGCGCGAACGTGGTAAGACTCCCTAAGTGCAATCAATTTGTCATTTAACTCCCCAGCTTACTAATAGTTTGCGAGCATTTGAATAACCAAAATTGTGTTTGTGTCATTAACTATTTGGTGTTTCTTGAATTAAAGAGACAGAAATTACGAATATTTATTTTATTTTCACAACATATGCAGGAGAAGGAAGTTATAGGGCCGAATATGATTTCAGGTATCCCCAATTTATCTGAAATGTACGAACGTGCCCGACGAATGATGCATTGTGGGATATTACACCCGGTACATTGCCAACTAGGGATAATTTTCCCTCACCTTAGCGTGGCAATTTGTGTGTGAAATTCCCGCGAAAATCACCTCAAAGACCACATTTTATTGAAACACCGAAACCATTTACTGTAGTTTTGACTACCTGGAATCATCTCTTGTTGAAACTTTTCAAAGAAATCAGGAAAAACCATGGGATCTCCACGTTCACCGTTCGACCCAGTCGCAAACGGGTTGGACAAAGATTTCCAATTAACCAGATATTCGGACCTGAAAGATTTTGGGGCGAAAGTCCCCCAAGATGAGCTGCTACAACTCCTTCAAACAGTCAAGGATCCCGAGGAAGAAAAGACGGCCGAAGAGATTATGCTTCAACAGCCAAATTACGGTGAGTAGTGAGCCAAATTACAGTGAATAGTGCGACGAGGAGATCGTTAAAATTTTGTCTTTTGGGGGTTTGAGAAACCTCGAAAGTTTTCTGCACGGCCATATTGTCACGATTGTGCGTAGCTGAGGAGTCACGTTCTACCACGGAAGGCGCGTGTCGTGAAACACAGGCAAGTAGCGCACGCGCGCGCTTTGATAACCTGTTGCGAATTTCACGATTGGCGGCACTTTTCTAATCTAATGAAGTAATTGTTTTATTGTTTGAATAATTGTTTTAAGTTATAACATAAAGTCCAGTCAAAGGTTATAATCGTACTTATCATTAAGTTACAAAAAGAATTTCAAGATATTTAGAAAGTTGACATTTTTTTAGTTTTAACTTTTTAAAATCATTGACATTGTTTGTTTAGGCCTCAGAATCTCAGAATCTCAGAAAGATGACTGGATATCGCCGCTAGGCATCATCATCCAGTTTGACTTCACGCCGGTGCCGTGCAAGCGTGAAATTAAGGTTGTGATGAAAGATGTTTTCCTAGGGCTGTCTTAAATTGGGATCGATGCCTAGGCCAGGGGTCTAATTAAAACACCTGACCGAGCCTGAAAAGTTAAACATTTTACATAATTAAAAGTTTGGGAATTTTTTGGTGAATTTTTGTATGTATTTTTATTTTTTGTTATTAAATGTTAAAGAATGTTGTATCCAGACGCCACTTCTTTGGTCGTGTACAAAGTCTATCTTGATTCGAGTGCATTTTCAAAGTCTTTTCTAAAATTAAAAAGTGGAAATGATTCTCAATCCCAGATTCAATTCATATCTTTTCAACATTATTGCAATTTCGGACCTGCATTGAGATAATATAGCATTGTATGATGAAAAAAGTGGCGTCAGGAAACAGGATGCAATGTTGTTGTTTTTTTTTGAATTTTTTTTTAGGTGTTCATTGATTTTAATTTGTTTTTATTCATCCATGATGTACTACAGGTATTGGCAGTGACTGCAGTGTTGTCCCATTGCAACATGGAGGACTTTTCCTGGTTGAGACGACTGACTTCTCCTACCCAGTTGTGGATGACCCATATATTATGGTGAGAGATTCCCCAAAGGAACCACGTGTTCATTTTCCCTAATTGTAATATTTTACGACCTCAACTTACATTTCCGACCCTTCCCCTGACTCCCCCCCCCCCTCCCTCCCCCCCCCCCAAATATAAAAATATAAAAAAAAAATTGAGGGGCTAAAACTATGAAATGAGACTTTGAAATATGATACTTCAATATTAACAAATTCGAAGTGGCTATCGTTATGGCAGCCGTTGTTTAGCGCCCTCTACGATATACTTTTTTGATACGCACGCAGGTATATCATTATTGTTTCCCCACATTTTAGCGAGCAGTGCGTCAGCCCAGTCGATAGATGGTAGGATTTTGCACCGCGAGGTTGCGGGTTCACATCTCAGTCATGTCAGTTTTGCACTCGAATTTTTTTCCTTTTCTAACCTGAGGCTTTGGAGGATTTTTTTTTTAAAGGGAAATAAAGTCTGAATTTCATAACGTTCAAATTCACTTTTTTTCTTCTAATCTTATATTTTCTTCTCATGTTTTCATAAAAGTTGCAGTCTACCGTAACGATAGAAAATGGGAAATGCATTACGGCTGCCGTAACGATAGCCACTGCGTAACAAATTATATCATTATTTAACTAAAATAAGTTGATCAATCAAACAGTGTTATTAGTGGTACCTAGTGCAAAGATCTTACCCCTTTTGTTGGTCCGGAAAGTATGAATATTTGGGTTGTGAGAAAGCTGGGATGCAATTTCAAATTTGTTTTGCCTGACAGTATGTCCATATGTTGGTTGTTCAGGTTTTTTAAGGAAAGAAAGAAAACCCAAAAGAATGTTAAAAATTAAAGAAAACAACTTTCTTTCTTTTTTCTTTTAGGGCCAAATTGCATGTGCCGATGTGCTGAGTGACCTTTACGCAATGGGGATCATGGAGTGTGATAACATGCTGATGCTGCTGGCTGTGCCTCAGACATTCAGCGACAAAGAGCGAGAGGTCGTCATACCACTCATGATGCAGGGCTTCAAGGTATTATCTCTGAACAGTTCTGCTAATGAATGCCTTGTCTTGGGCCAAGCCTGAATTTAGACTCTATTCCCCTCGTGCAGCTAATCCCAACACAGTGTGGTTAAGCTGCCTTGGAGATAGAGGACACTATCATCAAGATGAATCGAATCCAAGCTTGGAAACTTTGTCGCGCCGACTCGAAGAAATTCTTCGCATACCTTGTGTACAGGGTATAATGGTCAGAGTTGTAACGAGTCACTTATCTTTGTGATTTGAGGGGAGTCGAGTCGTTTTAAAGAAGTGACTCGAGTCGTGTCAAGCTATTTTAAAGAAGTGACTCTCAAGTGACTTGAGTCGCGTCGAGTCATTTTAAAGAAGTGACTAGAGTCGAGTTGAGTCATTAGGTCAAGAAGGTCGAGTCCAGTACTGTCCAGTCAATATTTAGCTCCAGTCAATTTGAGTCACGAATATTTGAACACTATATACCAACATTTATAAAAGGAGGGCTTATAAAAGGGGGGCTTTATAAGAAATTGCCCAAAGCCAATGAAGAAACAACAAATTGGAAAAGGTGTTTAAAATCCGGTTCCTGGATAGTATTTTGTGCGTTCTAGAACCATGAGGTCAGAGTCTGTTTGTTCATGACAAGCAGCTGTTGTACTGTACTGTATTTGCAACATTATGAGCACATAAATTTTGCACCGTAAGTCATTGCAATTACTTTTCCCAAAGTTTTACTTTTATTTTTGGGACTCGAGTCTTATTAGCCTTCGCTCGAGTCGAGTCGAGTCTTCTGATGAGGGACTCGAGTCAAGTTGAGTCATTTGTTCGCAGTGACTCGAGTCGAGTCATTTGTTCGCAGTGACTCAAGTCGAGTCAAATCATTTGCCCTTAGGGACTCGAGTCGAGTCGAGTTACCAAAAATTGAGACTCGAGTCGGACTCGAGTCGAGTCATTGACTCGAGTCATTACAACTTTGGTAATGGTGTGCATTTCCGGGTAGTACTGGCACCAGGTACCCTTTTGAAGTAAAACACGGGTACCCATAAAAGAAACCCAACCCCAAAATTCAAATCCTGTTTTTACGGGGAAAACTGCGCGTTAAAATGCACATAAACGTGAAACCCCACAAATGGCATTCAAAACCTTTTTCATTGGTTGAAAAGTTACTCAAGTAAATTTGTAAAGTTTGATATGGGTACCTGATTCCATAATCTGGAAACGTTTCCTGACAACACACACCTAGTAGGGTATACATGCAAGGTATGCTTGGAATTTCTTTAGTTGGAGTGACACCATCCCTGAGACTGGACTTGATGCATCTTGTGATAGTGCCTGCTGTTGCCTTGGCCATTTGGCCACACATGCAAGGAATCTGGATCCGTTGCAATAGGAGAACTGAACAAAAACCAAATGCAATCTTGGACTTAGGTTATGCCTAATCCTAACTTTACAAGGGCACTTCAAAGTCCAGCAGGATGTTTTGGAAGACTCTGCCGGATTTCAAAAAGTACAAAACAAACCTGGCCACTATTGCTCTAATTGTACTTGATGCCCTTGTAAAGTTTTCAGGTACTAATATTGTGCCATCGGTTTCCTGTGTAAAGTTGAGGTTTTATTAAAGAGAATCCGGGAAATTCAATGGCATACACGCCTGGGGAATCATTGTTGATGGATGTCCATAGTGCTCTAACATTGGAATCCGACTCTTACCACATTTTTTTGGTTTAGTTTGTTGATGCAGTTTACTTTAAAAAAAAAAATATGCAAAATTTATTATTGTCCTTGAAAACTTGTCAGGATATTGCGACTGTGGCTGGTAGCAAGATCCGAGGAGGACAAACTGTGCTCAATCCATGGTGCACTATCGGTGGGATAGCCACTAGTGTGTGTACACTAGACAAGATTGTATGGTGAGTTGCCGATTTGACTATAATTGACCCTATAGTCTCTATATATGGTAAATATAGCACATCATTCATTCATTAGGGGGATCTTTTCTGGATTCACTTACAACACAATTACTTGGTAATGTTCATTCAGTTGTGAAATTATTCAGTTGGAAATAATAATAAAAAATAACAATAATAATAATAATAATTGCCTCAGGGAGCCATTCCCATAGGGTTGTGAACAAAATTTTTCAACCTGTAATGACCCCTAAACCCCTTTTTTCCTAATCTTACTCCCACAAATTTTGGTCTATTTATATTTTGGACCACGAGCAATCGATCTAGCCTATTAGTGACGGTAAAATTTTGCCTCTAAATAGGAGTTGTGACATGAGGGAGACACTGAAATGTCTCCTTAATGTCCGGTGTCTCCCTAAGGTATAACTTATGATGAAAAATGTCTCCTTAAGGGTACATTAACAGGAATAATGATAATACAGTGTACATGTTATCTTCAAGCAAACTTGTATCCTCGATCCTGATTAGTCGATCCATGGCAACAACAGTGTCATATGAGGCTGTATTGCACGATCGATTTTGCACCCTGCGTATTGCGCTATTCCAAGATGCGAGCGACATTCCAGCTGCATGCGCTAAACTGCTGAACGGTTCGTGTAAAGTGTGCTAGTTCCAACTGTACTGCGCGTCAAGTTTGTTATCACGCGCGCTCGTGGAACACAGAAAATGTAGTGCCTCTGTGTCCCACATACGAATAGGCATTCGGCACCGTGGTATGTGGGACACAGACACACTACATTATTCCGTGTTCCACTCGCCCTCGCAGGATAACTAATAATATGCATTTATTAAGGTCTTTTTAAAACGATCAAAGCGTGTTATACAACATTAAAAAGTCCTATGCAAAAATTAACACATTGAAATATCCCACATACGTCTTCAAAGACTTGAAAAGATAAAGGCAGTTTAAGAAATTTATTAAAAGAATAAAAACCAAAATTCATTAAACCAAACCAGTTTGTTAAATGCTATGGGTTGAATTCTCAGAGTCTGAAGCTACTTATTTCCATGGCAGTATTAACCTTGAAGACAATGCATCACCTCCTGAGTACTCAATTAACATATTCAAGCGTTCTAAAAATGACCCCAAATTGTATTCTCAATTAAACTGGGATTTTCTTTCCAGCCCCGACAACGCCGTTCCCGGTGACGTCCTAGTTTTGACCAAACCGCTCGGTACCATGATCGCATTGACAGCCAGAAAGTGGCTGACTGTTCCAGACAAGAAGAAGAAGTTGAACGCTCTCCTTACAGCTGAGGAATTAGAGCGAGGATACCAAGAGGCCGTCTTCAACATGTGTAAACTCAACAGTGACGGTAAGTATGTCAAGAGGTCTGAAGATAAAAAGCAACATTTTTATTTTTTTTGTCCCCCACCACCCTCTTCTTTTCTACAGCTTTGCAATTGTACTATCATGGGTTCAGGACTTTTCCGATCATAGGATACAAGTCTGTCCTACCCTTCAAAAACTTTTCTAACGTAGGCCCAACGAGACAATTTTTTACCCAGCAGTGTGTTTTGTCTCACTTGGGGCTAAGGGATCACGACTTCCCATGCCTGAAGACTTGTCCTTTACTGTTGCCAGAAATTATCTTACAATAAGTCTGGACACATTGTATCCTCCTCGGTTAAGGATTTGTCCTACCTGGAGGATGAGGCTTTTCTTACGGTAGGCCTAAGACTTGTCCCTCCATGGGTACCAGACTTCTCCCACCCTCAGTCTAGCACTTGTCCAACTTCTTGAATTCAGGAGCTAGCCCCTGTTTGTTCCAACCAGAACCTAGGTCTTCTCCCATCCTTGTTCCAGGATCTTTTCCATTCTAGGTCCAGAACTTGTCCAACTTTTAAGGACTTGTCCGACCTGGAACCGGTGACATCTCCCATCCATGGTCCAGGACTACAGGGCAGGCAGTGTTCTCTGCTCAGATGCTTACTCTCTGTTTTTCTTCCGACATTACCATTTAGCTGCCAGTATGATGGCCACCTACAATGCTCACGGTGCCACCGATGTCTCGGGCTTTGGCATCCTGGGTCACGCCGAGGCGTTAGTCAGGTCTCAGAAGGAGGAGGTTAGCTTTGCCATTCACAACCTACCCATCATTGCCAAGATGCAGCATGTCGCTAAAGGATTCATCGACTTCAAACTCTTTCAAGGACGCTCCCCGGAAGTATCAGGTAGCTTCATCCCTCACTCATCCATTTTTTTAGTTAAAAAGATATATTAAATGACAAGGTGAGCATGGTAAAGCTGGTCCCAGAGAGCAAAGTACTCTATTTCAATGGTTCAGTGGAAGTCTTTTCATACAGACTTCAGTAGCCCATTCATTGGCGATAACAGGGTAATCCTATACAATAGCACTGCCTGGCTCACAGGTGGCATTGAGTCAGTAAGTCAGTCAGTAAAATTGCTTCAATCACAAGTATGCAAAGTTTACATCTCTTGATATACTTTTTCAGGAAATTAAATCCTTTTTGGGTTGCTATTCCTTTTCATTTTAGTTTGACCATTTCATTTTACCAGTCTGATATATTTTAGGTCAATTTATTTTTGTGTATACATAATTGTAATTCAGAAGTCAGTCATATGCAGCATATGTCCAAGTTTTGAGTTTGTGTCTATTTATCAAACAAGGAAGCAATTGTAAACACACCCCCTTTTAATTATAAGACGATTTTGGATAATTTTTTCTTGAACACAGGGGGTCTTTTGATCGCATTCCCAAGAGAACAAGCTGCCAGCTACTGCAAGGAGATCGACAAAATGGGCTCCAGTGCCTGGATTATCGGAATCGTGGAAAAGGGCAACCGAACGGCCAAGGTCATCGACAAACCAAGGGTCATTGAGGTCACAACGAAAATCATGTAGCTCCCCACCGGCATTCCTCTGGCATCGAGCAGATCAAGCCTCAAGATTGCTGTCTATGTACATAGTTGAGATCGACATAGGTCGATTCATTAAGCCCAGCCGAAGATACCTTGACCATTCACAGCCGCGATTAATGTCTGACACACGAGGACTAAAAGTGTAGCATTTGCACAGGTACACATGACATGTGTGGCTGGAACTTGCAGTTTGGCATTGAAGGGGCACACCTGTTGTTGCAAACGTGCGCAGTTGGTAAGGCTTAATGGGTCGGACTAGTGATAGGACAAGATTGTTTATCAAAAGATCATACCGTGTACAGTGGCAATAATGGTCAAGTGACCAAAATTCCAGGGGCCATTTTGTTGGTCTGCCAAGCTGAAAATTTGGTTCAACAAAGTTTTGGACTCTGTGCAGAAACAGTAGAGGGCGCTTTGTGACCACTTTTGAAAGCCCATGTGGGGTGGGCGGGGGGGGGGGGCACATCACGTGCACATGGTACGAAGTATGCATGACTACAATACAGTAAAACGCTGCTTTAATGAGCATCACTATAACAAACATTTTGCTATAATAAACATTCCCTTTGGCTCCCGAAATATTAAAGTCTAATATAATGCACAGTCACTGTAACAGACACTTTTAATGGAGCCCATCATGTTCGTTACAGTGGCGTTCTACTGTACTACCCTCTCAATTTTTTTAAGCTATTCCGTATGTAGAAAAGAAACAACTTGTTTTGTGTTCATCTGCTTGTCCATAGCAATCAGACGAGGACAAGATTTTTAAATGAATAGCAACTCTTCAGAGCAAATCGGGAAACGTTTAAATTGATGTGGCGGAAAATGCTGACAGTCTTATGCAAATTGTAAATTTTAATCATTTCGTATCGAATCTTTAGCTTTGTTTCTTCACTTTCTTTGGGGTCTTTTTGGGTGTTTTTTCTTTATAAGGAGGGGGGGGGATGGATAAAAGTTTTTCTTAAATCAAGTTACCACAAGTTATCTATAGACAAATCCGTGCTCATAATCACTGTACACTCATGAGGCTCCCTTCAATAGAGAAACTATTGTGCACACTATTGTACAAAGCAACTGCCTCGTGACATTATCTGAACAATAGTTAGTACAATGCTTTCGCCATTGAAGGGGGCCTTCGTGATAGAATTGATAGCGTGCCCGGATTGGTTTATATGTCCCAGTCTTGTCTCGAGTCATGTGACAAGCTAAATATAGATTAAGGCCACACAAAAAAAAGGTTCCGGTTTCTGGTCTGCGCGCGCGTCGCCGTAGCCATGTGCGTCGGCAAAATTTTTTTTTTTTAATTCAGTGTAAGATGATGTCTCAAAACCGCCAAACTCACTGGTTTGACTGGAATCCTGCTGCTGCACAATCTTAACGCGTTTTTAGATGGGGTTATGATCGAGTATAAGCTTTATGTGGCCTCTCTGGGCTCCCATACATTTTGCACTAAATTAAGTCGGGCACCATTGCAGTCATCAGCTGACATTTGAAGAAAAAACAAGGCTGTGTCGCCGCACCACTTTGGGGGCAAGCTCCATACCAGAAACCAGAGACTTTTTTTTTTGGCCTAAGCTAGTATTAAACTGTTTTGTGTACAGCTGAATGATTTTGATGCCAAGTACATGTATTATACATGTGATGTCTGAACCCCTTTGTATTATATTCTTCTCATATGCAAATTAGCTTATGTATTCATGCACCATTACCCAGGTTGTTTCTGCCAATCGGATAGATGTCGTGCGATGTATCATTGGAAAGCTCATATCTAATGTAATGCTATAAAATTATCAATTCAATTTGAAAATCTATTTTTCAAGGTGCAACACCCAAAAAGCATATACATGTATACACCAACTTTAAAACCAAATGTCCATGTTTCCTTACGAAAGTTTTTAACTAAATCCCTCATTGAAATAAAAACAAAAGTATCCAGTATACCTGTGATTTCTGTTCTTTAGCTTCTTCTTTTTTCATAACACAACTTTTGTCATAGCCACTCAAGCTTGAAAAAAATTGCTTGTTTATTGCATGCTTAAAATGTAGATTTTTTTTTTCTTGTAAAGCTCATTTTCCTATTACGTTCATGATTACATTTCATGTAAACATAACCATGTCAAATATGTCTACAGATTTTGACAAACTATCCATCATTTTTATATCATGTACAAAATAATGTGTCCATTAATTTTTTGGCTTGTTTTATAGCTGGTTCAAATAGGCATGCTGCAGTTAACTAGTTGATTGGGCATTGGTGGATTTTCCATCAATTCTTCATTTGCTTTTGTTTCAAACCATTTGTGTAATATCCTCAGCTGTTTTAATGTTACTATAGTTGAAATAAAATTCCCTGCGCTTTCTCATTATTGTTGTTTGGGCATTATCTTTTGAATTTTTTTTTTCTCAAAAATATAAGTGAGATATTTCAATCAGCACCATAAACCTAACACCCTAATAATTATGTTACATTGAAATGTCAAAACCCTTTATTAGCAAGTGACCCCACGATCATTAAGTCCCTCCGCCCCCGCCCCCGCCCCGACCCACCCCACCCCACCCCACCCCACCCCATCCCTACCCCATCCAACACGGCCCTTTAGCAGAACAATAAATTGATCCCAGTACCTCTTGGGAATAATTGGGTGGTTTTATTTAGTTTGACAAAACAATCGATAGGAAAAGCAAATTCGCCCAATCTTTTATGGACACGGAGGAAAATGCGAACTAAACAAACAACACGTGTACATAAGTTTACTACCAGCGTCACATGTAATGTGCTCGCAGTTTAAAGGGAAAATACAACATTTGCAAACATCAAAAAATAAAACTACCAAATCATTTTGAAATACCTTGCTGGACTGTTAGTGAATGACAGTGTAAAGCATCCTGTAAAATCTTGGCACCTGGTATACTGTCATTTTCAACAAAAGTGGTATTTTTGTATCAATTTCCAACGCTGATCGGCCGATCAGCGTTGGAAACAACTGGCTTTTTTTTCAAATACTGGCCCCAATTGACCATCGCACTTGTTTGCAATCGATTACAAACCTATGAACGGGTACAAACCAGCTAGACTGGTTCCCTGACCTTACAATTCCCCAATGTATGTAAACTGCTCTGTTTCTTCTTTTATGGAGTCAGGGAACCAGACTACAGGAAAATGATTGTTTTTCTTGGTTTTTATAGCATTTTCGAACCCAAAACCTAAAAAAAGTCAGTGTAACTATATTTGCTATATATTTCTAACCCACCAATTCCATCCATTTCTGAAAATTACAGCAAAAGCAAATGATGTATATTCCCTTTAATATGTACTGAGACAACTCCCTAGCTAGGAAAAATTAGTAAATGAACTACTCGTAGTAATAAGCATTTGTACCTTGTCGCATTATTCCAATTCGTAGAAACAACGAGTTACACAATATCTTCCTAGTGTGTATCAAACAAAGTGAAGATTAAATATATTTGTGGAAAATAAGTTAGATTTAATAGTGGTTATTGCTCGAAAATGATAAATGAGCTGTTTGAAGGTGTTAAATAATTCAACATCCTGAAATAGCCTGGTGAACAATGCATTGTGGGAAAGCTTTGCAGACTACGCGACGGCTGCTAGAGGAGGAGTTGCAGACGTATCTAGCATGCATCAGAGTTCTTCGTTTTCTTGCTTGTATTTGTAAGAAGTTGTAGTTTATGCAATTTCTCAAGCAGCTTTGGAACGTCCGGGCATTTAGGGCTGGTGTACCGGCCATCATGGCCAATTTACGGCTGCCTTTCGACCCAGTCGAGCACGGACTTGACAAAGATTTCCGCCTGACGAAATTTACCCAGCTGAAAGGATGAGGTTGCAAAGTGCCCCAGAAGGAGCTGCTCAAACTTCTGGAGGTACTGAGGGGGCACGAAGTGGGTGGGGACTCGACGGCAGTGGGAGTGGAGGAGGTTGGGACCGGGACAGGCGATGGGACTCTTGCCCAGCTGCCGCATTTTGGTAAGCTGCTGGAAGTGGAAAGAATGTTTGGAACCGGCAGTGACCGGGAAGGGAAAGAATGTAGGCATATCATCTGGAATCCACTTGTTCAGTTGTTTGGGGAATTGTGTACAAAGTCTATGGAGAGTCGAGTGCATTTTCAAAGACTAAGTAGGCCCTAGGCCTATTTTCTAACAAAATTGCAAAACGTTTCTCAGTCCCAGATTCAGACAATCGCCCAGATTCATGTCTTTTCAACATTTTTGCAATGACTGACCTTCATTAAAATGACTAGCCCAAGGCCTAGGCTATATCATTTTATATGATGAAAAAAAGTGGCGTCGGGATGCAACATTCTTTCCCTGGGAAGTGGCTGTATAATTTTGTCTGTGGATGAAAATAGCCCTATATTTATTATTAGAAAATAGAAGGGATTTCTTGTAATTTGTAATTTTTGATTTGGGGATTTTTGGATCTTCAGATTTTTTTTGTTGTATTGTAGGCCTAGTTAGCCTACTTTAGGACCCCTGTAGTCTATAATCATTGATAATCTATTATTATTTTTTTACTTCCTTTTTATAGCTCCATGCTTAAAGTTAAACAGTTGGTCATGTTGATAAAGGTCACATTTATTTCGTTCTTTCTGATGGCTCTGAAGGATTTTTTATAGAATTGGAGGACAAGTCCGAGAACCACTCGGTTGACAAGTGTCGACTGTGGCGTGCGTAACGGTCAACTCAGTGAAATATCAATGTGAAAAAAATAGAGGGATCCTAAAGCTAGTAAAAGTAATGCTGGAGTTTTGGATATGTAATACTATTATTAGGGTTTTTATCTTTGGATTTGTTTGGATCAAGACGTTGGATTTTTGATATTATTATATTTTTGACAAAGGTACTGTATGTTTGTCAGAAAATCATTTCATTTTGTTCCGAAAATGGTTTTCTTTTTTCTTTTTATTTGAAAAATATCATTGTCTTTTTTTTATCCCCAGGAATTGGAAATGACTGCTGCATCATACCACTCCAGTATGGAGGGCTTTATCTTGTTGAGAGCACTGATTTCTTTTACCCACTTGTTGATGACCCATATGTTATGGTAAGATGTGAAGAAGAAAAAACAAAGGAAACACGTGAAGCAGGATCATTGCTCACTTTAACCCGATCCCTAGGCATTTTTGCTAGGATGCAACCTCAATCCTGCAAAATCCTCCGACTGCCTCCATGTAAAAATAGCATGAAGCCTCAATCCTCCAAAATCCTCCATTATTTTTTGAATGTGGTCCTTGGAGGGGTGACCACTGCCTCCATTCTGCAAAATCCTCCAGCAATCACTGTCAATATGTTGAAGCAGAGCCAGTGACATCCTGGAGCAGTGCGGATGATTTCAAGGATAATTATGAAGGCCGAAATTTATGCACGGCTGAGCATAAACAACACAAGGTCTGGCCTAAGACCTTGACACAGTGCATCCTCCGAAATCAGCCACACACTTTTGCCAGATAGCCTCAATCCTGCAAAATCCTCCATTTTGAGGATTTAGGAGGATTTGGGAAGGTTAGGTTTATTAGCCACTTATCTTCAGGGGATGTGGCATCTGAGCATGCTATCACATCACTGTACATTCATAGAGGTCCCCTTCAATGGCGAAAGCATTTTGCCAGCTATTGTACAAAGCAACTGCCTTGAACGAAGCGAAAACATTGCTTTCGCCATTGAAGAAGGCCTAGCGTGAGTGATAGAATGCTCCGATTGGTCTGTAACATTAGTCCCTTGTGTTCATGGCTTTGTGAAGACCAAGGCCCATTTGAGAGAGAGAGAAATTTTTGTAAGAAAAATTCGACTTAATTTCCTATCTGCTACAATAGCATGAAGTAGTTTTAACTGGTCAAATTACTTTCCGTAGCAATATTTCTTATGTACGAGTACATTGTTATTCCCTGTGCATGTTAAACTTGTTATTCCCTGTGCATCTTAAACGTAAAGCAGTCAGTACATTTGGTTAGTAATTATCATACGAAGGGATTTTAATGCGGTATTCCATATTCTTCACTTCCCCTGTTACTTTGTAACTGGACTCGTGAAAGGACTCACATTTTACTTTTGACTAGACTTGTGATTGGCTACAAAACTGACTTGAAACAGTTATTAGGGACATTTGTTTATTAACCTCATGTAAAGTAACACAACATTTACAAATTCTCCCAAGTCTGGTTGATTTTAAAGGACCAAGAAAGATCAGACCTATTTTTTTTCACTAAATAAAATCAGGGCCAGATAGCTTGCGCCAACGTGCTGAGTGACCTGTACGCAGCGGGCGTCGTCCACTGCGACAACATGCTGATGCTGCTGGGCGTGCCACAGAAGTTCAGTGATAAAGAACGGGAAACCGTCATCCCTCTTATGATGAAGGGCTTCAAAGTAGGTGAAATCAGTTTGGTGTCGGGGGGGGGGGGGGGGGGGGGGGGGGGGGGGGGGGGGGGGGAGGGGGCGGAGGAGAGGAAACAGGAAAGAATATTTGTATGAAGAGTAACCGAGATATGTAGAGCCGAGTTAAAGGGAATATACAACATTTGCAAACATCGAAAAATAAAACTACCAAGTTTTTACGAAATACCTTACTAGGATGTTGGTAAATGACAGTAAAAGCATCCTGTAAAATTATGGCACCTGGTGTGAAATCATTTTCAAGAAAATGGTATTTTTGTATACATTTCCAACGGTGGTCGGCCGACCACCGTTGGAAAATTCCAACTATTTTTCAACTGCTGCTCCAAATTTACCCTTTTTTTTTCAGTCCAAATCTTGTTTGCTATTGGTTACATGTTCATGAACGGGTGCAGGCCAGCTAGAGTGGTTCCCTTACCTTACAATTGTCCGGCATCTATAAATTGATCCATGTTATCTTTAGTGGAGTCAGGGAACCAGACTACTTGAACATTTTTGTTTTCTTGGTTTTTCCAACATTTTCGAACACGAAACTTCAAACATGTCAGTGTAACAATATTTGATCTGTTATACTAACCCCTCACATAGTTCATTTCTGAAAATTACAGCAAAAGCCAATGATGTACATTCCCTTAAAAATGCAGGAGGGGTTAGCTTGCTAAATGTGATTTTCACCACAAAGTCCAGAAAAACTATGATAATTTCATATATAATAACTATATAGTCTAGTTTATTTTTTTGCCAAATTAAGTTATAAATGCACTGTATATTTAGTTCCACAGCATGCATGTAAGAAAAAGTTCACAAGACATCTCGACAGACTTCTCAACCACTTGATCACCAAGTTTGCTGGGCTTGAATCTCATATAGCAGTAGATACTGCAATGCACACCTATGCACCTCAAACTTATTAAAGTCTAAATCAATAATCTTAATTCTCCATACATTCTTATTAGAACCATGTGCAGTCACCTGATGGAACAATTAACCTAGGCACTTAATTACAAATTTAGACATGCCGCCCCATTTTAGATGCTAGAGCCCTACAGTATTTGAATCAATCAAAATTAAGCAAAACCAAGTTTTTTTATTTGGGAAGGTTGGGTTGTTCAAGTCAGAAAACCACATTTTACTTTCCACTGGTAATAAGCACAAATCGATAAAACTCATACAGCTTGGTTCCGAAATCAGCATTGAAGTAAGTTTTGGGAGATGATAAGGTTTATGTAAAAAAACAAAGGTTGTTTAGATTTTGTTTCCTTGAGCTGTTTTTTTCAATTGCAAGTTATTTATCGAAATCTTAGGATAATGCCGACAAGGCGGGGACGAAGGTCAGAGGAGGTCAAACAGTCATCAACCCCTGGCTGACGATTGGTGGTGTTGGAACAAGTGTCTGCATGCCGAACCAAATAGTTTAGTAAGTTCGTTTTCTTCTTTTTCAGTTGATATATTTCCTTTTTTTGGCTGGCACAGAGGGCCAGCCTGTAGTCCTCTTTGTACCTCTCTGACTTGCTGTTGCTTGTCAGTCGGGCAGTGCTGTTGTATAGGATTACCCTTTTAATGCCAGATGCATGACCAGCCTTCCAGCGGACAGCCATTCCAGGACCAGCTCTACTAGGCTTGCTTATTCTTGTTACGGAGTATCAAGTCTTCACTGGTTTCATTCCTAATTATTATATGGCTGTGGGACAGTAGGCTTTTAAACATTTGAAAGTAGTGCTACAATTACTTTCTTGAAATAATGCAAAAAAAGTCTTGAAAAAGTATCAAAAATGCATGCATGAAGTCTTGAAATTGAAAGAAGAGTATCTAGATAAAACTGTGTGTAAAACTCTCATCTAGGGTCGAAGTCTAGGTCTTTAACCTATTATCCAAACCCAACCTGCAAGTCACTGGAATTATCTTAGTCCTGACATTTCAGCCCTTGCCGAACCCCTAGTTTCTCTCAGTGCCCAACAGAATGTTCAGCCCATCTGACATAACCCTAATGGTTTGTCTTTGTTCTCCCCCCCCCCTCCCCCAGCCCTGACAATGCCGTTGTTGGGGACGTCTTAGTCCTCACCAAACCCTTAGGCACCCAAGTGGCCGTCAACGCCTACCAGTGGATGTCCAACCCGGATGACTGGAAGAAGATTAGCGCCGTGGTGACCAAGGAAGAAGTGGAGACTGCCTATGAAGAGGCTAAATATCACATGGCAGATCTCAATGTAGAAGGTGAGACAGGCTGTATCTATGGCTATGGCTATGGCTATAGCTGTGGCTACATTTATGGCTGGCAGTTAAACATACAAGCCTATGGAGAGTGGATTCAGCTGCTCCTATAGGCACATGTGTAATTGCTAGCCATAGCCAAGTAATTAAAGGGAAAGTACAACATTTGCTTTTGCTGCACTTTTCAGAAATAAATCGATTTGGAGGATTAGTAAGTTAAAGCAAATATTGTTAAAATGACTTGTTTCACGTTTTGGGCTTGTAGATGCTGGAAAAACCAAAAAAAAACATTCATGTTCTTGTAGTCTGGTTCCCTGACCCCATTTAAGATGAAATGGAGAATTTATAGACTTTGGGGAATTGTAAGGTCAGAGAATCAGTCTAGCAGGCTTGTACCCCTTCACAGTTGTGTAATCAATTGCAAAGAAAACGCGGAATAACTAATTATGAAAAAGTAGGAGCAGTTTTTTCAAAAAAGCCAGTTTTCTCCAACGCTGGTCGGCCGACCAGCGTTGGAAAAATGTCAGCACACCAGGAGCCATGATTTTACAGGATGCTGTGGACTGTCATTCCCTAACAATCTAGTATGGTATTTTGTGATAATTTGATCATTTCGTTTTGTGATGTTTGCAAATGTTGTATCTTCCCTTCAAGACATTGCCGTCGGCAATAGAGAGTTACCTAAATGAAGACAATTCTCTTTCGTACTTGACAAGGTTCCCAGCCACTCTGGATATCAGAGAAAAACCTCGAAAATGAGTTTTCAATTTTCCAGCCAGGACAAAACTCAGGGAATTTGGGAAAAACACATAAAGTCAGGGACAACTCAGGAGATTTGGCATTGACCCAGAAGGGAAAGGTTTTCACCAGTTTAATGTGTGTGCGTCTTGTGCCATGTGTCCAAGTTGTGTCTACTGATTGGCTGGCTGTGCTGGCTGTTTAGTGTTTTATTAAGTGTGAATAATTTGAAAGTCTAAATTATTTCTCATCAAACTTTGGAAATTTCTCTGGGTAATATCCGGGGAAATTAATTTTGTTTTCATAAAGTGCTTGGAACCCTGGTTGAGCCTTGAAGTAGACAGGGGAAGGGTAGAATCCTACAATCTACACAGTGCTTTCACCCCTGGTCAAATATTTCACCATCGGTTCATTCTAGCAAGGAGTACATGTATGTACTCCGTAAATGAACAGTGGGTGTCAATTCATGGCCACTCATGCGCGGGACACGTGGCATGTGCGCACAAATACTTCGACCATAGTTATGGGGACCACACACCCATTGAAAGACGGCTATCATAGGGCCCAAAGACATTGTGGGGACAGTAAAACATGCCAAAAACTTGGTCCTAATTTCACTAACAATAGAAATCTTTTCCCCATCGCATTTATAAATAAATAAATAACTTTGGGGGGCTTATTGTCCGTAGTCGCAACAGATGCTGAATTGCGAAGGACGCAGCTACAACGTGGTCGAGCCCAAGGCATGTAAAGGCGCCTTAGGCAGCCGATATACGACCCATGTCTGACCATGGAGTACAGCCAGATCGAAAGTGTTAATTTTTTTGTAGAGGGTGGAAAACCAGAGAACGCAGAGAAAAACCCTCGTGGCACAGGAGAAATTAACGAACAACTCTACTCACATATGACCCGAGCAAGGAATCAAACCCGGGCCACAGCTGTGAGAGTCCAGTGCTTTACGCACTAACCATCCATGCCACCCATGCTAGAGCCCTGGTTTACCGTGTATGGCGCGAAGGTTGTTGTGGTTAATGTGAATTTGTATTTGTTCTCATCTTTGCTGGTTTTTTTTGCTAATTTTCCCATCTCATTCAGCTGCCAGGTTAATGAGCCACTACGGAGCCCACGGTGCAACCGACGTGACGGGCTTTGGCATCCTGGGACACGCGGAAAACCTTGCCCAGATCCAACGCAATGAAGTCAAGTTCGCCATCCACAACCTACCCATCATTTCCAAGATGCCTTCTGTGGCGAAAAGTGGCGGGGGCATGTTCAAGTTGCTCCAGGGATACTCTGCCGAAACATCAGGTATGTTGACAGTAGAGTGATCGAAAATTTTTATCCAGATTCGGCTCTTTGAAATTTGTATTACCCTGTCTTCAGGGACACAGGCTAGTTCCATTTGTTACTACAGGAACACCAAATACTGTGAAACGAGACTAAAGTTGAAAGTTTTTCCATTTGGTTTGGACACTAATAATTTCTAACCAAACCTGAGCTAGAGATGAAGCTGAGATTTTGTATAAATCGCTTTACAGAATTGTGCCATTTAAAGGTAGAGTATATCATTTGTCATTTGTGCATTTTTTTCATTTGAAGCAACAAAAGTGCTCACAATTTAAAGATGGTAGCTTATAACAACTAACCTGATGAAGTTTAAGCTCAGTGAATGCTGTAGATTCTGAGAAATCAGTATTCTAGGATCACCATTTCAATTCAAAATTGCAGAGTCGTGTTTTGAAATTGCCGAAATCAGCGTCCAGGACACGTTCTCATTCAGCTGATTGCAACTACGCGATGTCATGCACTGAACCGATGAATTATAGCAACCGCTCGCGAACCCATTCACAGCTTCGAAAATGAACTACTAACAGAATTTTCCAAAAATGCATCTTTAGATGCATCTTTGGAAATGACCTTCTGTTATTGTTTTCTTCAAAATGACAGCATGCCAGAAAGAATAATTTCACAGGGAGTTTAGAGCCATTACCATCTTTAAACGAAGTATGCCTTTCAACATTAATTTCGTCAGTTACTTTTTGGAGAGCTGCAAATGATCTACTCTGCTTTAAATTGTTGAAATGCAAACAAAAACTGTTCAGTGAGACTCATACAGTACCATCTCCTGAGCACAGGACGAATACACAGGGCACTGTTTTGATACGTCAATTCTTGCTCGTCAAGTCTAGGTAAACTATGGCACTGTTGGAAATACTTTAACTCTGTCATTCTTAAATTTATAAACCTTTACGTTGCTTTTTTTTGTTGGGGGGGGGTTTGCTGCAAGCGAAAATGTGTAGTATTTGGGAAGTAAACATTTTAGCAGGGCTGTTCAAAGTTTTATGAGGCAAAACCATTCTTTCCAAACTCAATGTATACTACATGTACATCGTTCTTTTTGCATTGATGGTGTTTTTTCTGCAACCTTCAATATGGGGTTTTGCTGTTCACTGACAAACTTCTTAAATCTGTATACTCGGCCGACCCTGGCAAGCTCGGTGGTTGAGTGGTAAGACATCTTTACTAGCAAGCAGGAGGTCATAGGTTCAAGTCCCACCCGAGTAGTTTGTGAACCATCTCTCACAATCACTCGGGACAAGACTGAGTACACAGTGTTTATAAAATACATCAGTGAGGGGCAAAACCCAATATTTAATTACATTGACCCGATGCAAATTCCATCTTATGAATAGCTCTGCAAAAATTTCATCAATTTTTATCACCACAGGCGGGCTTCTGATAGCTTTTCCCAGGGAGCAAGCTGCAGATTTCTGCAAGGAGATGGAGAAGCTAGGGAAGACGGCTTGGATCATTGGCATCGTGGAGAAGGGAGACCGTACGGCCCAAATCATTGACAAGCCGCGCATCATTGAGGCTCCTAACAGAACCACATAGTGCCCTCAAACCCCTCGTATTGGTCACAGGCAGGATTTTTATTCCCCTATTTTGCAGCCAGTCCCGCAGCAGATGCCGTTAAGTTGCCGTTGCGGTGGAGGTCTCTATCAACCAGATGAATGAAATCTAGTCTTGGCAATATTGGCAGCGCTACCCAGGAAATTCTGAGCGTACCTCATGCGCATGCATTAGCTTGAATATAGCGCTCGCAAGGTATGCTCAGAATTTTCCTGGGTAGCGTTGCCAATGTTGCCAAGACTCGATTTGATTCATCTCATTGACAGAGACCTTGTCCGTCACGGACCGGCTGTTTAAGGGGAATAATCCAAATCTGGTCTTGGACCAACCCTACCCTACTCCCCCTCCACCCACTGTGCCCCACTTCTCCCTACCCTACCCTCCACTCCCCCCACCCCCCCCCCCCCCCACCCCAGTGGTCCTTCGACCAATAGGGTTTTCAAATTACATGTGTGCCTCAAATTAAAAACACATGGTACATGCATGTGCATCTAGTGCTACCTCAGTTCTAGCGATCGCCAGATTAGTCTATAATGGTGCATCTGTCTTTTTAGAGAAAGACTTTTTTTTTACCCACACTGAGGAAGTCCTTTCTGACGACGAAAAAGTTATCAGATTTTTAAATCACGAATGGAAAAAGTTGTGAAAATACCCTCATTGGAATGTGAAACCTCAAATGGAGGGAGAATCATACAAGACAGTTTTTAAGCTAATGTTTCTGATAATACTTATCTTGATGATATGACAACAGAAATCAGAATTATTTTAAAGCTTTTGATTCGCTTATACACATTCTTGTGCAGCTCGTTCAAACTCCATTTCCTTCAACTCAAGATTAATTTTTTAGGAGTTCCATTCTCAGAAAGTAGGTGCAATAAGCTTTAAATTAAAAAAAAAAATCTACACTACCCACCATTATTTTTGCAGTTATACATTGATTAGTTTTTGAACTAAATAACTTATCAAGTGATTGTTGTAGAAAGAAGTTTACTTGGCTTTGGCTATAATTCTGAGAATTAGCACAAACAAGTTAAGATGAAATCAGTATGCAGTATTTAAATTTTTATGAGAATTTTTATAGTAATAATGACATTTATATAAAGGCCAGAAAAGTGCAAGCAAACTGGTGAACCAAAACTTGCTTGCAAAATAATGTTTGCGCCTACTGGATAATAGTACATGAAAACAAATTGTTTGCATGATATTATCTATATTACGACTCTGTTGTAAAAATGGTTATTGTGATCTTTTAATATCAGCGGAACAATGTACGTGTACAGAAAAAATTGCCTGACCATGTATAAATTGCACAACATAGGAAATATCTCCGAAATTTCAGAAATTTACTGTTCGTAGTATTGTTCTAAACGTTAAAAATATCATTTAAAAGTAAGGAACAACTTAATTTCAATGCTGTCAGCTGAAATTATTGTTTTTAATCCTTAAACGAAAAGTATCTGGAAAAAAAAAATCATAAAATTCACTAAAGTTGATGTTGAAAAAAGACACTCTGATTTGAAAACAATTTGTCCCAGTCCAACTGGCCAGGGATAATTTCCTCACCCAGAAGGTTTGAGCAGCTTCTGGGGTAGGCGATTGCACCCATGGTACCCAGTTGGGTGGCAGATTGGATCCCAGTTTACCCCCTTTCCTCTGTGAGTGTTCTCCATGAAACCTAGTCGGGAACCCACGGCTGCATGCCCTGGTCTGGCTTGGTGGATAGACTGAAGTCGGAACACTCATAGATTTACGGTGCTGAAGTTACAATTGGATGATTTTGTTTTGTAATCAGAGTGTCGTTTCATCTGCATTTTGTTGATTATGATTTTGTCAGCAGAGGAAATAAATGATTGAGATATTTTGAGGACTGGATTGTCTTCCTTGTGCTGTAAATCTGTTTGTGCAGAGTCTGTAGACACTGAACCTAGTTTAGCCCAGATAATATTTGTGGTACCCGGTTTGAAAGTAGGTGTCAACCATAGAGAGGCTACGTGTGCACAGTCCATAGACCCTGAGCCTAGTTTACCCCCTGTTAGTAATAATGACCCAGTTTGATGTCTCAAAAATGAAAGCCAGTTTGTGCCTTGCTGTAGTTATCCACTTCCTAGATTCCCCTCCCCACGTGTTGTAAGTCAGCTATCTCAGAATGCATTAACCGGAGTGAGATCAATGGGGGAATGAAATGAAAAATCCACAAAATTATCGGCAATGGGTTTGAGGTTCTCTGTGTTATGTATTTGCCTAAATAGGCCATCAGTCTCGGTCCAAAATTTTGGCCACTGGTATCAAATGAAGGGAAAAACGTCATAGCGATTTTTTGGCAGAGTTGGAAAATATGTGATAGCATTGCAGCGGTGGCAGCTTTTTAGGTGCTATCACAACCTCGTCCCCAGTGCTTACGTTATTTCCAACCGCGTTTCCAATAGTAAACCCTGGATAGGAAACTTTCTTCCTGTATCCTGATTGGATACCGCAATTGGCTAGTAATGGATTTTTATCGTGTACTTGGTGCTATATATTCACAACGTGCAGTACGTGTTTTCGCGATCATTCGTCCACGCCTTCTCGAAAATACTAATTTCCTTTCCAATTTGCTCATATTAATATGAAATATGATACTGCATGTTGTCTCGATAAGATCGTAACAGTCTGATTTCAAAAATCGTGTTTTCGTAACTCACGCCGTGCTCGCGCTGCTACGAATTGACTCTGTTTTTACCCCAGACACCACATACAAAAAAAACACGCTAATGTGTAACGCATATCCAGGCACCAGACTGTTCCTCATTTGCATACGTGTGCAAAAATCTTGCACATGCAAATGATCCAATACCAGGGTGAGAGAGCAGGTTGTGGTGGGCGCGTACTGCTCGACACCCTGGGGACGAGGTTGGTGCTATCGCCCTTTTTTTCAAAATGGCCATCAAAATGCTTGTTACAACTCTAGGGGCAGTATACCTTGCGCATGCGCACTATAATCATTTATGTCCTGATTTGATACTGACCAAACCCCCAGGTTGATGGCCTAAAGGCACCCTTTAAAATACCCATTTCTTGAGATCCATCTATATAAACCGAGGTAAAACCTCAGGAATTCCCGATTTCCAAAGGCATTTTTTTAATCCTGAAATCTGGAGAAATCTTATCCTGGCAATATCACGCAATCTGTCATACGAACCACCTCAATTTAAGAATCAAACACTTTACTCTTAATAAGGAGACGTGTACATGTAGTTTTCCTTCTTTTTTTCTTTTGCTATAGCAATCATCACTTTTTATTTTTACCCTGAATAACAAAATGAAATTATAAAGTCAAATAAAATGAAAATGATGATGGTAAGCATTCATTTTATATTAAACCGACTCTTTTAAGGGTAACGGATTACTATTTACCAAAATTAAGATGTATGTTTATTTAAAAAATAATAATAATAATAATACACCAGGCATAGTCCCACTAACTGGGGCGGTAGAACTCTTTTTTTTTTACATTTGGGATGTTAGTCTGTCATATTAGTACGACAGACCAACATCCCAAATGTCAAAAAGGAGTTCTAGTGCCCCAGTTAGTGGGACTACACCAGGCAGAATATTCAGAACAGAATAAAGGCATGTTTAAAAAAAAAAGAACCATTGAAAATATTCTTACCGACACTACACTTTAATAAATTTTTTGCAATGGAGGACAAACTGACTTACGATGCTTTCCGATTGACCTATTGCCGTTTGCGAGTTAGCCACGCCCCTTAGACAACCCTATGGAATTTTGAATGTTAAGTTTTGTTTGTCTCAGATTTTGCGCGTTCTGCGTCCATTTGTATATCATGTAATTGGACAATAATTCACAAGCTGTGTTGACGCGATTCTACCGCGATAGGTTAATTAAATGGCATTTGAAAATAGGGTAGGTAGGTAGGGAATTTGTATCATGAATGTTATGTGTGTGCTACAAATTTTTTTCCAAAAAAAATGGTAAACTGACTAAGAAAGATAACATTTCTAATACCTTACAAGTCCAGTGACATGAAACATACCATATAAAACAATATACAGATATAAAAGAAGCACTCCTAAGATGGAATTTGTGTTGGGGTGATGTAAATTCAATATACATCAGTGAAGGGCAAACCCCAATGCTGATTTTACATCTTATGAATAGTTTGGTTGCAGTTCCCACTGCTATATATATCGGGTTTGAACCAGCCACCCGACCCTGGCAAGCTGGTGCTCGAGTGGTAAGACATCTGCACTAGTAAGCATTTGTTGTGGGTTCGAGTCCCACGCAAGTAGTTTGTGTTTTTTTTCTCACCATCACTCGGGACAACACTGGGTAGCGGTATTTATATAATATGTCAGCAAAGAGCAAGTCCCAATACTGGATAAAGAAGCATATTTTCTCATATTACTTTAACTTAATAACTCGTTCAAATGTGTACAACTTTTCATTCAAAAAGCTTATTTGTACACCAAAATTATTCTTTGTGAGCCTTGGTACAATAGCTAATTCTTGAATGTAATATAAGAAATACAGGAAAATACCAGCATGCATTTATCCACAAAAGTGACAAACATCTATTGACAAATAATGAAAGTATCATTTCCTTTGGCATGTTGCATCCAAGTTAAAAATCCAACAATTATGCAACATTGGAGGAACTGTGGTTGCAGTCCAGTCCAAGTACTTGTAGTACAAGTATCTAGCCATCAACTAAATCTGGGTCTGATTTGAGAGGGAAAGTGCCAGGAGGAATGCCCGACTCCACCCCTCCCAGCAATTGGGGGGGGGGGGGGTTTAAACAAGTAAGTTTACTCCAAATTTGAACTCTTGAAATTGCCCTGCTTGTTCCTAAACTTTGCTGGTCATCAAAAATAGCCATTGTTTCCAAATTTTGTTCTTACACCTTCAAATGTTTTACTCTAGAACTGTGTTCGAGCATAAACATAAGTATTTCGCCATGATTATGACTGAGTAAAGTCTTGATTTTTGTCATGAGAGTGGCCAACACTGAACATAAAACTTGCTCGGAATGACTACGTTTTAATACAATTTCCACATTTTTTTATATTTTTTTTTTAGATTTTAAGTTTTTAACAATTCTCCATTCCATTTTGCTCAAATGAAAGCAAAGAAAAATGCTAACACTTTTTTTTTTGCTCCAAAATGTAAAATACATCCAATAACAAATCCCTTTTTGGTCAGATATTCCATTTAACAAAACGTGCTGGTACACTTCTCCACAGTACGGTTCCTAACTCAGTCTGCTTACAATAACAGTCAATTATCTGAAGCACACTTAAACATGTAAGGAAAGCACTGAAAAGTGGTGCAACAACTGAAGCTGTGCGCCATCACTGCTAAACTATACTGCGAATTACATGTACTACAGCACCGATAGCCTACAACCATTAAATAGTTACTCTGTACACGACTTTGACTTTCTTTTTAAGCGTAAATATATCCTGGTTAATCATGCAAAATGAGAAATTTCTTAAGACTATTTCTGTACATATGTACAAGGTTGTTAACTTCTGGGACTGGGCTAAGAGGTGAAAAGATGGCAACTGAACTAAGGGAACACAGTTGAGTATGAAATTTAGAATTATAATGTGATAATAGCGTGGTGCTTAAATATAGCGCTTTATACCAAAGGTCTCAAAGCACTTTACAATTACTACTCCTGTTCACTAGACCATGCGACTAGTTTCTGCAGAAACTCAAGATCAGCGCATTCTGGTCTCTACCTTCACAGGTACCCATTTATACTCCTGGGTGGATAGAGGCAATTGTAGTAAAGTGTCTTGCCAAAGAACACAACCACCATGTTCCCTATAAAGGTTCGAACCCACGTACCACGGCACATGAGTCGAACACCGTAACCGTTGGACCACAGCGCTCCACGGAACTTCTTTGTTTGCCAAATTTCAGCCCTTACGCTCAACCCTGATGTTTTCAGCATCTTAATTTTCAATATGTGCTCCAGATTATACACAAATTAATTTTTTTTAAAGAGTATAACTTCCTTCAAGTTAATTAAATGAATTAAATGGAAGAAATGGGTTCAAATATATACATGAACAAAAAAAAAGTAACCTTTCATTTTGTGAAACGCTGAGCAAAAAAAAAAGAAAAAATTAATAGTGACCTGGTCAATATTAAAGGTAGAGTCCATCATTTGTAATTTGTGCATTTTGTTCGTTTGAAGCAACAAAAGAGTTCAAAATCTAATGAAGGATACTGAGCAACTAACCTGATGAAGTTTCAGCTAAGCTTCAGCTGTGCATTCCAAGAAAAACAGCATTCTAAGATCTCAATTTCAAATCAAAAATTGCTGAATCATGTTTTGAATTGTTTTGAATTGCAACTATACGCGACGTCGCGCACTGATCCGACGAATTATAACAACCGCGCACGCGTGTGCGTCGTTCGAATACTTGTGCGCGCTGCGCTGAATAACAAAACGAACTACTAATTTAAATGTTCCTACGGTGCTTCTTAAGAATCACCGTTGGAAATGCCTTCTTTCGTTGATTACTTCAAAATGACAGCTTCCCAGAAAGAATAATTTCACAGGGAGTTTAGTCTCCTTACTATCTTTCAACCAAGCTAGTTTTTCAACAATAATTACGCCAGTTACTTTTCGGATGGCTGCAAATGATGGACTCTACCTTTAAGTCATAACTATGTATTTCAAAATGTAATCTTTCTTTCATAAAATAATGAAGCATTAACTTCAAACAAGCTCTTTAAAAATTACATCCAAAATCCACATAAGCAACCAGAATCATAAGGATGTTCTTTTTTTGGAACTGCAGATAACATATTGAGGTCATCCACTTTTTTTTTATACATCTCGTTTAACACGGTCTGTTAAGCCCAACCCCATGAATGACTTTCAGCCATCACACTAGTTAATTACATGAAAGATTTGAACCAATCATACAATGAAGGTCTTCGATGTGACATTGTTTGCCAACAATCCTTTGCATTACTGACAAAAGTTCTGAGGGTTGGTCTTTACTTGAGACCAGGTGGTCTTTATTGAAGACCAGGCCAACATTTCAAAGAGCTGAATAAGCACATGATACAGCTGTTGCAAACGTCAAAAGCAAAAACCACCTGATAACGAGTTACAAACAATTATACATGACACATAGTTTTGGCTGGTAACCTGTTTCTGCTAAGCAGATATTTCCCGTGCTTAGCAAAATTCTTTACTAAGGGGCTTCACAGAGAAGAAAAACAGTCCTATTGCGTAAACATACAAATGGCTCTCCATATAACCACCGCCATACTATGCTATACTGGGCATGGTTACTCCTCTCTTTTTTTACGATTCCATTGTCTCCCCTCCGCCATTCATATTTACAGTGGTGCTGTCTCCATTGCTGCTTACCCCATCTGTTCCAGCATCCTTTGCACCGTTGCCAGGCAACATGTGTGCGGCGCCCTCGTCTGGTGTTGAGGCTTGTTCGTCCATGCTTGGCCAGGCAGTTTGCTCCTCCACTGCGCTCAGTCGTTCGTTCAGGGCTTTCAAGGCGATTTGTCTGTTGTGAAAAAAAAAATAAGGATTGTCTCATCAGTATTTTCCTTTCCCTTTCCAAATCCTGCCTCGTGTGTCAAGAAGTAAAATAAAGACAGTTTTTGTTGCATTCTTTCTCATCATTATTCAAAGATACACATTGCATTACAATGTATACAGAGTCCACGAAAAGAATCCCATTGGGAAAAGGATGGGTGAAGAAAAGGGAAGGGATGGGTGAGGGGTGGGCAAGGGATGGGTGTGGGGTGTATACAGGGTGGGGAAGGGATGGGTAAAGGGTGAGGGAAGGGATGGGTAAAGGGTGAGGGAAGGGATGGGTGCGGGTGAAGAAGGGATGGGTGCGGGATAAAAAAGGGATAGGTGTGGGGTGGGGAAGGGATGGGTGAAGGATGAGGGAAGGGATGGGTGCAGATGAGGAAGGGATGGGTGCGAGATGAGGAAGGGATGGGTGCGAGATGAGGAAGGGATGGGTGTGGGGTGGGGAAGGGATAGGTGTGGGGTGGGGAAGGGATGGGTGAAGGATGAGGGAAGGGATGGGTGCAGATGAGGAAGGGATGGGTGCGGGATAAGGAAGGGATGGGTGTGGGGAGGGGGAAGGGATGGGTGCGGATGATGAAGGGATGGATGCGGGGTAAGGAAGGGATGGATACGGGGTAGGGAAGGGATAGGTGTGCGGTGGGGAAGGGATGGGTGTGCGGTGGGGAAGGGATGGTACGGGGCGCAGTGGGCAAGGGATGGGTGTGGGGTGGGAGAAGGGATGGGTGCGGGATGGGGGAAGGGATGGATGAGCGATGGGGAAGGGATGGGTGCGGGGTTGGAAATGGGTGGGTTAGGGATCAGGATTGGGTGAGAGGTAGGTTGGTGGGGTGAGGAGAGACAGATGTATTCTAACCTTCTTCTCTCCGCATCAGCTGGGTCGCTGCCTGGCAGGTTGATGTTGATTGGAGACGGCGCTCCCACATCATACTTCCTAATCTGCTTCTTACAAAGTCTGATCCGAACCAGGAAGCTGTACACTGCAATTTAAGGGGAAGAATAAAACTTCAATCACTAATTGAATACCTAACAACTCATCCTAACCCTGCAAGACACAGCACAGTGCACTAGGAGTAAAACTCTATGGGACCCTGTTGCATTAAGCCATCAACACCAATGCACAAACAGCCGATTCCGAAACAATGAATGCTAGTCTCATTGTACAAGTTGAACACTGCTACAATCTATCCTGCTGCAATTGGTGACCGCAAACTCTGAGGCAGTCAGGCCTTGAGATTTTTTTCCTGATGGATCTTGTTACACCAGAGAGCAGGGATTCAAACCAAAATACCCTTGAGGGTGACAGGGTTAAACCGCAAAACATACCCCCCAAAAAGTATTAATCCTTCGGACTATATTAACATGCAGATACTTTAATTACATGCAGCTTGCCAAAAAAAAAAAAACCAACACTGCAAATAGACATTGTTGAAAGTTATCGTGTAACCATTTTTTCTAGCATGTTTACCTGTGTTCGTCACAATCGCAACCGGTGGTTGCATGACCTCTGGGAAGAAGGTTGCAAATCGGAAGGTGTCGGACATGTCTCCTCGACCGCTGCTCTGCCGCTGGAAGAACCTCAGATAGATCCAACTGACAAACAATCCTATCCATCAATCACACAAAAGAGATTAGTTTAAATGCACTCTGAAATACCATGGAGACACTTTTTTAGACAAAATTACTAATGTTATAACCAGGCATGCAACTGGGAAATAACAAAAAAAGAGGAAATTCAATTTTTTTCCAGACTTTGTACAGTGTTTTTCTATTTTCAATGGCACACATAGGAAGTAAAAAACGAGGAAATCAGCTGATCCGAGGAAAAGTTGCATGCCTGTATAACTAGTAACAATGGCAAACAAAAAAATAAACAATTGAATCTCACTCCATTCAATACTCAAGTCTTTTTTAACAGCGTCTCAGTCACTTTCACATTGATTTTTGTATTAAAAGCCAAACTGAAGAAATTCTTGCAACTTTGTAATTTGAGACTTATTTATCAAAGCAATAACTACATGTACGTGTAGGCCTATGGTTCTTCTGATTTGCAATGGGCTTTTGTTCAAAAAATTAAGATCAACAAGTTGTTTAGTTTGCCAGTTCACCTCTCAAAAAGTACTGATTTTTCCTTTTCACTGAAGATAACATAGTCCAAGATAATTTTCATCCCAAAAATCACTTTTTTATTAAATGTCTTGTGAGTTTTGGTCTGATCAGGTGATTGTGATCAAGTCTGCAATGAATGTTTTTTCCTTGTAATATTCAAATTGCAGATAATTACAGACATTAAACCATAAGCCCTGTGCCTCTTGTACTTCTAATCTACATTTTCCACCCCCCCCCCCCCCCCTCCCCTTCCTCTTTTTGGCCAGCGATGGGAACTTGCCTGAAGCACACATGCAGAGCGAAGTCCCAGGAATCAGTCCAAGAATCCTTAACACGCCTGACAGAGACAGAATCAACAGCGGCAGATCTTTGATCTTCAATTTTAACGGTCCTTTCCCGACAAGCTCCTGGTCTCCCATCGTCTGCTTCAACACCACCGCCACTCCAGAAACAAAGCCTGCAAGTCCGTGCAAGCGTGAACCGAACAAGAGGCTAGTGTTAAATACAGTCAAGTACATGAAAAGATAGATCACTGAGGACAGCAGGGCCGCTCCTGTGCTCACGACACAGAAGAATATCAGCATTTCAAGGGCCCCGAATAGCGGTTCGATCAGTTTCCCGGCCGCCAAGACGAACGCAATGTCAATGACAACAAACCACAGGTGGACCTCAACAAACGGGTGAGTGAAGAGAGTCCATATATGAAAACTCGGCGGAAAGATTAGCCCAGGAGTGACGGCCAGCGCCTCGAGATACGCCGTCTTGTTGACCAGAAAGGAGACGAGATACAGGAATATTACCAGGATGCAGACAGCTTTGACCACCACGCTGCTTTTGGAGAAAATTGTGGGGATTTGTTGGAGGCCGCTCGTCGGCACCTCCGTGGTGGAAGTCGCCATGTTGGAACTGAAGTTGTGGCATCGAGAAAGTATTACAGCGCCCTCTGTCAACCTGTTTCATTCATTTTCCTATCGGAGTCCAGGCAAAGGCGCAAAAAATACTCAGAAGTTCGTTTTTAAGTTCAAACAATGTGAGTTCTAAATATTGACTGCTCGGTATCTACAAACGACTTTTATCATTGGAGTTTGAAAATAACTTATTTCACGATTGCTTGATACGCCCATACGCCTTACGTTCGAGGGGCGCCAGAGGATGGGGAGAGGCCGGGGTCCTATTGCTTCAGCTCAAATGAAAAGGGCGGGGGAGGGGAAAGGGGGCGTAGGCCCTAAATAATAACGTTATTAATGCAACACCCTCTTTCAAATCAACACCCTCTTTCAAATAATGCTAGCGCGAACATGGAAATGAAATTGCTTGAAAAGGGTGTGAATAAGGAAACGAGACACAGCACACTGGCACTCAAGCCGGTTTTAAACTACGATACGGTCGCAAACACACCATGCGTGGCAGTTGCCTTTATGGCTCTGCACCGTAGTGCGACTATAATTATAGAGAATGATTTCTAAACCATTAATTCAGTAATTTTAAGCAGTTCCCGATTGACTACAATTTATCTGCAAGTGCATCATGACTAAAACTTAGATTGCTGTCATCCACAAACATTTTTAATGAAAATAAATCAGAGGATTTGTTAAAATCGTCAATGTAAACAGAGAACAAAAGAGCTCCAATTATGTATCCTTGAGGGGCTCCGTTTTTTAAATATTTTTTAGAGAAGGCTAGTTACCTTCTAAAGACACAAATTGTTGACGAATTAGAAAGGTACTCTTAAACCACTCCAGAGGAATGACTCCTATCCCATAACAGTCAAGCTTGGAAAAAAATAACACCATGATGGTTAATTGTGTTAAAGGCTTGGAGATGTCTAGTCTAAAAATATTCGAAATGTACTTTGGGATGAATCGAGATTAGTAGTAATTTTATCAATGAAGTGAATAATTGCATATGTTGAGTGATTTTCTCCAAACCCAAACCGGGTGTCTGATATAATATTTTATTCGTTTAAAAATTTAGTGGTAGGGGTGTAATAACACGCTCCGAAATTTTTGAACAAATTGTTAAAACTGAGATTGCATGTCTATAATTATTCACCAATTTCGGATTGCCGCTCTTGAAACAATAGGAGTAACTCTGGCAATCTTTATTTTTTTCAGGAATTATTCATGTTGAGTTCGAAAAATTCATAACACGGGTTAAAGGCTTCGAGATTGGAAAAAATAAGTGATAACTGGTTATGAGATTTTGACCTGCACTTTTTTCTTTGGTAATTTATGTACAATACTAACGGTTTCTTAGTCGGTAACTGGGGCAAAGAAAATGGAGTTCTGATTAGGATTAGACAAATTTTCAAAAACGCTATTTGTGTTTGGAAGATTTTATCACTGAGGGTTTGACCAATGAAACAGATGATGATTGCAGTAAAATTATGCTTAAACTGATCAGCTATGTGATGCGGGTTATCAATAGTTTCATGATCAATGCCTAGGCTACTGATTCTGTATTGCGGTTTACTGCATGTACATCATTGATTATTTCCCATGTCCGAATATTATTTTTATCTTGTTTAAACTGCTCAGCATAGTAATTGCTTTGGAGTTATATACTGTGGTACTTAGTTAGAATATTTTTGTAGCGCACGTAATATTTTGTTTGATTAGAGTCATGGAATGTGACATATAGTTTTGGGGTCCGCTCGTAAGTCCGACGCCTCATAGGTCCGACGCCTCATAAGTCCGACGCCTCATAGCTCCGACGCCTCGTAGGTCCGGCAAATTAAACGCCTCTTTTTTTTTCCCGACGTCGGACTTGTGAGGCGTCGGACTTATGAGGCGTCGGACCTATGAGGCGTCGGACTTACGGCCCCAGTTTCAAGTTGATTTGCACGGTAAGTGCGAGCAGGTAGCCATGTCGGTAGAGTGCCGTTCTCAGATCATCAATCTTGGGGTTGGAGGTTCGAGCCACAGGCTGTCACCAACGACATTATTTTTTTTTTTTCGTCAGAGCGAACGGGGTGGGGATGGGGGACTCCACTTGACTTTTGACTGCACTACCCTTTGCAAACGGAGGTTTATAATATTATAAATTCCAGGCTTGCTGCTAAGTGCGAGCCGGTATCCTAGTCGGTAAAGTGTCGTTCTCAGATCATCTATCTTGGAGTAGGGGGTACGAACCTCGGTTTTGTTACGAACGACATCTCTCTTTTTTCGGCGGAGGGTGGGGGGGGGGGGAGAGGGGGGACTGACGTCGACACGTTACTTTTGACGTCTCCACCCTTCGCAACCTTAGGTTTATCAATATTATAAATTCCAGGCTTGGTAAGTGCGAGCCGGTATACCAAGTCGGTAGAGTGACGCACTCAGACCATCAATCTTGGGGTTGGAGGTTCGAGCCTCAGGTTGTCACCAACGACATAATTTTTTTTTTTTCGTCAGAGCGAACGGGGTGGGGATGGGGTATGACTCCACTTGACTTTTGACTGCACTGCCCTTTGTAGCCGGAGGTTTATGTATATTATAAATTCTCGGCTTTGTATGGGAGCCGGTAGCCAAGTCGGTGGAGTGTAGTTCTCAGATCATCTATATTTGGGTTGGAGGTTCGAGCCCCAGGTTGTCACGAACGACATTTATTTTTATTTTTCGTCAGAGCGGAGGGGGGGGGGGGACTGACGACGACACGTGGCTTTTGGTGTCACCACCCTTTGCAACCTTGGGTTTATAAATATTATAAATTCCAGGCTTAGTGAGTGCGAGCCGCGGGTAGCCAAGTCGGTGGAGTGTCGTTCTCAGATCATCTCTCTTGGTGTAGGAGATTCGAGCGCTCGGCTTGTCACAAACGACATTTATTTGTTTTCGTCAGAGCGGAGGGTGGGGGGGGGGAGGATTGACGACGACACGTGACTTTTTGACGTCACCACCATTTGCAACCGTTGGTTTATCAATATCATAAATTCCCGGTAGCCATGTCGGTAGCGTGCCGTTCTCAGATCATCAATCTTGGGGTTGGAGGTTCTAGCCACAGGTTGTCACCAACGACATTAATTTTCTTTTTCGTCAGAGCGAACGGGGTGGGGGTCGGGGGATGACTCCACTTGACTTTTGACTGCGCTACCCTTTGCAAACGGAGGTTTAAGTGCGTGCGCGAACCGGTAGCCATTCCTGGCTATACCTTATAGCTTTCAGAACGGATGGAATATTTGGGCGCCCCTCCATTGCCTCAAGCCTCGCCCCACACGCCCCCTAGGATGAGAACCCTAGCTGTGTAATAGGAATATGCTTATCAATAATAAAACATCCATAAAACCAGTCAAAGCAATGTTTGCATCAGAGACAGAGGAGACATTTTGCCCAATCACAGGAATTCAAATCACTACTATGTTTTCTCGAGTTAACGTTTGGCGGAACGATGAATCGAAGATGGAAATGATGTGAATATTGAAAAGTGTTCGGAGACATCCGTCACCGTACCCATACCAGCGTCAAGAAATGGTTTATATCAATAAGGGTAATGTTTGGGTAACTGGTAGGTTTATTGATAAGAGGTATAAGAGAATGAACCGTGGCACCATATATAAGTAGTGTCTAACAATTCCTGTGACTGGTTATCATTTAGGGTACTATGTCAAGCCTCCGAACACAATTGAAGACTCCGTAACAAATTGTGGCGCGGTCTTTTTTATGTTTTCTATTTTTCCCTGTTAAGTTTAATGACCTTAAAAGTAGGCTAATGTCTATACTTACACTTACACTTAAGATTTGATGGGATTATCAATTATAAGCTTAAGCCTTTTAAGACCCCATATCCAGATTCTTTCAAGTAACTGTCAAATCTATTCTTGAACTGGTTGACATTCATGGCATTTACGACGTAGGCTGGGAGGTTGTTCCAGTTGTTTATTACCCGTTGGGAGAAGTGTTTCCTCAATTGGAGACCTTTATGCATTCTCTTCTTAAACAACTTCAACCTGTGACCTCGGGTACTCGTACTTGACTTGGAGAAGAACTTTCTGGATCAATATCGTCGAAGCTATTCAGGATCTTATATGTCTCAATAAGGTCACCCCTTACTCTCCGCACTTCAAGTGGGAATATGTGTAACTGTTCATCCTTTCGCTGTACGGTTTTCTTCTCAATTCTGGTACTAGCTTTGTCGCCCTCCTCTGAACTTTCTCTAGAACCATGATGTCTCTCTTTAGGTAGGGGCTCCATGACTGCATTGTTGATAACATCTCATCGCTGCCCCGACAAACCAGCTGGAATCATGCACAATCAAACGATGAATCAACTGTTTTAACCTTTCAAGTGTTACAATCACACACACTCTTCTGTTAACGTCTTGTCAGTGCAACAGTTCTACAGATTCGGTAAATACAATTACATTGTAATAATATTGAAAAACGCATATTATACAAAAACAATTACTGAATAGTTTGGTTGTATTAGTCATAAGTACCTCTTGGTCATCTTGGCTTAAATTATTATGTAAATTCGCACGACCCCGAGGCAATAGGCGCAAAACCGGAGATAAAAACCTTTGACTGTAAACTGAGGACAAAACTCCGGGAAATTCCTATCTGGCCCCAAAGGCGATCGAGCTAGCACTACTTGAATCGATATAACGAGCTCCAGGATCTGCTATACTTGGATATTTCTTGTAAAGATAATAAAAACAAATGGTCAAACATTACTTATGTTATGAAAAACAAAAACACAAGTGACTGCGAATGTCACAAAAGCAACCAGCATTCCAGTATAACCACACACTAGCTACCCGCATCGATGCACACTACTTTGCATACCAAATGCACCTGTAAAGCTTAATCCCACACTTACAATGAGATAGTAATTCTCTTTTTATGTAATGCCAAAGATAATTTGTAATACCATCCCCTAATACGAAGACGATGGAATTTCGATGATTGTCATTGGCCCGAAACGAACAATGCGATAACTTTCCTCCAATCGCTGATTTCGTTCTTCGTGGCTTTGTTTGTAAAGTAAACACCCCTTTAAAAAATAAGGGGCATGCATGAGCAAAATACGGAGAAGCTATCTAGTAGTATTTAAAAACAAATTCGAAATGATATCGACATTATCAAGAGCATCATAATTATGATGTAACTATCAATACATATATATTCGAATTGCTAAATTTGCTCGACGGTGTGGACTAATCGAACGTGCAAGGTCATAACAACTTGAATTTCTCAGAGTATGCAAATTCCAAGCGAACGCCGGAAGCAAGACGCCCGACCGCCCCCACCAGTCACCGCGTCGACGAACGTGACGTGTGCACGTGGCCTGGCCTGTTGGTGGTTTTTTCGGTACGGTTTTGTCAGTTCATGTTTTCTAAATTTTAGGCATTTACGCGACCGAGCGATACTGTCAAGTGTACCTTTGCCCAGTTTGGTAAGTATACGTTTGAGCACATTTGTTGGTGCAGTGTTAATGGTTTTGCGAAGCCTTTGAGGCGACAGTCAACTTATGATTTGTTTTGTTGGAACTTGGAAGTCGGACAGCTAAGTCGGACTTGGAAGACACATCCAGCATGTCCACGGCCACACAGTTTCACCAGTGGACGTACACAATGTGTTACAAGTTTTCGTCCTTGTGGTTGGACTAGCCATAGAGCAAGGACAGACCCTTGCTCTATGGACTAGCTTGAGTAATGTATAACTCTAGCCCCATAAATGTGGCAAAGACAAAGTTAGACATGTTTTTGTACACGGTGGAAGTGTGTCCTTTATTTACGGAGCTAGCTCCGGAGGTAGTCCAGTAAATTGGCCACATTTATGGGGCTAATAAATATAACTCATCCAGCTCCAATGACACGCGCACAAACATTGAAACAAGGCAGAATGTGGAGAAAAAAAATGGCAACTTGAGGCTGACGCCACTTTTTTTCTTCACATATCATCATAATGATGGTCTATCATTGCAAATATGATGATAAGACATGAATCTGGGACTGAGAAACATTTCCAATTTTGTTTGGAAATGCTCTCCATAGAATTTGTACACAATCGCGGAAGTGGCATCAGGTTGCAACATTTTTTTCCTACTTTACGTCTATTCCCTGCAGTTTGTGCTGTTTATTTAAGTTTAAATATTTATTGAACTGCCTTTCTTTTTGTTCCTTTTCCCACAACTTTTGGAAGGATGCTGTGATGAATTTTATTTTAAGTAGGCCCTACAATAATATTTAATAAATACTGCCCATTCCTGTCCCTAATTCCAGCCCAACTCCCCTCCCGATCCCCTAGACATGCTAAACCTGTAGTGGCATACCGCAAACGTGACATTGATAATAACCCCGTGCTCCAGATTTGCATAAAAACATTCGAAATATTTACCCGACACGTCACACTTAATTTCTCCTGCATGTTTGCTCCATCTTAAATGCACGCGCACAATGTTGTTGTTTCGAGGGGTAGACTGCTGTTTCGTGTCTGTAGCCAAATCACCCCCGACGTCACCAACGTTAGTTCTTCGATCAGCACGTGTCTTGCTTCAGTTTACACGTATGTCAGTGTACATGTACGTACCTGATTAATCCAGTATTGGCACAGCACGGTGTGGTGTGGCAAGGGGACTGGAAACTTGTCTAAACCGTGGTGTATTTGGGTGCGATATGAAACAGCTGTCAACACATGTTACAAGTCGGAACAAAACTGGCGCCTTGCACTGTACTGATCAGTTTTTTTAAAAAAAAAAATGTCTGCCCCTGCAGGCACCCCCCCCCCCCCCCCAACTGGAAATTTGCTTGTCCTTTTTCCTGCGCGGCAAGAGTGCCTCTTTTTAACGTCGTGCAATCATCTTTATTAAAGTTTAAGTGTGCTGCCCTAAAGAGCGTCACCTATCGTGCGATAGTGTCCACTTTGAAGGGCGCCCCCATAGAAAGATGCCCCCTCCCCCCCTCCCCCCCCCCCCCCCCCCCCCCCCCCCCCCCCCCCACTTTTTGATTTTATTGAGGCTGGGTGACCAGTGAAAAAAGTTGTCTATCTTTCAGCACGGATGTTACAGAAATTGGGCTCCCCCCACTGTAACATCCAGCCCATCCAGCCCATCCCCTCCCCCCCCCAGTGAGAATGCTTGCTACGCTGCTGCTAGGCACATTTCAGCTGTAGCTATATAGAAATATTTTCAGATCTCAATTTTAGGGGTATGCATTGGAACTGGGTACCCGAGTACCCTGACCGCTGATGTCAGGAACCAGTTCCAGATTATGTGGAATCGAGTACCTGTAACCATTACTTAGTATCTTCTCAGACAAAGAAAATCAAAGTTTTTGAATGCCATTTGGGAGAAATTTTCAAAGTGAAAACTGGGCTACATGGAAACCAAAAACAGATTTCACATTAATGTATATTTTAAAGCGTGACAGACGAGGCTCGCAAAAGTTGCAGTTAATATTTTAAAGTGATAAAGCTCTTCAGGCAACTTCCGGGATTTGAATTTGGGGTTGGGTTTTTTTAGTGTTACCTGGGTACCCGTGTTTTACTTCAGTGGGGTAGCTGGTTTCTGTAATGCCTGAAATGCAAACCACTACCCAGTTTATGTTTGACTTCAATTTAAGTTTTATCTCTTTTTCAGGATGTAAGCAACAATGGCTTATTTCAGAGAAGCATCACCATACAGACCTGCATATTTCTCCAAGCACGAGTCGGATCTGTACGACCTAGAAGACGTGGAGAAAATTTCGGGTGAGCACTCCGAAGTTCTAGAAGTCGGTGACAAGTGGGCGGTGGTCAGTGTAGCCGACTACAGCAGAGCCATGGTCTTCAAGGGAGCGCTCCGTCGCGGCAACCTGGCTCCGATCCGTAAGATGGGCGACTACCTGCGGCCAGGGTTCAACGTCATCATTGAAGTCAGACGCCTGAAGAGGGGCGATATTGAGCCCCGAAGACATGGATGTGGCTGGGTGGTGACCAAGATCACCAGAGAAGAGCTGATGGTCTCACCGGCGTATTACAGAGATGCAGCCAACTTGTTCGACTTCATGGGTACTAAGGGAAAGAGGCGGGGCCAAGCAAGACCAAGGGAGGTTGACGGGCTGGGAGCGTTCACGGGAGAGGCGGTTCAACTAATCCGTAGCTTCCTGACAAGCTGGAATGGCATCTCCTTGTCGGGTATCATGGACAATCTCAGTGATGCACATCCCGTCATAAAGGACCGCCTGGACTGCGTGGAGGATCTCAGTGATTTCTTGGAGGGTCAGCCGCGTTTCTTTACCGTAACATCTCAGGGATTCGTTTATCTTAACGGCGGGCACGAAGCCAACTGCGTTCAAGAAGAGATCAAGAGCAGGCTACCTAGACTTGATGTTGGCATCTTCGGAGACGAAGCTGTCATCATACGCAAGCCCTGGCGCGTAGGCGGCGTGATTAAACCTATCATACGAGATGAGGAAACCAGAGTGGTTGCATTTGACACCGAAAGAGCTTCTAACGGTTAGTAAGATAAGAAGACGACTTCATTTTCTAATTGGGCAGTATCTACCTAAGCCCTCCCTTGAACCTTTCCGCAGTGTACGCATTTTGCAACCTCATGTTCACTCTTTACTTGAATGTCTTATTTTCAAACTCTGATTACTTCATCATGGACACTTTTAATCTCATTTGCTAGCATTAACCATGATGATAAAATATTGAGTCTATTTTTACATTATAATTTGTCAACTGATTTGCAATCTTTTCAACATATGTGCATACATGTATGAAGAGTTTATTTTGAAAAATGCGATAAATGCCATTTCAGAATCCCGCCCTCTCCTAGCTGCCCAAAGCATTTTCACGGGCTGTTATACAGTTAAACACCATTTCAGAATACAATAAAGAGAAAAATGAAGATTAGAGCCATGCAAAGTTTTGACTTTTTTTCAAATGGCTATATCGCATTTTGGAAATAAACTCTTCACATTGTAAAATATCATTTCCTGTCACAAAACCTTGATGTATCAAATGATGTCAGACAAAAGAGAAAGAAATAATTCCCCAAGATAAAACACTCAAAAACATTTGAAACACATTCATTGTGCAGATCAGGAGTTATTGTACTGCAACGAGTTTCAGCCTAAACTTTGTTTTTCAACTTAAATAGTTTTTGTTTATTCACAGGCGATTGTGAGTACCTTTCCACTGTCCAAATTGCCATCATTGATGCCGTCTGCCCGCAAGCATACATATTTGATGTCATTGACTGGTCCGATCGGGACTTCAAAACCAGCAAACTGAAGCATCTTTTGGAGAGCAAGCGTGTGTTGAAGGTAGGGCTGGATGTTAAAAACGTTTTTGAACTGACTTTGCAGGGCATCTTCTTGAATCCTCCCAAATTCACAGCTGTGTGGGAGCCCAATGGCACATTCTTTGGACTCAGTTTCATCAAAATTCTTTTCATCGAAACCGTTATTAACCCTAATAATAGTGGATATTTATAAAGCACACGTATCCACCAGGACTGGTGCTCAAGGCGCTACATCATTATTACCCCTGCTCATTGGGCGCATGAAACATTCCAAATACCATCTCAGCTCCCTGGGGAGGCCTGTTAAGCGCAAGGAATCTAATTCAATCACAATAACCATCTCTGCCCTCACAGGCACCTATTTACTCCTGGGTGGAGAGAAACAATGAGTGACAAAGTGCCTTGCCCAAGGGCACACGCACCATGACCCCGCCACGCCAGGACTCGAACCCACAACCTGCAGCTTTACCCACAGACCATGAATCAGTGCCCTTAACCACGAGGCCACAGCGCTCCACAGCACTCTAATTACCCCTAGGCCCTCAATCCTCTAAAATCTTCCGAAATTTTGCACTTCAAACGAAGGATTCCCACCGCCTCAATGGTTCAAAATCCACCGACAATCCTGCTCTCAAAATGCATAATCATCCTCAAACACCATTCATCCTCAATCCTCCAAAATCAACTGGTACTGAATGTCCATGTGCCCTCAATCCTCCAAAATTGTATGTCGCATTCACCCTCGATCCTCCAAAACTGCCCGGATGACTTAGGAGGATTGAGGTGGGTTAGGGTTCCACTTAACTTTGAAATATGATTGTTTCTCATGTCTTTGTAAAGGTTGTGCATGACTGCAGGGGTGATAGTGCCGCACTAGAGAACTACGGCATCGAACTGACGAATGTCTTTGATACCGCAGTAAGTGTAGTTAAAAGCCTACTGGCCTAGCATTTTCTTTTTACGCAAAGCAAGGCAAGCCATCCATTTTGTCCATGCCTAAGCAGTGTTGACTTCATGAAGTCTTCATAATGTGTACAATTTAAAATATTCTCATAAATTGACCTAAACACCATGAATTATTTACATGGCTAAGGACATCAGGATAGCAAGCTGGGCTGTACAATATTCTGTCGCTGTCTGAGATAAGGAGGGATGGTTTATTTTAAGGGCAAGGGCAAAAGGATTTTTTTATTTCTGTCCCAAGTCTTGATGAATAACTGAAACACAAAAGATCTCCAATATCTTTATGTGGTTGGTATTTTGTCATTTTCCAGAGCCAGTTGTAGATATGGAAAAAATGTTGCAACCTGATCAGTCATTGAAAAAAATGATGATAAGACATGAATCTGGGACTGAGAAACATTTCCAATTTTGTTAGGAAATGCTTAGAAAATTTTCTTGACTCTCCATAGACTTTGTACACAACCGCTGAAGTGGCGTCAGGTTTGACATTTTTTCGTAGATTTTGTTCCTGTTCTGTTTTTTTCCCCCGCTGGTCCCAGAGGGCCAGCCTAGTGTCTTCTTTGACTGACTGTGACTTGTGAGCCGGGCAGTGCTGTTGTATAGGATTACCCTGTAAAGCCAATGAGTGGGCTAAATCTGACCCACTGTAGACCAGATGCATGAAAAGACTTCCAGTGAATAACCATTCTGAATCAATTGAACAAAAGTTTGTGCACTCTTGAATACGCTTTACTGGGCTTGCCCTTGATTGTTTTTATTTTTCCTATTCCAATGTTCTTGTTCTTTCCACAGGTTGCCTACACCACCATTATGGAGCAGTCCAACGTCCGCTACACCCCTCCTCCTAACTTCACCCAGCTCTGCAATGTCTTCGGCCGCTTCACTCCGCAGAGAAACTCCAAGAACGTCTACCAGGGCAATCGCAACTTCTGGGCCAGTCGACCTTTGACCGACAACATGATTGATCATGCTGCCAGCGACGTGATGGGGCTGGCCACCAACGTCTACGATAACATGACCAGGTGAGTTATCAACTCTGCTTACTGTACTAAAATACTGGTAATTATAGAAAAGAATTCTGTGCAAATACCACGTGTCAATAAAACTCTTGTCTTACTTTTGATCCTAAAAAAACTCTGTGGTTTACCAATGGAATTAAACCAAAATTTCAGATTATGTAAACAAGGGCATGACAAATTTTATGCGAGTTTCATCAGCTTTGTGCAAGAGGGTGTATTTCAAAGGTTACCAAGGAGTTTTTCTAATAAGCATGCGCACTCAACTAAAAGTTATGGTGTTTGCAATGCTTAGCATAGAATGACTTTGCGTAAGCACACTGGATGATCACAAGCATAGGACCACATGACATGGTTAGCAAAGTCACCGAATTAACCCCTGACCTCGTACTTATTAGCAAGGAAACATTCTCCCAGCTTTTGAGATTCATTGGCTGCTTAAGTTCTAAAGTTGATCTTCAAACATTTCTTAATGTAAGAAAATATTTCTATTCACCTTTTTTTCCCCTTGCCTCACCCAAAAGGGTATTAAGGAAGTAATCGAGAATTTTTTTTCTTAAAACATATTTTTAAGAATTTTTTTGGGGGGTGGGGGTGGGGAGGGAATGGTTAATACTCAATATGAAAAAAAGTACATTTTGGTTTTTTTTTTTTACTCCAGCTTCATGAATCCGGCATGGAAATCCAGATTTAATGCACTATGCACCAAGAGCCTTGGCCATTGAACAACTCTAGAGGGCGCCCTAGTCTGACAGTTGCCGGAGCCATGGAAAGAGAAGCAATAACAGGATTATTAACAAATTCAAAATGTTTACAATGCTGTATTCACACTAGATCGAGCCATTATGCTCTGCCTATTACGCACATTGCCAACAACACCTCTCCAGTTCCTCAATGCATAATACATGTTCAACTAGCATGCGTCATAATGCGAGTGCATTTATGTCTGACTGGTGTCGGACATTAATTAACTCTAACCTCTGGGCATTTTTGCTAAGATGCAACCTGCAAAATCCTCCAACTGCCTCCATGTAAAAATTGCAGACAGCGTCAATCCTGCAAAATCCTCCGGCAATCACTCTCAATATGCTGAGGCAGAGCCAGTGACATCCTGGAGCAGTGGGAAGGATTTCAAGTATAATCTAGGCCTAAATTTATGCACGGCTGAGCAAAAACTACACAAGGTCCGGCCTAAGAACTTGACACAGTGCATCCTCATATTTATCAGCCGCACATTTTTGCCATATAGCCTCAATCCTGCAAAATGCTCCAGTTTGCGCAGAGGATTTTGAAGGACTTGGGAAGGTAAGGGTTAAATAACTGGTCAAAACATCATGGGATGGGACTTAATGAACAGGTCTATTGCCATGACCAATCAGGTGGAGGATCTAGTTACGACATATATTTGTTTATGAATTAAAAACAAAATACAGTTTCCTTCCCCTAGTAAAACTATTTATTCTATAATTAACCCTTTTGTTTGATCAGTCACAGACAGGCAGAAATTCAGTGTTCCCCTGCCATGCCTGCTACACAGGCTAGTCACCAAACAGGCAGATCTTATTTCTAGCAAGCACTGTGGCTAGTCAAATTCCATCAACAGACAAAGCAAGTAATTGGTAGGCACAGATGGTTTTATCAATCTCCTTCAGTCAAAGCATAGCTCTATCAGGTCTCATAACAATCACAGCCAGTCAATCCTGCTTAATGAAGACAGGGAACACTCATCTGTTTATACAAACAGTCACTTGATTTGGGGTGACAGATCCTTTACTGCAACGCCAGCCCGAGTGTGGAACCAACTCCCTCTGGCTATCAAATCATCTCCATCCATCACAACATTTAAGACAAACATAAAATCTCACCTGTACCAACAAGCTTACTCTCACAACACACAATCCTAACTTGACTTTCTCCTCAAGCGCCATGAGCGCCTATATTTGGCGGATACCGGCGCTTTACAAATGTTCTTTATTATTATTACTGATTTATTTTGACTGTATGGCTCTTCTAGTTGAAATTGCCATCCAGAGAGGGAGGGTTTTGAATGTACCTGAATCACTTCGTATTTACAACCTGAAGATAGGGGAGGGGGGGGGGGGGTTGGGTTGGTTTGACATGTTATATGTTGGCAGAGTTCACCAATCAAAAGGAACATCAGTCAAACTTTCAAACATATTATATGAAATAAACCTTTTTATTCTTACTCAATCTGTCCACAAGCATATTCTCGTTGTGATACAAATTCATCCATGCCACACCATGGGATGCACTACAGTTTAAATACACAAATCAAATTTTCAAAGTTTACATTCATTAGGAAAGACTCTGGCAAATTCAAATTTGGGGATATATTGGAAAAAAGATAACTTCTGTAGTTCTTGTATAATTGTCTTCCTCGTTTATTTTTGTAAGTGGCAGTATTTCTTTCTTTCTTGGAATGGGATAATGTAGAATCGCATATTGCAATATATTAAGAAAAAAGATTTTTTGTTCACTAAAGCTTGGAAGATAAAAATATAAGAGGGCTTATAAAGTATAAAGACAACTATGGACTACATCCCCAAGAAAACTGCTTTTTACATAATACTCTAATAAAAGGCTCCTTTCCATACATGTATGTGGTTTTCAATCCATTTTATCCCCTGTTGCGTATTTATGCCCATTTTTTTTCTCTTTGCGTATTTATGCCCTTTATAACCTATAGGCCCGAATACGCAACGGACAAAAAATGGACTGAAAACGTGCATAAAGAAAAGCGGCTTTATGCTGTCTGTTTTTTTTTAATTAAAATTAAAAAAATTTTTAAAAAAATTTCGCCGTCCTCCTTGACAACTGGTGTTTACTTCACCTGAACAGGCCGGAAGGGTCATCAGAATGCAGTCCTTGCAGAAATAGTACATAATTTGGATCTGAAATAACAAAAAAAGATTGAGAGAAAAAGTTACTCCTTCAGTCACCTCAATACAGTAAATTTTATTTTTTTTGGGGGGGGGGGGGGGATGCGGTGAAAACTCTAAAAACATTTTTCAGGAATAGTCAGTTCAGGTAGCTGGAGCACATGGTAGTAGAGAGAGCCAGACATAAATAATAGCTCCAATGTGAAGAAAATACTCCTGCTTTGAAAAACCTCAAAGTACCCCTGATAACTTCAGGGTAACGCCAATATTGTTTAACAAGGTGCCAAACGTTGCTATAATTCAAACAGATGTACCCAGGGTTATTAAAAATCACTGCACGATTGCATAGAAATTTAGAGCAAATACATATATTCAATTAATTAAACTGCTTGTATATAGCATTGTAGTAAGTCTGATCTGTATACTACCCACTAAACTGTATCATAGTAACAGTGAAATGCAATACATTTAGTAATATTTTCTAGATAAACTAGTACCAGTAGTTTTGTGCACCAGTAGATATTTGTAGAAATGCAATACATTTAGTAATATTTTCTAGATAGACTAGTACCAGTAGTTCTGTGCACCAGTAGATATTTGTAGAAATGCAATACATTTAGTAATATTTTCTAGATAGACTAGTACCAGTAGTTCTGTGCACCAGTAGATATTTGTAGAAATGCAATACATTTAGTAATATTTTCTAGATAGACTACTAGTACCAGTAGTTCTGTGCACCAGTAGATATTTCCAAGTATGCCAAAAAAGTGCCGAAATTTTGAATGCCAAGTTGTGCCTCAAAGTTGTTTTTTCTTTTTTAAGTAATAGGATAGTTTATTTTGTATTTTGGTCTTTATGCCAGGTGCTTGTTTGATTATATTTTATATTCAGTTTATATTCAGAAAAAGTTTATATTTGTGAACCGAGCACAGTATTCAGCCATTGTTCTCTTCCTACAGTGGACTCAATGTGAATGACCTGTAAGCTTTCTTTCTATCAATCAATAGAATTTAACCTTCCTATCTAATACACGGATGTCTTTCAAATTCGATTTGGAAACCATTATGTTTATCACGAAATGATGTACATGTTTTAGTGGTTGACCGGTAAATGTGTCTTTTCATAAGGAGATTTATCCCATGAATTGGTCGAAACCCTTGACACTAGAATTCAATGCAGTTTGGCCATTTCTTAAATCTGTTTACATCGATCAGCTAAACTGGCTCACAATGGTCCTTAAAAATGGATCATGTTATATGTCAAAGAGTAAACTGAAGTACAATAGCACCAACAAATCTACTCAAAACTTGAACGGTGTTGGGGGGGGGGGAATTGCATTTACAGTGCATGAATTTCCAAAAAAAAAAGTTTGTGTAACTGCCATTTTCTTTTTTTTGTAAACTTAAGTTTGTTGCTAGATTATATTACCAAAGTGTATTCCAACCAGTTGCTTGAAGAAATTTATTTTTCATCATTATTTTGATATATTTTTTGTGTACATGCCATTTTGTTTTGTAAACTCAAGTTTGTTGCTAGATTATATTACCAAAGTGTATTCAAACCAGTTGCTTGGAGAAATTTATTTTTCATCATTATTTTGATACATTTTTTGTGTAAATGCCATTTTGTTTTGTAAACTCAAGTTTGTTGCTAGATTATATTACCAAAGTGTATTCAAACCAAGTATTTGAAGAAATTTATTTTTCATCATTATTTTGATATATTTTTTCATTACAGTTTTCTTTTGTGAACAAAGTTGTTGTCACGTGTATTGGACTTTTCCGTCCACTATTGTTGTTATGCAAAATAAAATTGAATTGATTCAATTCAAACAAAGCAGTAATTATGTGTAGACATTCAATTATGTTGTGTCTGCGAATCACAGGATTATTAGCATATGGGTATTACAGAACTGTATCTATTTGTTTCACCAATTTCCAAAATCTGTTCATCAAATTCAAGGGGAAGAAAAAATGTTGCAACCTGATGCTACTTTTACTTCATATATCATCTCAATGAAGGTTATTCATTGCAAAAATGATAAGAGATGAATCTGGGACTGACTAAGAAACATTTCCAATTTTGTTAGAAAATAAATACAAAATTGTCTTGACTCTCCCTACACTTTGTACACAATCACGGAAGTGGCGTCAGGTTGCAACATTTTTTTCAAGGGGAAATATATATACATGTACCACGCATGATTTGAGATGGTGGGCCCCCCCCCCCCCAAAAAAATGTCTCTATACCCTAAAGACTATTGTTACTCAACCCTAGATATCTCAAAAGAATTCCTGAAAGTCTGGGAACAAATAACCACAACAAAAATATTTTGTCAAAAGATTTCCCTTTAGAATTTCACCTGACAGGACAGGGTGAAAAAGAAAGGTCTTTTCACAAGTCAACAGAAGGTTGTGAGCCAGAAGCAGTTTGCATCGTCAGGGTACCATATCCTGCTTCAAATGGGGAAAAAAGATCCAACATTTTTCATATCCACTGTCATCTTTTTCATCGCAGTAAATCTGAAATGTCTGTAGCTGTATTCTCTCATTTAAATATTGCCAGTGTTGCACCAATAACCTTCAAAATGACCAGCAAAACCCAAACTTTCCAATAACACAATATCGTTTTAACCCTACAAATAGTAAAATTCCAGTATATTGTGTGCATTCATTGAAGTATCTTTGAGTTTAGTGATGCATCATAACTTTCCACAAGGGCAGGCAGAACTCGACTCTATTGAACACGCACAACAGGGTAACAAAGTGGTACCCTGACAATGCAAACTGCCTCTGGCTGGCTTACAACCTTCTGTTGACTTGTGAAAAGACCTTTCTTTTTTACCCTGTCCCGTCAGGTGAAATTCTTAAGGGAAATCTTTTGACAAAATATTTTTTGAAGACTGGTCTATCAGAAAATTGTAGGGAAAAAAACCATTAAAGCATTTTTTTTTTTTTAGAATTTTAGATGGCAATGGAAATTTTGCCTCAGCAGATCATTATACGACCTGCTCCAAAGGTGAAATTTATACATGGTTGGAAAACCCACAATGTAAGCTTTTATTTAGTGTATAATAGAGCTCTGTAGCCCCTACCGTTTTGGAGATTGTGGACGTTTTGCATATTAATTACTGTCTTGGAGTTCAAATTACACAACTTAGAAAACAGGCTTTGAAATAGCTGGCTCTGTTGTAGATTTGGGACTCGGAATTGAGTTTTTTTCCCCACTGTATTTATCGAAATCAACATTTCTGTGAATGAACCCTGAAACTTTAGGTAATAAAGATGGCATTCAGGACAACAAATTAAAATCGAATTTTGATGAAATGTTCTCCCTTTCAACATTGAGCGGGCCATTACACAATAATGCACCGCGCCACTTAATACTGCCTGTTTTTGTGGAGCGGGTCACATATATATATAGCAGAATAACATATAGTAACCAACTATTCATATCAACCATATAGTAGAACAATATATAGGCCTATAAGTGTACATGTACACTAATATTTATTTAGTGTTTTGTATTTTTTTTAAAAATTAAAAACAGCATACATTTGTTTTACAGTTGGTAAGCATCTATCTTTCCCTCCGAAACACTGCACATTTATCAAAAATTTGACAAAAATCGGCCAACCCTGATTTCACAACACACTTACATATAACCCACTATTCACATCTATCATTCGCTACCATAGACATGAATATAGCATTCCCCTTTTATTTCCAAAAAAGTTACCAAAAAAACCCACCTTCATTCACAACCCACAGAGAATGTTTGACAACTTTTGATCTATGGTAGTTTAAAGTTTCAGTTGTATGGTGGGGCTTATAGCTAAAAAGGCTGTGATAAAAGGTTAAAGTTTAAGAATAACAACTTTTTCAACAAAAAATAGACTTCAGTGAAGCTTAGGGGCAAATTGGAACACGTTCTGGTTTTCAATTTCTTTTTCTCTTTGTCAAGGCTACAGAGACCTGAGGATATCTCTGCACGTGAATGAAGGGTTTCTATGGCTAGGCTTATTTTCACACACCACGGAAGTAATCTGAAATAAAAAGCTCCCATCTAACTCTGCAGCCATGGCAAAGGAGTTAGATGTTTACAAAAGAAAAGGGCTTAAAAATTTCAATTCGGTGCCTGAAACTATGGCTTATATTTGTGGGGTAACAACCTGTAAAAGTGTGTGATAAGTTCCATCAAGCAAAAGAAAAAGGCACACTAATTTTTTTCTTTCTGACTTTGGGCTAAAAAGAAAACCCCTCAACCACACTTGAAGTCAGGGTTCCCACAGTAATATGAAAACCAAATTCCATAACTTTTCCGGACTAAAATATGACAATTTCCATCACATTTGATGCCATTTTCGGAGAAAAGTTGTTTGGGATTATGATACTGATGAACCGCTGATGTAAGGTTAAGGGTTAACATTTGTGAGCTGAATATAAATGTTAAATTAATAATGGCCTCCTCCTCCCCTTACAGCCATCCTTAATATTGCTTAATGCAGCCCATCAAAAATAACCTTTCCATGATCTTGATTTCCACGACTTTTCCCATGACTTTTGAATTTTTTCCAATTTTCCATGACTTTTCCATGACTTTTCCATGACTTTTCCATGACTTTTCCATGACTTTTCCATGACTTTCCAGAACAACTTTTTTTCCAGGACTTTCCATGATTTTTCCATGACCATGGGAACCCTGGAAATGCATAGTAAATAACAAAGGTGCATAAATAAACCAGTGCCAAAAAAATTGAAATGGTAACCGCTGTAAAAAAATATCCTGGCTTGGTGTTACTCTTGTTAACAGCAAAATTGTTTTAATAAATTTCCACCAATTTTCAAAACGGACAACACTGATTATACAAATATTGAGTGGATCAGCGTGGAATGGGAGGAATATTAACGCAAGGTAAAATCTGGAGGCGAAGGAAATCGAGGCGAAGCTGAGTGAACTAAAAAAGTCCAGATTTTACCGAGCGATAATATTCCTCCCATTTCACAAGTTAAAGCCACTCAATATTTGTTTTATATAACTGACATATAGATCCTTGTCATTTGATATATTTGAAGTTTTATTTCAACACAAAATTGGTGAAAAATGTATTTCTCTCTTCCAAACCACCCCTTCACGAAAATGTTTGAACCCAACGCTGTAGCACTGGCTCTTTGGAACAATACGCGCTACGCGCAATGCTGAACGCGCACACCAGCATGCATTTGCACACAAATACCGCGTCATGGAACAAGCATGATCCTAACTGTTGAATAGTATTTCCCATTCCCCATGGGCGGATGGTACTTTTTGAGCCCCGGCGTGAATGGCAGTAATAACGAATGACACGTGATGTGAGTTCCACCAATCAAATGACAAGGATCTATATGTCGGTTATATAATGGCTTATAGTTTAATATCAAAATACAAGTTACATATGGCTTACCTGCATCTGGGGTGAGGAACCCCCTGCGAATGAGGAAATCTAGAATGACCAACGCACAGTTGGGCTTGAACTCTTTGCTGGCTATTTTCTCTTTGACCTGCGATGGAAAAACACAAAATTCAATTTACAAAAATTTACCTTTCCAAACACTTAACCATCAAGATGTTTGTCCTTGACTACTACTATTAACTTCTCGGTTTCTATTAAAGAAGCTTAAGTTAAAACTGTTTGAAAAATTGTTGGGAATATACATGTATATCATAAATCCGTTTTCATCCACTGACCAAAACCGGCGACGGATGACAATGTCTAGTTCGCCGGGCTTGCCTACGTAGGGAAAATAACACCGTCTGATTGGACCACATCGTATGAATGGGCAACACAGCATGCGCTGTAAGTGTTGTTTACTTAGATACATGACATATTTCGGCACTGATCCAATCTGTGAGCGCGTGCTTTCAATGTGCGTGCTCAGAAAGTGTTACAATGTAACAAAACCGTCCCACATGCGTATGTACATACAAGTGGCAAATAAGCTTGCAATGCGCAACACATACATTTTTTAAAGCCGTTTATCTCGAAATGAAGTCCCGGAAGTTTTGCGTTGCACTACCGACTTTCTCATGGCATACCTTTGGAATTCATTGAGCTCCAGAAATAAATTTAGTATCATTAGAAAGCTAAAGAGTTGCTCCTTACGTGGTATATAAAACTAAAAAAGTCAAGGATGGGAGTTATTCCTCATTATGCCATGGCAGGTCACAATTATGTCAAAACCAGAAATTGCATATTATAGCCCAATTTCGGGGGTTATTTTTGGTGGAATTTTTGTTTCTTCTTTTTTTTACCTCTTGAAGTGTCCACAGATAGAATTCTGTGACCTCATCATCGTTTATCTGAGGCACAAAATCAGCAGGGAGCTCCAGGTCGTAGACAAACTGGGTTTCATCAAAGAGCCCTCGCTCGTCCTCATAGAAATAACTGACAATGAGAAAGACGACTCGTTCAAGATGCTGGCCAGTGAAATGTTTACATGTACTTGTTTTCATCTATAATATTCATCCACTGTTTTGTTACAGGTCTCTGTCTAGACTTAGCAAGCTGTCAGTGCAAGGCTTCCTGAGCTGCACAGGACTAAAAGAATCCTGTATTATAAAAGTTCAGCCTGTTTCCAAACTGGCTCCCCATGCAGAAATATACAATCTTGTATAAATAGGAGTCTAGCCTTCAGACTATTTGAAATTTGTCGTGACAGGCTATTGTAGGACCTGAGATGGCTCCTTAGCAAAGAAATGAAGCCAAGGTTTCTGAACCCCCCCACACAAACACACACATGTAGTCGGGCGTTTGTTTATGGTGTAAATCGAGGACACACGTGCAACACCATCGATAAATCGAGGACAGGAACCAAATCGAGGACGACTTCGATTAGAAAACATGTACAAAACCAATGAGAGCTGTTGCAAAAAAAATTAGAGTATAAACAAAGGAAAAGGGAAGAGGAACAAAAGAAAATCATTGATTTACACCATAAACAAACGTGTGTGTTCACACCGTCGATCATGGACGTCCTATTGTCCCTCTTTTGTTTGTACTCTAACTTTTTAGGAAGACTCCCATAGGTTTTGTACACGACCCCTATCACGGACGTATGCTGGGAATCGTGCACGATATTGTTCTCTTTTGTTCTCTGGTATTTTTCATCCACGTTTTGAATCGATGAACACGCCCACACTGACCTGATTGCACCGGCCGGCACAGCTTTCTCTGCGATGAATTCTGGGATCGATGCTTCTTCCGCACACTCCTTCATCAGGCAATCCTTGACGAGCATACCTGAGGGCAGACCGCCGGCCGCCTGCATGAGATGAAAATAGGACAGAATTTTGATCTTTTTCTTTAACAAAGATGCATAGGACCACCTTGCTTGTGATGTGCAAGCGCGTATCCATCAGGATGGACAGCACAAATGGTTTAATATTTGGTGTAAACCCCGCATCTCTAGACAGGTCCCAATCTCCACAAAGACTCAATGTCAGAATGATGTAGAAGGGATCAGGAACCATTCTACTTGCATACGCTGGTTTACATCTCATAGACAAATAAATTTTCCCAACCAGACGAAATGCATCCGAAGTCATCGCAGCTACTTTCGAGTTACAGGAATTCAAACAAATCTTGCAAACGGAAATCAATACAACTGTCAATCTTTTTCACCCACATATTTTCCATACTCATCAAAATGTCAAAATGTGCCATACATGTATATCACAACAAAGAACTGACTTTTTTTTACTCTTTTTTTTTGACGCAAGTTTAAAATGAATACATGAAAAATGTCACATGACCCATTTCATGGAATCCAGTCACAAATGATGAAAAACATGCATGAATCAGTTAACTCAAGGTTAATGCGTTGCCACATGTAGTTGAAACAGCGCCCCCTCTTGTTCAAGTATGGAGTCTAAAGCGTTATCTTACACTCACCACGTTATCCAGCTTGTTTGGGAAGGTGGACTTGGTGGGTGACCGTCTACCAACCCACATGCACAGTCCCTTGGTGGGATGGTGGCAGTAGCCATTGAGGTGGACGCCATACTGCTTGATCCCAAACAGACCTGGATCGATAAGACACCATCGCACAGTTGTTATTGGACAACATAAGTCACTGTAATATATCACAAGGCCTCAAAAGTCATTGAAGTCATCAAAAGTCATCACCAGTCTATCACAAGTCAATCACAAGTCATCACAAGTCAATCGCAAGTCATCACAAGTCAATCGCAAGTCATCACAAGCTAAAACAAGTCAATTGCAAGTCATCACATGTCATCACAGGCCATTACAAGTCATCGTAAGTCATCGCAAGTCATCGCAAGTCTTTGCAATTGGCATTAGTCATGAAAAGCCATCACAAGTCATCACAAAACGTCGCAAGTCATAACAAAATGTCACAAGTCAAGACAAGAGTCATCACAAGTAATCACAAGTCATTGCTTGTCATCACAAGTTATCAAAAGCCATCACAAGTCATCACAAAATGTTGCAAGTCATAACAAAATGTCACAAGTCAAGAAAAGAGTCATCACAAGTAATCACAAGTCATCACAAGTTATCAAAAGCCATCACAAGTCATCACAAAACGTCGCAAGTCATAACAAAATGTCACAAGTCAAGACAAGAGTCATCACAAGTAATCACAAGTCATTACTAGTCATCACAAGTTATCAAAAGCCATCACAAGTCATCACAAAACATTGCAAGTCATAAGAAAATGTCACAAGTCAAGACAAGAGTCATCACAAGTAATCACAAGTCATTACAAATCATCACAGGTCATCACAAGTCATTACAAGTCATCACATCACAAGAGTAAAAGAATCGGTCAATGTTTCTTACATGTTGCTGCGCGTTCCATATTCATGAGTGTTTCATCATGGTATGAGGCACACACAGCATACATCTGTACAGACAAAAAGTGTTATATACATGTCAAACAAATGAAACTTATATGTTTTGGGGGGCTTGGTTGGTTGTTGCTTGTTTTTATGGGGTAGGGGAGGGAAGGGAATTTTTCTGGGTGTTATGGAAAGATGAAACCAAGCAGTGCTAGGAGTAAAATTAGGCCAAGATGACTGCCTAGATCTAGATCAAATTAGCAAAAGTAAATTTTGGACTGTCGCATGCGATGTTCAATTCCTTCATGATAACAAGCGGCTGAAAGTACAAAATTGGTAAGGAAAAGGTGAAACAATTTTGTGCATCCTTAATCTTTTATTTCACAACTGGGATGGCCTACCTGGTCACGCGGGTTGCTTTTTAGAGGAGTTTTCTTCTGTGATACATGTGTGAAAATAACTAATGTTCAACTGTTACCCCCCCCCCCAAAAAAATTACATTGTCAGGTAACAAAAAAGCCCTAGTGGCTATCATTAAAGCAGTCGTAACGCGATTTTCAACTGCTATTGTACGGTATTGCAAAATCACTGTTGCGAATCAATATACATTTGCAACTTTCTGTCCAAGCTGACTGTTTGGTAGCTCGATTGGTCACAGGTTAAACAACTGTACTGTTCTTTTTCGTAATTCATGGCTTTGAAGAATTTTTTTTTTTATTAAAAGGGGAAATAAAGTCCAAGAATTATTCGGTTGGTAGTCTGGTTCCAAGAGCCAAAGATCCTGACGTTGAATACTATTAGGTCAGGGAACCAGACAGTCAAATGCCGTAACAATAGCCACTGTGTTAAAAAAAAAGTACATGTAAAATTATTTATCCCACCACCCTCAGCTCAAGTTCTGACCTCATTCCTCCAGCCCCTCAGTGTCACAAACACATCCAGTTTCTTCAGTTCCTCCAGGAGTCCGGCCATCTTCGTGGTTCGCTCCTCAAAAGTCGTCAGCGAGGGCGCCAGGGAGACTCTCTGCACGTCATTGGTGGTCGCATGTCGTGTTATGTGGATGACGTCAGGACGATCCAGGAGGTACTGAAGGACGTTTGGGGTGACGTGGCCCACTTGATGATCGGCGACAAAGAACGGCTTGCATGCTTCTCTGCTGGATCCTGCAAAAAAATGTACATGATGTAGGAAACCAAATAATTATCTCTGCACCTGTCAATTGATATGCAATTTTAGCTTGTCACTTGTCATTCTAATTAATTGAAAAATCATCACAATATTTGAATTGGCATTTAAACTCAGTGAGTTTACTCAGTACAAAACAAACATTATAAACATAAAATGGTAATCGTGTAGTTTAGGACCCTGTTCCAGATAAGAGAACGAAAAGACACTTTTATGCTTTTGAGCTTGACACCGAAACATGTTGATAGGCTGCTACAAAAAACACATAAAAATTGATAAAATATATTTTTTTTATCAGCCAATCAGCATCAAGCTTTCATTGCATCTAGCTTTCACATTTGCCATCTTGGTTTTTGAGTTTATTTTCTGGTAGTCGTCGTCGTCTTTTAGTTTTACCTCATAATTTCGGCAGTTGGTATTTTGCGGAACTCGCAGAACGTGCAGAACTCTGCGGAACTCTGCAAAATTGTTAATAAAACACTAAATTAAGATGAAATACTGGCTTTCAAAGTACAGCAAGGGCCAAATCTCATTAAAAAGTCCCAAAATCGCCATAATCTGTCCTTAAATGAATTGAAAATAAAAGATTTCCCACCTGTTTGTGCCGTCGTATAATAATTGTGTGCAGTATTTGCAGAACAGTGCAGAACACATGCTGTACAGGGATACATGCCGTTTACAAACCAAGGGTGCAGCTTTGACTCAGTGCTCTGTGAAGCACGTGTTTTAAACAGTTGATAGGGGGATAATGTACCGCTGCAGAACGAATTCTGCCGAAGTAACATTATGGAATGATCGTAATGTTTTATTTGCAATGTCGACAAGTGTCTTATATCCTCCACATGTTCATGGGAAGGCCCTCTGTATTTAATAGTTCCATGTTTTACCCAGGCAACGCGATCAATGGGTGCGGGCCTCCAAGAGTTTCGCGTTTGACACAGGCAGAATCAAAATTAAAAATAATCACAATGTTTTAATTTTAATCTGGATAAGTGTATTATATTCTCAACAACTCCTCTGATTTTTTTCTTTCGGAAATTCACCGGGAAGACCTTTTAAAATGAGAGTTCCGCGTTTTACCCACCTAGGATTTTTGTGCAAATAGGCCCAATTGCACGGTATATGCAGTATACGCGATACTGGCTCCGATGCCGTAGGAGGGGGCATCTTTAGCGCTGCAGAACCAACATTAAAAATCGTCACAATGTTTTAATTTTAATCTGAATAAATGTATTATATTCTCAACAACTCCTCTGAATTTTTTCTTTCAGAAATTCACCCGGGAAGACCTTTTAAAATGAGAGTTCCGCGTTTTACCCACCTAGGATTTTTGTGCAAATAGGCCCAATTGCACGGTATATGCAGTATACGCGTACGTGCTCCGATGCCGTAGGGGGGGGGGGCTTCTTTAGCGCTGCAGAACCAACATTAAAAATCGTCACAATCTTTTAATTTTAATCTGGATAAATGTATTATATTCTCAACAACTCCTGTGATTTTTTTCTTTCCGAAATTCACCCGGGAAGACCTTTTAAAATGAGAGTTCCGCGTTTTACCCACCTAGGTTTTTTGTGCAAATTGGCCTATTGCACGGTATGTGCAGTATACACGTACTGGCTCCGATGCCGTAGGAGGGGGCATCTTTAGCGCTGCAGAACCAACATTACAAATCGTCACAATCTTTTAAATTTAATCTGGATAAATGTATTATATTCTCAACAACTCCTGTGATTTTTTTCTTTCCGAAATTCACCCGGGAAGACCTTTTAAAATGAGAGTTCCGCGTTTTACCCACCTAGGTTTTTTGTGCAAATAGGCCTATGCACGGTATGTGCAGTATACGCGTACTGGCTCCGATGCCGTAGGAGGGGGCATCTTTATCGCTGCAGAACCAACATTAAAAATCGTCACAATCTTTTAATTTTAATCTGGATAAATGTATTATATTCTCAACAACTCCCCTGATTTTTTTCTTTCCGAAATTCACCCGGGAAGATCTTTTAAAATGAGAGTTCCGCGTTTTACCCACCTAGGTTTTTTGTGCAAATAGGCCTATGCACGGTATGTGCAGTATACGCGTACTGGCTCCGATGCCGTAGGAGGGGGTATCTTTAGCGCTGCAGAACCAACATTACAAATCGTCACAATGTTTTAATTTTAATATGGATAAATGTATTATATTCTCAACAACTCCTGTGATTTTTTTCTTTCAGAAATTCACCTGGGAAGACCTTTGAAAATGAGAGTTCCGCGTTTTACCCACCTAGGATTTTTGTGCAAATAGGCCCAATTGCACGGTATATGCAGTATACGCGATACTGGCTCCGATGCCGTAGGAGGGGGCATCTTTAGCGCTGCAGAACCAACATTAAAAATCGTCACAATGTTTTAATTTTAATCTGAATAAATGTATTATATTCTCAACAACTCCTCTGAATTTGTTCTTTCAGAAATTCACCCGGGAAGACCTTTTAAAATGAGAGTTCCGCGTTTTACCCACCTAGGTTTTTTTGTCCAAGTAGGCCTATGCACGTTATGTGCAGTGTACACGTACTGGCTCCGGTGCCGTAGGAGGGGGCATGTTTATCGCTGCAGAACCAACATTAAAAATCGTCACAATCTTTTAATTTTAATCTGGATAAATGTTTTATATTCTCAACAACTCCTGTGATTTTTTTCTTTCCGAAATTCACCCGGGAAGACCTTTGAAAATGAGAGTTCCGCGTTTTACCCACCTAGGTTTTTTTGTCCAAGTAGGCCTATGCACGTTATGTGCAGTGTACACGTACTGGCTCCGATGCCGTAGGAGGGGGCATCTTTAGCGCTGCAGAACCAACATTAAAAATCGTCACAATATTTTAATTTTAATCTGGGTAAGTGTATTATATTCTCAACAACTCCTGTGGTTTTTTTCTTTCCGAAATTCACCCGGGAAGACCTTTTAAAATGAGAGTTCCGCGTTTTACCCACCTAGGTTTTTTTGTCCAAGTAGGCCTATGCACGTTATGTGCAGTGTACACGTACTGGCTCCGGTGCCGTAGGAGGGGGCATCTTTAGCGCTGCAGAACCAACATTAAAAATCGTCACAATCTTTTAATTTTAATCTGGATAAATGTATTATATTCTCAACAACTCCTCTGATTTTTTTCTTTCGGAAATTCACCCGGGAAGACCTTTTAAAATGAGAGTTCCGCGTTTTACCCACCTAGGTTTTTTTGTCCAAGTAGGCCTATGCACGTTATGTGCAGTGTACACGTACTGGCTCCGATGCCGTAGGAGGGGGCATCTTTAGCGCTGCAGAACCAACATTAAAAATCGTCACAATCTTTTAATTTTAATCTAGATAAATGTATTATATTCTCAACAACTCCTGTGATTTTTTCTTTCCGAAATTCACCCGGGAAGACCTTTTAAAATGAGAGTTCCGCGTTTTACCCACCTAGGTTTTTTGTCCAAATAGGCCTATTGCACGGTATGTGCAGTATAGGCGTACTGGCTCCGATACAGTAGGAGGGGGCATCTTTAGCGCTGCAGAACCAACATTAAAAATCGTCACAATCTTTTAATTTTAATCTGGATGAATGTATTATATTCTCAACAACTCCTGTGATTTTTTTCTTTCGGAAATTCACCCGGGAAGACCTTTTAAAATGAGAGTTCCGCGTTTTACCCACCTAGGTTTTTTGTGTCCAAACAGGCCTATTGCACGGTATATGCAGTATACGCGTACTGGCTCCGATGCCGTAGGAGGGGGCATATTTATCGCTGCAGAACCAACATTAAAAATCGTCACAATGTTCTAATTTTAATCTGGATAAATGTATTATATTCTCAACAACTCCTGTGATTTTTTTCTTTCCGAAATTCACCCGGGAAGACCTTTTAAAATGAGAGTTCCGCGTTTTACCCACCTAGGGTTTTTTTTGTCCAAATAGGCCTGTTGCACGGTATGTGCAGTATACGCGTACTGGCTCCGATGCCGTAGGAGGGGGCATATTTAGCGCTGCAGAACCAACATTAAAAATCGTCACAATATTTTAATTTTAATCTGGATAAGTGTATTATATTCTCAACAACTCCTGTGGTTTTTTTCTTTCCGAAATTCACCCGGGAAGACCTTTTAAAATGAGAGTTCCGCGTTTTACCCACCTAGGTTTTTTGTGCAAATAGGCCTATGCACGGTATGTGCAGTATACACGTACTGGCTCCGATGCCGTAGGAGGGGGCATCTTTATCGCTGCAGAACCAACATTAAAAATCGTCACAATCTTTTAATTTTAATCTGGATAAGTGTATTATATTCTCAACAACCCCTGTGATTTTTTTCTTTTGGAAATTCACCCGGGAAGACCTTTTAAAATGAGAGTTCCGCGTTTTACCCACCTAGGTTTTTTGTGCAAATTGGCCTATTGCACGGCATGTGCAGTATACACGTACTGGCTCCGATGCCGTAGGAGGGGGCATTTTTGGCGCTGCAGAACCAACATTAAAAATCGTCACAATCTTTTAATTTTAATCTGGATAAATGTATTATATTCTCAACAACTCCTGTGATTTTTTTCTTTCCGAAATTCACCCGGGAAGACCTTTTAAAATGAGAGTTCCGCGTTTTACCCACCTAGGTTTTTTGTGCAAATTGGCCTATTGCACGGTATGTGGGATATCCCGGTATGTGCAGTATACACGTACTGGCTCCGATGCCGTAGGAGGGGGCATTTTTGGCGCTGCAGAACCAACATTAAAAATCGTCACAATCTTTTAATTTTAATATGGATTAATGTATTATATTCTCAACAACTCCTCTGATTTTTTTCTTTCCGAAATTCACCCGGGAAGACCTTTTAAAATGAGAGTTCCGCGTTTTACCCACCTAGGTTTTTTTGTCCAAGTAGGCCTATGCACGTTATGTGCAGTGTACACGTACTGGCTCCGATGCCGTAGGAGGGGGCATCTTTAGCGCTGCAGAACCAACATTAAA